AACTATATAATAAAGTAGTAAAAATAATATATTAATACCCCTTATATAGTTATAAGGGTATATATAAAACTAAGGAATAAGTATAATAATATTATTACCTTAATAAAATAAAGAAAGTAATTTAATATATTATATTTTACTATAATATATATTAATAAAGTAAAAGCGCTAGGCACTTATTATATAATAAAATTTAACCTTTACTAATACCTATAAGACTATAGGAATTAATTTTATTTAATTATATTATAAAATTACTATTATTATAAGAATTAGTAATAAGTATAAAATATAATAATATATTTATTATAGTTAATAAATTAATAAAAATAGCTTACTTTATCCCTTATAAAAAAGTAATAAATATTAAAGACCTTATATATATCTTTATAAAATTTATTAATATAAACTATAAATTACTAAGAGATATTATCTTTAATTAAGGAATAATATTTATTTCTAAGTTTTAAAAGGCACTTATAGCTAAACTAAGAATAAATTATAAGGCTAATATAGCTTATTACCCTTAAATAAATAAATAAATAAAGAGAATTAATTAAATTATTAAAGTATAATTATAATACTATATTAACTTATAATAAAATAACTAAGCAGAGAAGTTACTTATTACTTAACTCTTATATAATAGTATATTATTAAAATCCACTGGAAAATTACTATTTTTCCTTAATTATAGCTTTAAACTTAAAGTATATAAACTACTATATAATAATAAAAATATAAAAAAAGTAATAATTAAGGCAAATAATATAATTAAACTATATAAAGAACTATAAGTATAACTTAAATTAATATATATATAAATATAAAAATATATTAATTAAATAAGGCTTAAAGGTTTAACCCTTTAAAAGGGGGATATAGTTTACCTCTGCTAATATATAAAAGGAAATAAATAAGCTAATATTAAAATAAATTAACTAAATAATAAACTAAACTATAAAAAAGTAAAACTATATAAAATTATAAAGAAAGTAAGAGAAGTTAGCTATAAATTTAATATCCCTAATATAAAAGGGAAATAAGAAAGTAAACTTTATAAAATCTTTTATATTTTACTATTAAAAAAAGCTTTAGTTAATAAAGATATAAGTAAAATTATTTATAATAAAATTATAATTAAAGAAGAAGAAAAAGAATATAAAGTTAAGAAAATCCTTAAATTTAAACTTAATTAAAATAAGCTATGTAAATACCTAGTAAAATAAAAAAACTATAATAATAATATAAATAGCTAAGAACTTATTAAATATTTAAAGAATATATAGGTAATAGTAAATAAAATCTATTAAGATTTAAAAGCTTAAATAATATTAAATTAATTACGCCTAGGTTAACTTACTTAAAGGAAGCTAGGCTATTAAAAATAAAACTAGGCCTTAAATGTAAAATAGTAACTTATTTAAAAGACTATTTAGCGGCTACTACTGCATTCTCTTTAATTATCCCTTAATAAAATAACTCTTTACCTTACTCCTTTACTTTTTTTTATATTTTATAAATATATAATAAATAATTTAACTCCTTTATAAGTTTAAATTATAATTTTAATATTTAAGCATTTAAAGACTTAATATATTTACTAGTCTCTTTTTCCTTATACTTTAACGCACTCTCTTATATAAATACTCTTTCTACTAAAAACAATTAATTATTACTTAAATATTCTAAGGAAAAAACTTATAAAATTCCGCTACTATAATTCTATTATATAACTTCTTTAACTATATATAGTTAATGTAATAACTAAATACATTAAATATAATATAAGTTAATTTTAAATAATAGTAATAAATATATAGTATATTAGCTGCTATACTTACACTTAAAATACACTTAGCTAAGGAAAAGGCCTTATAGCGCTTTTTAATAAAAGCTATAGGAAATAATAAAATAAAAATATAAAGAGGAAAATTACTTACTAATAGAAATATATTACTATAAGGTATAATAATAAATATTATATAATAGGCCTTAAGGATAAGACCTTTGGAAAGAGAGTATTATATTATAACTTAACCTCTTAAGGAATATAATACAGTATATACCCTAGGATAACTTTAAAATATAAAATTAATTAAAGGAGGATTAATAATAAGCTAGCGGTTTTATATACTAGACTAATATATATAAGCAGTCCTTAGGGTAATAAACTAATAGGTTATATTAATTTTTATAAAATAACTTATTATATAAATTAAATAAAATATACTTATTAAATAACTTAAATAGTTAGTTATTAATAATATAATAGTATTAAATATAGGTTATACTTTATTTATTAATTAAGTAATTATATAATATACTTAATAATAGATATCTTATTCTCTTTGCTAATATAAATATATACATTTATCCCTTAGGAATCCGCTACCCTATAATAATAACCTAGGATCTAGGGACCGGATTATTATAATTATATAAATATAAAAGTATAAAAAAAATATATAATTAAGTTCTTATATATTATAATATTAAAGGACTTAAAGTATATATATAATATATTATATTATACTATAATATATATTAATAAATAAAAAATAAAAAATATAAGCTTTATAAGAAACTATAACTATTACTAATATTAAAATAACTATAGAAATTAATTACCTTTAACTATATTATTAATTTACCTTTATTTATTAAATCTCTTACTAAGGTTAAATATAATAGTATATTTATAATAGTTTATTACTTATTAAAGTAAGTATACTTTATATTATATAATAAATTATATATAGTAAAAGAACTTACTTATATATATATAAAAATAATTACTATAAAATATAAATTACTAAAAGAAATAATATTAAATAAAAAATAAATATTTACTTTTAAATTTTAATAAAAATTTATAGCTAAATTAAAAATAAATTATAAATTAAATATTATATATTATTCTTAAATAAATAAATAAATAAAATATATTAACTAAATTATTAAAGCTTACTTATATTACTATATTAACTTTATATAAAATAATTAAGTAAAAAAATTACTAATAGCTTAACTATACTATAATAATATACTTTTAAAATTTATAAAAATTACCTCTTTTTATATTAACTATAGATTTATATTAAAAGTATTTAAATTACTATAAGATAAACTTAACTCTAAAAAAGCTTAACTTATAGTAAAATTAATAATTAATTTATACTAAGAAATACATATATAACTTAAGTTAATTTAAAATAAAATAAAAAAAATATATAAATTAAAATAAAATTATAAAACTAATTCTTTAAAAGGGAGATATAATTTATATATTATAATATTTATAAGGCTATAAACTATTAAATATTAAAATAAATAAGCTAAGTAATAAACTTAATATTAAAAAAATAAAACCTTATAAAATTCTTAAGTAAATTAAAAAAGTAAATTATAAGCTAGCTTTATTAAATATAATAAAACTTTAAATTTTAGTATTTTATATATTATAACTTAAAAAAGTATAAATTAAAAAAAATACTAAAAGACTTATTTTAAATAAAATTATTATTAAAGATTAAGAAAAGAAATATAAAATTAAAAATATACTTATTATATAATAAAACTATAAAGAAAATAAAATTAAGTACTTTATTAAATAAAAAGAATACTTTAAATTAAAAAATTTATAGGAATTAAAAGAATACTTTAGCTCTTAGAAATTAATAAAGAAATTTCTTTAAACTCTTAAATTAATAAACTAAGGTCCTTAAACTCTAAATTAACGCTAAGGGAGGACTAATTAATATTATTAAAAACCCCTATATATTAAAGATTACTTACTATTTTATTTTCTTTATTTAACTCCTATATCCCTTAATGTATTAATTTATTACTATACTCTTTTATTTTACTCTTAATATAATAAATTTAAAATAGCTAATTTATAGCTTTTAATAGTTTAGCTTATAAATTAGTTAATTAAGCTTAAAGAGACTTTAGGACTTTACCTATAGCCTTTTCCTTTACTTTTAATCTTTTTTACTAATTTAATATCCTTATTATTATAAATATATTAGCACTTTAAATATTTTATAAAAATTAAGCTCGCTTATAAGAAAAAGCTATTAAAATATTATTATAAGAATAGCTATATTTAATATATTTATAATAATAAGAAAAATCCTTTATTATATAATAAGGGACCTTTTTTTAAAAATAATAAATATATAGTATATTTAAGTTAAAACTATAAGAAAGAATAAATAATATAAGAAAATTGCGTTTATAGGTTTTATAAGAAATTAACTTAAATACTTTATTAGTTATTTTAATATTATTTAAGGAATTAGGTTATAGAATATAGGATATAGGAAAGATAATATACTTATAGATTATAAAGCTAATATATATTTAGCCTTAAGGATAAGACTAATAAAAAGGGGTATTATATTATAAATTAATAACTATAAGATATATACTTATAGAAATATTATAAACTAATAAATTAATTAAGAGAAAATTATATCTTATATTATAAGCTACTTATAATAAATTATAAATACTAAAGTAAGCTATCTTAGAGAATTATAATTAAAATTATAAGCTACTTAAAATAACTTACTATATAAGACTATTTATTATACTTATTAAATAAAACTTAAATAGTTAGTTATTAATATAGCACTTTTAAATAATAATTAAATTAGTTATTTATAACTTTATTAGCTATATAATTACTCTGCTTATTAAATCCCTTATATCTCTCTGCTAATATAAACTAACGCCTTAGTTTATAGATTGGGAACCTACCCTATACCTAAGTATAATAGTATAGGTCAGGACGTTACAGCTACCCACAGCCGAATCCGTCTTAACAGTCGTGTTGTTACTACCCCGGAATCGAACGCTCATTCGTTGTGGAATACTGTTGGTATATCTTCCGATGGAGTCCCCCCAATCCTGCTCTTCATATTCTCTTTTCTTCGGCGGCATCTCGTTTATCGTTTTCAAAAAGTCTTCATAGGCATGCTCCCAAGGTGAGGTATTATCCGCCATTTCAAATAGTTCCATGCCAATTTCTTCCATTATTTCCATCGCCAAGCCCGACCCCGTATACTTATTCATGAATGGAAAGTATATATAACGTGCAAAATAATAAATGCACGGACGAGACTGGATTTTGAGTGCCGAATAAATAATTTTGAGGGGTCGTCCGACAGACGAGTAGAGGGCTCTTCGTGAACCGCGTAGAATCGGACCAACGATTTTGTTATCCAAGGTTTTAGCATTAGTCAACGCAATAACCGTAACTAAAAGGGCAACAGCCGCGGTAATAACCATACAGATCAATGTATGAGTAGAAGGCGCATCACTCATGCTGAATATACCAGTGGCAAAGCCGACAGGAAGAAAGATGACGGTCACATATGTAAAAAGACGAATATCATCTGCACCACGTAGCTCTAAATCGCCACGCATTTTGTCCAGGTTTGTTGAGAGAGATGCGTTGAAGGAGGCGATGTTGACGTAGCACCTCTGCAATTCATGGTACTTGTGATCGTTGTGAGCCTGTAATTTAGAGATGATGGGTCGGTAGTCGCGTTCATCGCTCTTAGTCCATCGAGGCTTGTCATGACCTCGTGCTCTTTCTCGATCGTTCCAAAGCGCAATCTTTGCGAGATTCTCCCGGAGATCATTTTCAACAATTTGAAGGATGTGCTGAAACTTATACCATAGTCGGCTGATAGCAACAAATCTCCCATTGTCTATCTTCGTAAAAAGGTCGAAAGTGTCTAAGAGTGCTGATGCAGGCGGCTGCTGACCAATGTATTTCCTGTTGACGCTATTCTGTATGCTTTTCTTAAACTCTTCAAGGATTGTTTGCGAAGAAAGCAGTATTTCTTGCAGCATAGTGCTGACTATGAAGAGCTCCAGTACCCGCCTCTGTCTCCAAGGATTTGCTTTCGAGATGGCGCCGAAGTCCTTATTTGTTACCCTCCGCAGCTCCCAGTCTGTTTCAGGCAAGTCCTTTGTGTTGAACTCAAAGAAGTGACACGTCCAATAGCGATCAAAGTAGTCACCATCGAATCTGAAACTAGTTACAGCTCGACTGATCCGCCTCCCATCTCTTATGAGAGAATGATGCGGGTATTCGATTCCGTCCGACGGAGGTATACCGGTAATTCTAGACAGAGCGCCACAGCCAAGAATTCGATAAAAAGATAGATGAAAATCAGTTATCCATTTGTTCGTCTCGGAAGTAACTTCGTCGAAAAAGTATTTATTATATGCCGCGTGTCTGTCAAAAAAGGACGAAAGTTTGGGTTTTTCAGACGAAGCAATGTAGCATATCAACGCAGTCGCCAAGTTTGCTTCAAAAAAGTGAAATAGTCTCTTCTTAGAGAGTTCAGGTGTTCGCTTTCCACCAACATACCCGTAAATTTCGGGATTAGAAGTGATAAAGGGTTTCTTGTACTCCTTGTTGGCAGGGCTACCTCTCGGTACGTCAATGATGTAGCCCGCGATTGGACTCCCTGCTATTAGAAAGTCTCCGTCTTGCTTAATCAGGTTGATTGCATTAGCCATGACATTTCCAACTCTGTGAAAAGTCTCTTTTTCGGACGTTGTCAAGACTTCATCATCTAAAACAAATCCTCCCAAATTGCAATGTTTTGATAAATTGCAATTAAAATTGAAGAATGTCGGTTCATTGTACATCCACTCGTCTTGGAGCTCAACAATATTATTTTGGTCAATAATGCTCTTGAAAGGAACGCTTTTCTTAATAGCCAATTTACCATTGATGGTAGATAGCCCAGGAGTGAAAAAGGCAGCACTCAGACGTTCGAACATTTTATCCAGCGCCTGATCAAGCTCTTTGGAAGTCATGCATGGATTTTCTTGTTTTGTGAATTGGGCTTGTATAGTAGAAATGCTTGAAGAGCCGGTTTCGGCTGCATTTGTTGACGAAGCCTTCGCATGTTTCCACAATAGGTATGGCACTTCAAATGTAACGTGCCAATAAGAATCGCACATAGTGTCTTTCATAAAGATAATAGGCTCTTTGTCTTCATTGAGCTGTCCTGGAAAAAGTCCATTAAGAGAGGAACTGCCGAGTAGAGCTGATTTCGAATAATGCATCATTTCTGCCGCAGGCTTTGAGTTTATACGGGCGCCATTTGAAGCCAATATTATCGCGAGCGCAAACTGAAGTGGATGATCCCATTGAGTATCTTGGTTATCTTCGTGCTGCGCTTGACAATCTATCGTATTCGTCCAAGCATTAATTTTTTCTGAGCCACCAGACTTCAATGGCGAGAGAAACTTGTCCAGTAAGCCTAGATCCAAAGCAGAAAACAGCACAGTCTCTTTCTCCCGAATCAAGAATCTAGTCTCGATTGTGTTTCGCGAAATAGCTATCATGCGTTTTTTCAAGACAGGATTCTCTGTAGTATATTTTTTGATAGCATTGGCCCGTATCTCGTCCGATGAGTAGCTCATGTTGCGCGGTTTATGTTTGGCAACACATGCGCTTCTTTCAACCTGGAGCTCTTGACCAAGGCCAAGATATTCCACTGATTTAGTAGCCCACCAAATGATAGCTTGATCGGGGAAATAGAATGAATGTATCGGAGCCTCTTTTCTAGGTCGGGGAAATGCATATAAGCCATGCTTATTTTCTCCATCAAGCGTCTCGACCCATTTTCTAATAATCTCAATAAACTTGGGCTTCCTTTGGACTTCGTCCCATGCCTCTCTATCTTCGGCTGTTCGACAAAATTCTGCGATTTTAATGATATGGAATGGGGTTTCCATGAGAGACTTTTGAAGAAACGGAGAACCGGGCTCAGCCCCTCTTGGCCGACCAGTAGCCCAGTACTGGGAATGAACAAGACCAGCATTTGTTTCCATCTGGTCAGTTATCCATTTCAAATGCCCTCGACACACTTTCCATATGCGGGAACGCATCTGACAGCTAAATTTGTTGCAAGTACTAGTCTGTGTCTTGCAAAATCGATGACTTGTATCAAGTTGCGCATGGAAATGACGAAATGCTAGAAGCAAAAATTGAAAGGCAGAACTTCTTTTGTTAGTTTCTAAGCATCAAAAGTTATAACACCATCACGTTGTACTTACAAGCTTGCCTCGTTTGCAACTCTATGACCAGCCAAATCGCCACATGTGATTGCAATTGGCTGAATAGTACCCTCAGTATTGTCTCCAATAGAAACGCTACAGACAGACAACATATGTTCCAAATTCCTCTTTAACGCATAGTCAAGATTCTCATCGCCGGGTAAGAACGGGTTTGCAGATAAAACTTCATTCCTTTCAGCATCTGTGTTCAGCCTGCGTAGAAGCTTCATAGGAGGGCTGGGCGATGGAATGTCGTCCAGTTGTGATAGAGGAACAAAATGGAGCGTATAGGCTAATGTTACCGTTACCGGCACGTTCAATGGTTGACTTCCATGAGTTATTACATATTTCGCAGTAGTTCCCTATCGTTGAACAATCTGAGAGGGAGTCGTTCATGAACGGCCATATGGCTAAAACGACGGCATTATTGTGTGCTGGCTCATTGGCATCGCTATTTTGTTCTATACCCGTCTTGTGCATCCTGAGTATACAATGCTTCCCCTGAGGCGCCCGGTGCTCGTAGGAACTGTTGTCGGCTTCCTGCATATTCCAGATACTACTGCTCGAGAAATCGAGGTCTCGAATAAGTAATTCGGCGTTGATAGCCAATTCCGGTAATGAAGCCGACGAATCACCGCGAGAAATGAAGGTGTATGTCTGACACACAGTCTTTTGATGAATGAAGTATTGGATTTCGGTATCGATACTCCCAGCTCCCGATCTGATAATAAACTTTGGCCAACGGTTACTATGAAAGCTCAATCGTGGCATCTCATTTGTTTGTTTCGAATTATCAAAGCTCTCGACTTCAAGTCGCATTCCTTGACCAGGGTCAACGATATGGGCTTGGAGCTGTTCCATGCGCTGTGTGACCCAACATGGCTCGAGAACATCTTTTAGATCAACGCAATAGAACCCAGACGGGTCGTTTCCAAAATATTGGGTTATTTGGAGTAAGTGTCCATAAGCGGTTGCAGTCGCTGTAAGACCATTTTCTCCAAAAGAGGCGTAAGTTGGTCGATGGCAAATTTTATATTGAGTTTCGGACGGAACTGAGGTAGTGCCTGCGATTGACATGATTCTTGCGTGCTTATATTTTGCTTTACTAATCGTTAACCAGATACCATATAATACATCAACTGAGAGTGCAAACTGGTGGTCAAACAATGAGCACGAGTTGAAGTGCATGAAACAGACAATGAGTCAATCTTAAAGATGTTTCTGAAGTCTCCACTACTCAGGCAGGAGCTTGAACGCAGTTTCGGTTGTCGCCGTCGTTGTTTCTGCTATCACATGGACTTTTAGTCCAGAATATTCAGGAAAAGAAACAACCTGAAATGGTGATTCAAGGGAACAAGACTTTGGAAACCATAGACCATAGCCGACCGTACACATCGCCTCTATATAGTATCTTGTCTATGATGGGTTTCTGCATATCTTATTACGTACATATTATCACACCAGTCATAAGAATAGAAAACTTGGGCTACACCAGCCTCTGTTTTTGAACCAACATGCTTCATACACCAAGCCACGCTGCGGTCTTTTGTGTGCTGTGTCACTCCACATGCATTGCTGATCTGTTTTAGAGAGAGAGAGAGAGAGAGAAAGAGAGAGAGAGAGAGAGAGAGAGAGAGAGAGAGAGAGAGAGAGAGACGGCTGAGGCACGGCACACCTCCGCCGTAGCCACCGATGCGGCACAATCTTATTGGCAGAAGTGAGCCATAAAACAATTAGTATACTTTTCACAAGTATAAGCCTCCTTATCAAAGACGGGGTAAAGTGAGGTTTCATCAAACATTGTTTTTGGTACCACTGATCGGCCTGAAAACGTCTCTAAAACAAATGAAATACATCTATGATTTATTCTTGACTTCCCTATTGTTGAATGTTATGGCTAGGCATAGATCCTTGATACAAATACCACACTTTTCGTAGCTAGGAAAAAAAGTGTGAAGTTCTAGTAAGTACTATAACTAAAGTCGATGGGGGAATTGCGCACCCCCCACCCTCCCGGAGGGAAAAGATACAAAGTACGACAGTGCTCAACGTTACACTGATATGGTCTTGTCCAGGGGCGCAATGGATGCCGTAAATCCTATCCATGGCTCGTTCAACAAGGAAGGGAGTTGCGGGCCCTAGATTGGGTTGCATCATGCGAAAAACAACTTGTTAAACAGCAGATGTGTTCCGCTTCGTTTCTTCTCTCTAGCTCTTGGCCTTCTCAAAGTCCTCGCGCCAGCGATATCGGATTGTCAAATTTGTGAAATAATTCGCATGCGTTGTCCCACAATTTGGCAAACCTGAAAGGTTCTGTAGCGGCCTCTTCTTTTGTTACAGGTTTCTTAGCAGGGAGACCTTCTGGCTTCTGCAGTGGTGCAACAGGTGCTTTTCTTGAAAGTTCTTCCGATTTCTTTTGTGTAAAAATCGGATAATATACGTAGCGTGCAGCGAGATAAACGCATGGCAATATCACGATGTGATAAAGCAAAGAAACCCATGACAATGCGGTGCGTTTAATCAAAAAGAAAAATCGCTTAAGTATCAATCGATAGACTTTAAAAACAGGTCTCACCAATTTCGAATCCAGAGTCTTAGCATTAAACAGCGCGAATATCGTAGCACCAAGAGCAACGGCTGCAACAATAATCATATGTTTGAGTATGTTCTCCAAAGGCGTATCACTCGTGCTGAATAAACCCGTTGCGAAACTGATTGGAAGAAAAACCACAGTAACATACGTGAAAAGTCGAATATTGTCACTGCTTTGTATTTCCCATTTGCTGGTTGCAACTTCCATTCGCTTCCCTTGCGATTGGACTTCCAATCTTCGATCCGCTTATCAATCGCCCCGCAGACGTTATCAGGTATCATTTATACCTGGTTCTGAGCTACAATCTTAATACCTTCATTCTCAGCATATCACATTTTGCGGGTGGACTCCACTCTTCTGCAATACAGGACAGACTATACCAGCCAAATTTCTCTCCAAAAATATCCTCAACTTTTAGAGAGGAGTTAGAGGAGCCAGACTAGTCTATATTTAGTGTCACATCACAGTCATTGCAGGAATTTAGTAACAATCCGGGCGTCTTGCCTCTCATCGCATAAAGGATTAGCCGGAATCACCACATAATCATTGCTTTTAGTAATATATAAAATAACAGCACCAGTAACCATGTCAAGCCAAATCTTGAAACGCTTATTGGCGTCATTTTTCCCAGACATCACATGATAGAGATGCCAGACGCAATGTTTAGGGTCCAGGCCACCAATCTGGGTACCGAACAGGGTTGTGCTAGAAAGAATTGGCTGTATCCAGCGCTTCCGTCGCCGCACGTTAGATCAGCTGTGCTATCCAACATATATTCTGTCATCCGAGATTTCACTTCGCAATGACAGCTAAGAGGCATCCAGACCTATTCCGACGCCGTACTGACTCAAACGCACTCGTTCTGGTCGTTTCACGGCCTATATAAAACTGCCCGGATTGTTTTCATTTAAACTGACTACGAACAAATATCATCGCCAATTGAGTAGCAACAGACGTCGATTGCCGAGGGACAGTTTTTGCGGAATTGTTGGACTTTAATTAGACGTGGAAGTTTTTTTAACCTCTACTGGGATGTAAAAACGCTTTTTAGCATTAGTAAGACATAGTAGTCTTGGTCGAATTTAACTCATTTCTTAGAATAACAATAATGAATATCTGAATTACTCTACAGAGCAGCTATTGGAAGAAACTCAATTCTCGGAAGTATCGGGTTATCTTTGAATACGAAGCATCGTCCGATAGCGGCTGTCGCGGGAAGTGGCCAGCCATTTTCTGGAAATACTCTTCACTTGCCCCAGGACTAAATTATGCAAAATCACATTAATCCCACAAGACCGCTAAAAGGTGATTTGATGTCTGTTTTAAGTTAAGCTTAACCAATAATTTCCCGTACCAACTTCTCAACGTCGTCAATACTCATTCCTGAAAGCCCGAGCAACTTATTGCTAAGTTTTTCACTGAAATTACCTCCATATCCTGCGCCCCAGCACGCCCGGGCAATAAATCCGAGCGCTGAATTGACGACCTCCTTCGGATCGTTACTTTTCAGCATTTCATAAGATTTTTCTTCAACCTCAGCAGTCGAGACAACGTTCGTCGACCACTCTTTTCCATCAATGCGCTTTGCAATGTCAATGAGCTGGTTCTGGGTAATAGCGATATCGTGGAAGTAGACATGTTCATTTCTTGTAGCTTCGAGATTTTGGATCACACCGACCACGGCCTTCCCAATGGTTGGAAGTCGAGTCGCGGAGAACAACACATCGCCACCATCATATAGCGTAGCACTGTGGTCCCTGAGATTGACCATAAAGCCGATTTGGAGTTGCCAATCCAAGAAAGAGTTGTTATAACACATGGTATAGCTGAAGCCTGGGTTCTGAGCAGCTTTTTCCTCCAAGTACTCTTGGGTCTTGATCTTGTCCCCATAAAGCGGCAGCTTTCGGACGAGAGGGTTTGCTGAATCATTTCCAAACTCCGAAGGGATGAAACGAGAGACTTTCGCCTTCAGAGAAGCGTCAATAAGCTTTTTCTGTGTGCTAAACAGGTCTGCAAAGCCGAGAGTTGACACAACCACGTCGACAGTTTCGAGCGCGGAGACGAGGTTGTCGTGCGAGTTGTAATCTACCTCCTGAACCTTCAATAGGCTTTCCGATCCGGCTGGCACGGAGACCTTGTGAGCACTCCCTACTCTTGTTAAGACCGTAGTTTGGAACGAGGCCGCAAGAAGTGCTTGCAGGATCGCTGGGCCGAGGTTACCCGTAGCGCCGACAAGAGCGATATGTACTGAAGGCATACTATCGGCAGGTGTACCAAGGTTTGAAAGAGAGTGGCAAAGAGTGATATTGTAACCGTTCAGAAAACTAGCGAAGAAAGTGATGATGTTGAGGTCAATGATATTCATAGAGAGAAATTGCAGCCCTTAAATACTAATTGACGCAGTCTCCACACAATTGTGCAATTTAGTATCTCGCAGTCCAGGAGAGAAATAACAAATCAGAGCAATAATGTTCTGTGATAGTAGGCACTAGGCCTACATTCTGGCGGCAGATAAGAATCCCAGAAATTAGATAATAAAAGGCTTTCTGTTTACAAATCACGACAAATCCAAAGTCTTGAAGATTTCCAGACCAATTGGGCGACTAAATGAAAGCTAGTGTGTAGATAGCTCATTCATCACAGAAATCAAAGCCAAAGGGTCAGCTTGGCGGTTCGAATTGCCCCGAAAGTCATTGTCGAAAGGTGGTTGCTGACAGAAATCTGTATATACATCATGCGTCATTTGGACTCGGCTATCGATGAAAGTAAATTCCTCTTCAGGAAGGTGGAGTCATCGGCGGCGGAGTCCTGTGGGGAGAAAGAAGTATGTGCCCCACCTGTGCAGTTCTAGCATCATTGGTCGCTTAGTAACAGATACTGCATCATTTCAAAGGGTCTTACTGACTGGTGAACACTAGAAGACAATGCCCTAATACAAGAGTCTACTTGGACTCTGGTTCATTATAAAAGTCCCCAAAGCTCCCATAATCATATTCGAAGATCATGCTTGTAGATCACTTCTCTTTCCATCTACTAGATACCAATCACCGGAGTACCAACAATGGCGTTCCGCTTTCCTTCAGCTAGTGAAGATGTTTCACCACTGGCACAACCGCTACGCTTCGAGTTCAGCCAGAAGGTAGCATCCAATCGATTCTTGAAAGCCTCAATGACCGAGAAGCTCAGTTCCTGGGATCCTCAGAAGAAAGAGGCTCGGGGAATTCCCTCAACAGAGATACACAACGTGTACCAGCGATGGGGAGAAGGAGGCCTCGGGCATATCTTGACTGGCAATATCATGCTGGCATATGACCAACTTGAAGCAGCTGGCAACCTCATCATTCCTACAGATGCTCCATTCGAGGGACCGCGTTTTGAGGCCTTCGTCAAGCTCGCTTCTGTTGCAAAGGCACATGGTAGCCTTATTACTGGACAGGTCACACACCCAGGACGACAAGTCGACCAAAGAATCCAGCCTAATCCCGTCTCTGCCAGTGATATTCATCTCCAAGGTAAAGTTCTTGGACTTGAGTTTGCCAAACCTCATCCTGCTTCCCAGGAAGAGATAAACGAGATTGTGCGCAGCTTCACCTTTGCAGCACAGTACCTCCACCGAGCCGGCTTTGACGGTATTGAGCTGCAAGGTGCTCACGGTTACCTACTTTCTCAGTTTCTCTCGCGAACGACCAACCTCCGGACAGATGCATATGGCGGTAGCCTGAGAAACCGCGCTCGTCTCATCATGGAGATTGCCCAAGCTATTAGGGCAAATACACCCTCAGACTTCATTTTGGGAATTAAAATCAATAGTGTGGAGTTTCAATCAGGTGGATTTACAGTGGAAGAAGCAAGAGAGCTCTGCCACATGCTCGAAGAGGCAACCTTTGACTTTGTTGAACTCAGTGGTGGCACATACCAGGCAATGGCTTTCAAGCACCAACGCGAGTCAACAAGAAAACGAGAAGCATTCTTCCTTGAGTTTGCGGCCATGATTGTGCCTGCACTGCACAAGACAAAAACGTACGTTACCGGAGGTTTCAGGACTCTCCATGGGATGCTAGATGCTTTGAAAACGGTGGATGGTGTCGGTCTTGGTCGGGTGGTCGCACAGGAATTCAGCCTGAGTAAAGACATGCTGAATGGTACCATCACTGGTGCCATTGACCCAAAGGTAGATCAAAATGACTTTGCTTTGACCAATATCATTGCAGGCAGCCAGATCCGGCAAGTGGGAAAAGGACAAGATCCGATTGATATGAGCCGAGAAGAAAATGTGCAAATATTTCTCAAGGCGATGAGCACCTGGGCTCAACGGATGGCAGGGGATGTCCAGACAATGAATTTGTACGGCTATGTTGACTTGGACTTGTAGATAGAAACTTACTCCTAATAATTCTGTTTAGAAGCACTCTAATGCATGTTAAACCTGGTTTTGATCCTGATAATTCGCCCAGTGTCTCTTCCAGGCAGCGAGAGACCTCTCATCCCATAAGTATCGCTTGACTATCCTCTCAACATCAATCCAACCACCAATCCATCTCTCCTGGAGTACTAAATCCATCATTAATTGACGAGCACGCTGCTTAAGAGTTGCACCAGCCGTAATCGCTATCTCAGTACCAACAAGCGTTGCCCAGACCCTCAATTCACGGTAGCACAACGTCCCTTCCTTGCTAAAGGATGGCATCTGGCTCCCCAGCATCGCCAGCCTGTTGATATAAGCTACTTCAGGGAACATCTGCATTTGTGCCGTGCGCCGTGTGAGGAATGCAACTGTGCCCAAACAGGCCAGTCGTTCCACCGCATTCTGCGACCGGTTAGCCAACAGACGAGCTCCCGTGATTCCCTTAGTTTGGCGTTCCGCAGACGCAGACTGAGTAATGCCGTCATACTGTTGAGACTGCTCTCCAAGAAGTAAGATAAAATCAACGCTGAGATTCCCCGAGATAGCCAAGTCACGGAAGCCCTCTGGTAAGATATCAATCGCGGACTGTAACGACCGATCGAGCTGGATATCTGGCTGAGGGTATCGAAGTGCCGTCGTCGCTGTAACAGAAGTGCCATCAGCCTGCTTATTGCTGGATGGTTGATGACTTCCTTGAGTAATGTCATGCTTAAGACCAGATGCCATTTCTGTGCCCTCAACCAGCCCAACCGCCTGCATAACATAGAGGTCTTTCAAGCAACCACTCGCAACCTGACCCCTTAGCTGCATCATCCGAAGCAACCCAAGGCAATGAGCTTTAAACTCAGATTCATAACCGAATCTCGCTGCTCCTTCCATCAAGTAGAAAGTTGCCAGGATTGTCTCGTTCGCTGTCCAAGTTGCTACTTTGTCTTCTGTCTCTGTTGATATTTTGGCTTGGAGTGCCTTCAGCGCTCGCGCCTTGTGCCACAACATGGTGGCGCTAGGTGTGATTTTGTCTTCCAGCGTAGTGATACGTACGCCATGTGTGAAGGTGGCCACTGAATCAAATAGCGCCATATCACCACAGACCATTTGCACCCAGCAGCGAATGAACGGGTTGGCACCAGGACCCCAATGCGTCAAACGAGCGGCAAGATAGTGGATATCTGCCAATTGATTTTAGTAACTGGTGTAGTAGACTATACATGTAGCCTAGGGACAACATCTGAGACAGGGTAGAACTTACGGAAATCGAGAACATTAAAGACCTTTTCTCGATGCTCAGTCGGATAGGCTGGAACAAAACATTCAATTACCGGCCGCAGTAATATAATGCTATTTTTGATATTGGAGCCTGGGGACTCAGGAGCTTCCGGCCCAGCATTATGTTCTATAGAGTGTCGGTCGCCTTCATTACTCGAACGAAGAAACTGTGACCCCCGGATGACAAGCCGACCCTGTGCCTCTACCGCAGGGACTAGTGACTGCGGAAGTGTCCTGTTTTCGCTTCCATTAGGGAGTTGCTGTGCTCGTCTTGCAGGGGCCGAACGGTTTCGGAAGTGTTTTCCAATGTACGCAGACACTGCTTGGCGTTGCGTGCGGCTTGGCCGGGGATCAGATGGGTCATAATTTATGAAATTCCACCTTTGCCTTTCGTCCATGGTGGTACTGGAGGTTTCACCTGATATGAATTGCAAATAACTCGTAACGTTCACTCTGACTCACACTTGTACAGCAACGCCCGAAATACATAATAACTCTGTGCTAGAGGGTTGAAATCTAGTAGAGCCCAGGTATAGCAAAACTGTGTCCTAAGAGCTCCGTCCGTTTTTGCCTGAGGTAGTTGCGGCTACCGGCCATTATCTTATCAGCTGACTTGCAGTATGGCAGAAGTGGCGACCGCCATAAGACAGTACATGATGATGGGAGGATATTAGCACTATACCAGCCACAGCTTCGCAAAGTGGTCTGTGCAGAGAGAAACTTTACATTGACAAAAGCGGACACTCATTTCGGGCGCTACTGTATAATAATATAGACTTATATTTGTTGAGGGAAGCACAAGTGAACGTAAAGTGATTGTATTGTGATGATAACGCTAGGTTCCAACTAGCTAATAGATGCGGGGCACAGCCTTAAATATGTTAGGCCGACCGGTCCTTCCTATCGTTTCCTCGATAGGGCCCGACCTGCATCGACGCCAGGGGAGTTGCTTCCAACAATATTCACTGGAAAAAGCAACAAAGATAACTTCATTATTTAGTATAAGCCACTTTTGGAGTCATATGTATAATGGGTGTTATATAATACAGCTACTCTTTACTCTCACGCTTGCATTATAATAAATAGTGGCTCCAAATAACATAATCATTTATTGCTGTACAACTTCTTCGAGCTTCTTTCTTTGCCTTAGTATACATTTCCTCTCATTGTGTATCTGGATTCATCGTGTATCTTATTTCGTCCTGTATATCTTACTTTGATAGCCTCATACCAACTATCGTGTAAAACACTCCCCCTTCAAAACGATCCACGCGCCAATGCTCATTTGCTTCATCAATATCCAAGTCACATGCTTCAAGCCACCTCACACAGCGACTGCAAGCGATACCGTGGAGTCGCAGTGTGAAAGTGAACAAATCCCTTGGCAAACGCCTTAAAGTTGTCTTGATATTCGGGTGCATGAGCAAGCGCAGCAAGAACACGTTCGCCAGCTTCTACACCCTCGTCGGCCACCTTTTGCAAGGCCGTCAGGATATCGCACTGTTCCCTCTGGGCTCGCTGATCAATGTAGTTGCCCGTCTCCTCCGCCAGCATCTCTTTGTAAAAGGAGAGAACGTCGTTGACAATATTGGTAAAGACAACGACGTCTGGGATGACTTGCGCGTATTTATCAAGGCCACCTTTAGGGAGCTGGGCATCTGTGGCACAGCCGACCACTAGCAACGAATACATGGGTGACAATCCAGTCTTGAAGCGCAGCCAGTCTGGGTATTTAGGAGCGTCGGGTTTTACATCTTGACCAGCCGTCAACCCCTCGATACCGACGCCATTGCAAAAGTCGTAGACGGCCGTGACGCTCATGCTAGCAACGATAGGATGGAGCTTCGTCCACATTGTTGGCATGATCTCGTGGACGTACCACTCGAGGACTGGATCGCCGAGCGGCTGGCCTGTGCTGAGATTGAGTTGTAGGTTCCGTAGCGTATCCGGTTTGTTATCGAGTAAGTCGTCAGCGTGGAAGAAGAAAATAGTCGAGTGTGCCACCAAGACTTGGTGGTCGAGAGGGTGTGTTGTAGCGAAGTCGACTGCCGCGTAGCACGCCATTATGAGGTGATCTTTGTAGTTGAGCAGGTCGATTTTGTCTCGAAGACTTGATGTTTTCAAATCCGCCATGACGGCTTCGTAGAGCTCGGTAATAGATGTTGGGGTGAAGGCATCTTTGTCCATCTTGCCGCCATTTGTGATCCTATCAACAAAAGTTGTCAGGGTATCACGAATGATGGCAGATGACTTCTGGTTACTTGTGAGAATCATTCGCGCGAGTTGGCTAAAGGAACTTGGCTTACTTCTGGAACTTCCAACATGTTGCCGACGAAAGTGGAGAATTTGAAAGCTAATGTTTTTTATTGTTGAACAGGAAAGCACCGTCTGGTCTAGCTCTTTTATACTCGTCCATCGCTACAACATCTCCTATCAACGGCGGCTGAACCTTCGTGCCTTGCCCCTGACTCTCCACGATATAACTCACAGTAAATACTCGAGGAATCCGCTCAGGGGAAATGGTACGATTTTAGAAACAAGCTACATGAAAGCCCTGTCGTACCTTGCAGAGATACTACATAGTGTACTAGTAGAATTACCAGCATACCGGTAGGACAGCTCGACGGATGGCGGGTCTCGCCATAATCGAGTTAGACTCGGCATATGAGGGAGTGTTACATAGACAAGGGGATCATGAAGAACCACCGTCTTCTGCTCTCTATCACATATTAGAGCGAAACCATGCCTAGTGACGGGCTGGCGGCATTCTCTTCCGTCCAATGGAAGACTAACGATAGTAGTACCCGGCAAGCAAAATGATCGTCATATCCGTGACGGCAGCTAAGGGAAGCTGAAATTACTAGCACTAGTCAATGCCGCGTGTGGAGTACGTATGAGTGCAGCGGGATTAACACTACTGTAGTTATGGGATTTGAACTTACTAAGAAACTCTACCCCATAACCGCTTACTTATGACGAATTATCTTGGCAAGCCAAGTCTTTCGAAAATACTGCTATAAGCCTATGTGAACAGTCGCAAACTCTTTCTGACTGTTGTGCCGAGGGAGCCTAAGCTCCGGCTATTACTACGTCAACTACTATGACAAGCAAAGGGGAGACAATAACGAGCTGTCACTTTATCGGATTTGAACTGCCGGAACCCTTGCACTTATTCGCTTGCTAATTCATCAGAAAGCCAACCGCGATAGCCGAATTCTTCTCCAGCTGTTCCTAATATCGTAGACATATAGTTTCCCTGTTTAGTGTAGCGTAGATAGTATTTAACTAGGATATTTCGACCATGTGGAAACGTTGCTAGCTTAGCGTTGAAGTTGTGATCTTCGCCAATAATAGCTATCCCTGACCTTGGGATGGGGAGATAACGAGGAACCTGGGCGAAGTAGTCCGAGCAAAATAAATTATTTCGACATGAGGCCGCTGATAAATGCAGGAACACTGTTTATGTGCAAACTTGTTTGACAACTTCCGGTAGATTCAAGTTCTTCTGTTCATTCGTCCTATATGCTACCTAACTCGAATACAGTCGTAAAGACTAGGAGTGGCACTATGACTAGTCATCATTCTGGCGTTGCCTCAGATAAGTATGATCAGAGCTAACAAAGGAAAATTTTGTCATGGAGTTGAAACTTGGCCGCAGCATCCCATGGTCATCGCACCATCAAAGCTTTTTGCCGCGTTAGGAATACCATGCTAAAGATCCACTAAAGTCTAACGGTTTCCCCTCTTTTGGGAAAGTGTAGACAGGCCTGTAAGGAATCTGAGTAAATCGCGGATTATGCTCCGTAAGACCGCAAAAGGTATATTGAGCATTCTCCGTCGCCCAAACTTATCATAGGCCCGCAGAGTAATCTTGAAAGCTTCGATACACAAATTGTGGACATACCAATCATCTAACACTTTCGGTCAGAGCATACAAATGGAAGATAGAGACTCACAGTCCGAAAAACTCATTGGAAACAACAGGCTGTCGACATCCTTGTTCAACTTGTGAACTAGCGCTGTGCCTCTAAAGGGGCCTCCGGTGCTCATCCACCCACATTCCGAAATGGCCGCCAACGGCCCGAGGGTAGACTTACCCTGGCGCTCCTATAAGAGACAGAACGGCTGGGTTCCTATTGGAGGGAGAATCTCCGCCGTTGTTGAACCAAATGGTGATGAGAAAAGAGACAAGAAGCCAGAACTCAATGATGACCAGAATCGGGGCATGCAAGGGGACCATATACTTTTTTGGGTAGTCAATGGGCTTATGGTAATGTTGCATGTTAAATAACGAACAGATCTAGACGAGTGTCTGCAGGACAATCTGCACGTCGCGGGGCGGAGATATCTCTCTTCTCTCTTTTTCTTCATGCGATCGTTACTGCGTTTACTAGATTAGGAAGTAGATGTAACTGCTTCCTCTCCAAGTCCACGAGATTAGCTTATAGAGGTCTTACTACTTAAACCGAGTCTGACAGTTTATTTTTACTCTATGTGCATAACCAGAACTTAATCTGCTATCCTTGCAAGCTCAATCGGATCGTCTGAGAAAGACTGTTACTGTCGCGTATGCCGTAATCCCTCGAGTGTATCTATTCCGGACTTCAACTATATAAGCCGCTTCATTAATTGCTCTTCATCTTACTCATGCATAGTGAGAAGTAGAAGGACTTTCATCAAGATTTGCAGGCCAAAATTTTGCAAGGAATGCAGCAGTTTTGTAGACCAAGGGCTATTATTGTGGGTAAAAATTGATTCCAGCTTTTTTTTACTCAAAGCAGTATCCATGAATCCCATTACAGATGAGTTAAAAAAAGGCTGTGGAGATGGGAAGTAAACCACAAGTTGTCTTTTATTCTTTGCCTATCAATGCGTGAGGCATGGGGGTAGAATCAAAATGCTGTGAAGTGTATTTGCGCTATCTTAACTTGCTAACAGCCGTAGCTTGGCATAGGAAAAAAAGCCATGAAAAATGTCATTTGCTATCTTTCCCTTGCCTTTATATTCTTTAAACATTATATATGTTAATTTTAAGAAGCCTTGATTAGAAGCGATGCTACGGGTTGGCATTTTGAATATTGCCGTGAGTCATATTATACACATGGCAACTTTTGACGGCTCTTCCAACGACTTTGCTGCGGCTGAAATCATGATATTCTAAAATGCTCAAGCTAATGTAACACTAAAGATGGGCCTTGCCCACTATCATGAATGCGCCTAAAATACAGAGCCCAGAAAATGATGCTTAGATTATACATGAAAGGACGCCGTTACTTATAAAAGACCCCAGCGGCCGGCCATAAGTCTTAAAACCTGTCTTGTTCTTCGCTCCCCAAGTATCAATCTGAGGCATTCTTACAGTTATGTACATTACGTAAAGATACTCTCTACTTCCGTTCACTTACAAGTTACCAAACGCATATGTCTCGATATATGATGTTAGCCTCGTGAGATGTTGGTTCTCATGTAAACTAGAGGTAACAGTTTCATCCAAGGACGAAACACTATCCAAAAGGCAGAAATCGTAATCCAAAGCGCAATAATATAGTCACCTTCTCAAAGTGTGATAGCATCCCTCGTCGCAGCATCCTATAGCTTGTCTATAGCACTCTTATAAGTTTATCCTCGTGAGACTTTGCTATCAAAACCACCACTGCCCGCGCTTTCGAGGGGTTTGTCAAATACTGTTTCCATATTTTATACTCGGCGCTAGTTCCATTAACGAGCAAAGCACAATGATGATTACTTTGTTGCTGATAAATGAGATCGTCATGTGCCCCGATATCTCGAACAGGAAGCATGCGTGGCAATCGAAGTTGAAAGGATGCTTCCCCTCAAAGGTCATCATCATTTACGCCAAATGATACCAAAAGTCATAATCAGTTCAAATACTGAGAGTATGCTCATAAAGCCAGTTACTTTGTATTCTAGTGTCATCAAATATCCCATCTCATATTCGTCACTCACCTCATTTTCCACATCACCGTCTTAGAACCCATCAACAAAGCAAACAAGTCATAACTGAGCATGATATCCCATAACATAACCCTATACAAATATTCTTACAATGCACCATTCCACCAAGCACGCGTACGTATGTATACATATATATACCATCCCAATACCACCCGCCCAAGTCATGCCAAAACATATATGCCATATCTTTCATGTCCATGCTTATAACCCTTCCATTTCTCTTCTAGTCAGACAGAGCGAGTTCAGCTCCTCTTCCCCAACTTCCACCCATCAATCCGATCCTGAATCTGATCCCATGTCATCGCATGTGTCGTCACCCCATACGCCTGCGCCTCCTGCACCACCACCGTCGGTGCACCACTGCCCCCTCCAATATTCTTCACCGCGCCGCCCATCACCATGCTCGCCACACGCTGTAGATCCTTCACCGTCAAGTTCTCAATGCGCCGGCACATCTCCCGCACGGGGATCTTGCGCCGGTGCACCTGCACCGACCGGCCTAGGTCTTCCAGCTCCACCATGCGGCTTTCCAGGTTCATCAGCAGCGACGACCGCAGCTGGTTCTTGGCGCGCGCCACCTCGCCCTCCTGCAGCTTCGAGATGCCCCGTTCGAGCGTCAGCGCGCGCAACTCCTGGCACATGACGTCCAGCATGGCCGACGTGTGGCCGGGCAGACAGGATGCCGCAATGCCGAACAGGCCCGAGTCAGTGTAGGAGTGGTTGAAGGCGACGCACGATTCCACCCAGCCGTGCTGGTTGAGCACGTTGGTGTACAGGCGGGAGTACATGCCTTTGCCTGGGCCACCGGCAGAAAAGGATCCTCCTCCACCGAGCAGCGTCTGGAGTGTCGCTAGCGCATAGATGTCGTCTGAAGCAACAGGCAGTCCCTCAAACGCAAGGTGAATGTGTGTAAAGTTTGTGCCGGTAAGGGAAGGCGGCTGAGGAGGGAGAGAGAGGAAACCGCCCGTGTACCGAGCAGGCTGGTTGATGTCGATATCTGAGGGAGAGGAGAGAACAGAGGCGTTGCGGGGCGTAGACGTGGAGATGTTCTTGAAGAGGGGAATCTTGGACATTAATCGTGACGATGAGTTTGATGATGATGAAGAGGAAGATGATGCTGATGCGTCGCTAGCAAGAGAGCTCACGCTCGTTTCTGAGCCCGTCCTCGGCAGCGCATTCATACCTCCAAAGTGCTCTTCCGCCAACTTCACCGCAGTGCCGTGATCCACCCCCGCAAACGCCAGCACCATTCTCTCCGGCCGGTAAAACAGCTCTCTATACAGCTTCACCGTATTCCTGTCAATGCTCTCCAGCCTTTCCTCCGGACACAGCAGCGGGTTCCCCAGCGTATTATCCTTAAACGCAGCAGTATGCACCAACTCCGGCAGAATTAACTCGGGCTTGCTCCAAATCTCCGCAATCTCATACCGCGCAGTCTCAATCTGCTCGGCCACCTCCTCCTCCGTGATGCTCGGATCGCGAATCGTCTCCGCCAGCAGCGCAACCGTCTCCGGCACCGCGTTGTTGAACGTGGCGGCCTGGTACATCATGCTCTCGCGTGAAGATGCGCATTGGATGTTTCCGCCGAGGGTTTCCACGCGGCCGAGCATTTCGTCTGCTGTATGCTTCGAGGTGGATTTGAAAGCTAACCGGTCCATGATGTGGGATACGCCTCGCAGGGAGTCATTTTCGAATCGAGAGCCAGCTTCGATGTATACTCCGACTCCGGAAAACGAGCCCGGCAGAGCTTCTGAAGCAACCCGCAGTCCATTCGGTAGCGTTGTGATTTCGTCCAATTCTGTGAGTTCCTACCAAGAATCCCAAGATTAGCTTTCAACCATCAAGAGTCATTAACATCAAAGCTCACCTTTGGTATCCCCTCCACAGCCACCGTCGCCAAAGACCGTCTCGGCACCTTCGTCTTGAGACCACCAAAGCTATGCCCACTCAGCAGCCTCGTCGTTCCCTGGGCCTTTGCCGCCCGCGGCTGCAACCTCGCCGCAAATTGTCGCAGCATTGTGCAAAATCCCCTACGCGCCTATTATGGAAAGAAGCGATTGAGAGAGAGGGATGTGGCTGAAAGGAGAAAGAAAAGGCGACGCAAAGCCGAAGCAAAGTTGCAAGTTCGCCGGAATTGGTGAGTGACGGCGGGACACACCAGGAAAATTGTGGTGCCGTCACTTTTTCACTCGGCGATAGGTCGGATCATCGCGGCGCCGGAGCTCCGACCGGGAAGGACGGCGGCGAATGAATGCTGGGCATTTGAATGCTCTCAGCAGAGCATTGTAAAAAAGTATTTGCATTTACTTCCCACGTTGAATTCAAAAAGCAAAATGCAACATTACTCATGATTCACGCTATACAATTTGTCAAACCTCATCTAATCCCAGAATCAAGTGAATCAAAGGCTAGTCAATAGGCCCTTCATTTCCGACAAACCTGCTCAAACAAGCCCACCAAGTCACATCCAATAACAAAAAAAGAAAGCTCCCTTGCATTTGAATTCTTTCCAACGGCCTAGTGCAAAGCCCTCTTTCTCGCACGCCCCCTCAATCAAGATTCTAGCCCAAAAAGAGAAACAGCCGCCAATAGCCTTCCAGACTGACATCATCTCACAGCTCCGGTTTTAGTTCTAATCACAAGAGCAGTGCAAGACAAAAAGGCCGAGACAATGCCATGAATTCCATTTTTTCTTTCACCGCAAGAACAAAGCCGCTTAAATGTCCTTCCTTTGTTGCCATCTTTTGTATAATCCTTAACCTGTTTAGCTTATGACGCCCTTCCTAGCTGCGTAAAAGGATGATGCTAGCTGTGATATTTTAAAAAAAACCATAGTCAAAGTATGTATATGCTCATCAGTAAATACTGCGAAGGATGACAAAAAGGCACAGCGTTCTAGACCAGCCAAAGTCATTTAGAAACACCAAAAACGATCAGAGAAATACGAAATGAAATTTGAGTAGACATCTCTCAGAAAAGATGATGAAAAAGGAAATCACAATGGTAGCTTCTAGCCATAAACCCGCGCCAAGTTTACTCAATGCTTTAACAATAATAATAATAAGAAGAGGACGCTTTCCTCTCCATTCCTCCTTCTCAGCCTTTCCTTTCCCTATATAACCAATCCCATTCCCAATTCGCTTCTTTTTCACAATCCGGAAATGACTTGTTTTCGCGGATCTGAAAAGTGAAGAAGCAAAGCCATCCATGCTTTATTCACGACGCCATACGCCGGAGAAGAAGTTAAAAAAAGAAAAAGAAAAATGAGAACAGCCTGTAAAGCATATATGCCGCCGTCGTTTATAGAGAATTCACGCCACACTCCATACTATGAAGAACGCAAGTAAAAGTGAAGAGAAAGAAAAAGAAAAGATTGGAAGTATTAAGACCACCAAAGACAAAGAGAGCCAGACCGGTACAAAAAAAGTCCAAGTTCCCGTCATGACGCAACATGGGCGTTGAGCTTGCCCCCTCCCAAATGCCAATGCCAGTAGTAGTAGCAGAGAATTAACATGAGACACAAAGTCGAAAACCCAGTTATTAGCCCCTAAAGTTTGAAGCGCCTCTTTGCCCCATATACAGCGAAAAAAGAGTAGACTGATGCTCGACAAGGTACTTTTATTATGCATTGTTTCTTCCGTTTTTTTTTTTTTGGTTTAGTTTAAATTCGAAGCCGGGGCCTTTGCTATCGGCTGGCAGCATCGTCGCTAGACTCATGTGTGGTGATGTCAGCCTCTGCGGCCGAATCGAGACTCGTCATCTCGGCCGTGCCGTTGGGCGGTTGTCGGCCAGCTCTGCCGTCAAAAACCCATGGCCCAGCATTGTTTCTCGGTGTGATGATTCCCTCTGCCCCGCCGCCTGGTGGCGACGGAGTTCCGCTATCTCGCAAATGACTAGCACGTCCAGCACCCCTAATGGGCAACGGCTCGGAGGTGGCATGTAATGCCGTCGGGCTGCTTGTGGGACTGGCGGCCGAAGTAATGTTGACGGTCACATCCATGGCATCTGTTTCCTGCACCGTTGCCTCGACTGGATCGTCTATCGGTGAGGCGAAAGGGGGTGCGGCTTCTTCTTCAACCTCGGGAACAGTCGCATGAGCGACCGTAACGGGCACCGGTTGCTCGGGTTCCTCAAAGTCGTCCATGTTCTGCCACTCTTCTGTGGGCTCTTCGACATCGGCTTCTAGGTCGGCACCCGCGCGGCAGTTGGGGCAGATGAAGATGGGATATTGAGGCGATGTGAGTAAGGCACGCACACACTTGAAATGCCAAGTGTGAGAGCAGGGAGCGACGAATAATGATTGGCAGGGCTGTTGGACAATTTTATCAGTAAAGAAATCTTGAGTACATCAAAGGACCTTTTGCTTACCGCAATCGAATTCAGGCAGATGGAGCAGTCCTGAGAGCTTGAGCCTGACGCTGAAGCTCCTCCATTTGATGCCATGGTTCGTAGTCGCTTGTGGGCAGCCATGCTAGTAAATCATTAGCCAAGAACAACAAACATGTAAATGCAAAAAAAGACGTGATATCTTGAGAAAGCATAGAAGAGTAAAAGCTTACTTGAATGTGTTCGGCTTGGTCTGCCATCCGCGGTTCAGCTCCAGCCTCATCTTGACACAGCGGAAAATCATCTCCTCGCCGCCCTTAAAGTCAATGCCCAGCTGGACGATATCTCCGTCATTGACAGGAAATGCCTTGCTCTCCTGCGAAGGCGGGCTGAGTCTGATGTGGTTGAGAAAGGTGCCAGACGAGCTCTTGACGTCCTTGATGAACCATTTCCCATTCTCGTACCAGAACTCGCAGTGTCGTCGGCTGACTACCTTGCTCTTGAAGCCTACTGGGGCCGCAGAAGCTTGGTTGCCGGACACGCTGGCTAGAGCATGGTTATCACGCTCAGAGTATCGTCCAACGCGGATGACTTCGGTGCCATTTGACATCGTTCTCGAAATGGGCGGGAAGGACAGCGAGGGTCTGGTGGAACGAGGATCGTAGTATGCGGAAAAGCGAATGGACGGCTGGATATCGGCAGAGCCAGAGCCGGTTTCGTTGCCTCTCGCCATTGCTGCGGTCTCGTCGGCGTCTGTCTCTGCGGGAGATGAAGCGGATGATGATGAAGAAGAAGAGTTCCCCTGAGCGGCAGAGGGGCTGGAGGGGGCCGAGGACGAGTTGGCAGCTCCTGTCTGCGATGCCCTGGCCGCTTCGGGACTTGTAGCCACCAAAGTTAAACGGTTGGGGCCGGCGTTTGTGGTGGTGGTGGTGGTGGTGGTGGTTGTCGTCGTCGTCGTGGCGCCTGGCGAGTAGCTCACAGACCGGGTCAGGCCGTTGCCAGACTGGCTTGTCGCGGGCGAGCTGCCGCCGCTGCTGCTGCTGTTGACGGCGTGATGGCTGTTGTCACGCGACAGGAGGTGGTTGTGGGTGTAGTTGCGCAGGATGCTCAGGCCGCGCAGGCGGCTGGTTCTGGAAGGCGAGGGCGAAACCGTCGACGTCGCTAAGCCAGGCGGCGTTGGTGATACCGGCTGTGAAAACATTTCTTTGGGGAGTGACCGTCAAAGGGTCCTATTGTTTTTTTTTTTCCTCGGGGGGGCGCCTTTCAGTGGAGATGGCGCTGTTGCGGCCTGCTGTAAATGAGGAATTGAGACACTGACAGCCACCAAAGCGGGTTGCGGACAGTGGCTTGGGCCAGTATAAGTTGAAAGGCGTCAGCAGGGGGGAAGGTGGAAAAAAGGCTTCAAGCCGAGCTTGGAGTGTGATGTAAGTATTTCCACACAAGAAAGAGGGGCAGAAAATCGACAATAAGAAGAGGAAAAAAGCGATTTTTTCTCTTCCGCGTCTGCGCGAGTTACTCGGCCTTCTGCTCCTTTATTTGCAGGAATTGCAGTCTCGCGCGGTTGGATGGGTTGTCCAGGCAGCGTCGTAATATAATGGCACGAGTCGCCAGGTTCCAAGGTAGATTTCCCGGTATTATAGTGGAGTGAGGCGGGCGGAAGAAGCGCAGCGAGCCGAAAGAGGCACAAGTCCGGAGGAGACCCTGGCAGAGTAGCAGATGAGGAGGAGTCGAGTAAAAAGTCGAGTAAGAGGCGAGGCCAGAAGGTTTAACAAAAGCCCGGCGGAGCTGAAGTTTAGCAGGAAATGTCGAGACAAGATGCTCTTGGCTCCAAGTTGCGATGTCTGCAGTTTTAAGGCCAATTCGCTTCGTCGTGGCAGCGCATCGATTGCATCACGCAACGAACGAGGATGGCGAGAGGCTGCTGGCGCGTGAGCGTGGTGGGCATTAAAAGCGGGAGTCGGCGCTGGAGGAAGAGGAGGCGGCGTCGGATTGGGCTGGATCTGTCTGTACGCGGCAGCTTGACGTGCACCCGAAATGCGGGGGGTGCTGGTATTTCAAGAGCTGCAGATTGCGATGCTGAAGTGAAGCAGGGCTGGAAAAGAAAAGGAAGAAGAGAGAAGAGAGCAAGTAAAGTCTCAGCGAGAAGAAATGCCCATGTGAGGATGATATATTAGTAGGCCAAAGACGTAAGTGCTGGCCAAGGCCGTGTATTTGGAGCCAGCCAGAGAGGGCACCACTACACAACCAGTACCGCAGGCTACAAGTGATGCGCGCAAACGTCACTGCTTCTGGGACCCGGCACAGCGCGATCCTCAGGTACCAGGACAGGTACAGTCCATGTACTGCGACAAGCCCGGCTGCTAGCAGTAATTCAGTTCCCACCGCCGGCGGCACGAGCGCAGGGCTAAGGAAAATAAAGAGACACCTGGTGCCTGTTTTCCCTCGTCGCTTTTGTCTCTTTTTTTGCCTCCCGTCTGCGTAGACAGCGAGAGAGACTTGTGTTCTGGTTCAGGTTCAGGTTCTGGTTCTGGCCCCAAGGGGGGGGTGCCCGTAATGTGCCCCCCCAGCGCCATTCGGTTCAGCGCAGTTCAGTTGCTTGCTGCCGCTAAATCTGCGCCGCTAGCACCAAAAAAAACCTTGGATATTTGATCCCATGTCTGCGGTCCCTGGTCGGCCAGCCCGCGCGCGGCCAGAAACGAAAGAAAGACAGTGGATACGACATAATAACGGATTCTCTGAGAAGAGAAGAGAGGGGGGCGAGACGCTAGCGAGGGGGCGCCGCTAGTTGCGCTAGGACGGGGTGCAGGCGACCACAGGCTGGGCATGGCTGCTAGCGGTGGGCTGCAGGGGATCAGCAGCCTGGACCGAAGCAGACTGTCAGCTACGTTGGTTGGCTGGACTTTGACGTGTGCCGTGATGTCGAATTGAATTTTGGCAAGCGTGTCAACTGTGTTCAAGCATCGCGGCAATGGATATGGATCACCCGTAAAAAGCTGTGGTTCCGCATTCAAAGGGCTTGACTCTCACATATTCCCGGTGTAATTATTATCAACAAGATACATCATGTGGAAGCTGTTGCTCTGCCCTGCAGCTCAACTACATCAGAGGAACGCCACCAATAAGCCACCCAAAAAGGCCACCACGTTCCAGTCTCGCCCGAGTACACCATCGCCAGCTAGTACCCTCCATCTACACGCATTAGCACCGCCAACTACCATGTCGCTAATGTACCTCTGCGGTCTCGTTCGTTTCAAGGGAACTCGCCAAAACTGAGTCTCGACTCGTGGTCTCGATCGCCAATAAAAGCATCAAAATGCAATCCCTTGCGCCGGCCCGAGGTTTGGGGTCTCTAGGCAAAGATTGGCCCAGTTTTCTCCCTGCGTGCACTGCTGCCATTAGTTGCTCAGCTTCGATTGCTTCAGCACTTGGGACTTTTCGCCTCTTCTGATGAGTGGCTTCGAAACTGTTGCGAATCTTGTCTGGGTCAGGCCAGTAATACGCCGTTTGTGTCCTTCCATCTCGACTTTTCCCTCGATCTGGGTGCCTTGTAGCCTGGCAAGTGTCAGTTTCCGTGATTACCCGCCCTGGACACCTCATTTCCTCCTTGCCAATAGGATCCTGCCCGTGACGCCGCCGTGACGATAAACGGGCCTCGTTCGCCATCAGCCGACAAGGCACATGTTCATTGAATGCGTGTCTCAGCGTCTGTATTGTCTGTATTGAATATCGCTCCCTTGTTTCTCAGCCCGATGCCAGGCTATTGCTATCGTAACTAGCAGATGCAGGCATCGGCTCCAGGTGTGACCTGCATCACGAGCTCCCCTCCTATCTAGTGCTCCGGTTTGATATGCAATGCGCATGTAGTGCAATGGTGCTAGCCGTCCTTGACGCATTATACCGCATCACGAATCTGACTGCTGGAGGACGCACGCAGCATCTGCTTCGGAGCCCGCCGCTGGTCGAAGCACTAGTGATGTTTGGCAGCAGTAGTGTCTGGCTGTTCTTATCAAATAGCTGAGCATCGATTTTATACATGGCATGTGCGCTTTACGCCTTGCAGCCCAAAGCTGATGCTCTCGTCAGCTCCCAAATCACGCTGTCTCTCCTCGTGGCGCTTGGCTCACTCCAGCTTTTCAACGGCTCTTTCTTCTCAACTTCCTTCGCCAATACTAGCAGCAGAAGAAACTACATTCACGCCCCTCCTAACAGCCTCCTATCATATCTATGTATTATGCATTTCTGCGTCTCTCATCCCATCTCGAGATTCATGTTGTACAAGTATATTCTGTAGTATAAGGCACGTATAACCCCACGCATGCATGCAGCTTGACTCAGACAAAAAAAAACCCCCCCTACGAGGCTTTCGGCGAAACATTGTTTAGCGGCCTCTCTCCTGGACCCCGAATCCTTGATATTGCATTCCAGACAAATAAACGACCTTTCCCCTCAGTTTGCTTTTCACTAGCACCAGTAGTTGCCACGTTTTCCCCCTCCCTATTTCAGGAGAAAAAGAGCATTCATCTACGGATGGTATTGATCCATTTGCGTCCTACTATTTTAGGAAGCGCTGGTAATGTCTCGGACGAAGCTCTGGTAATAAAGATCAATTTCTATATTTGGATCTGCAAAAAATTGAAATGAGGCCTGTTGGGCAGACCGATCAGCCGCAAACATGCCAGAAATAAACCGAACGAATGCTATAATCTATGTCTTGCAAAGATGCTATCCGAGACAAGCAGTTGGAAACAAGCAGCCGCCACCTGTTGATCCGAGTCTTGATTGTTTTTGCCTCTTTTTTTCTTTTCAGCTGCCGAGGGCAACACGTCTCCATCGCGATACGGGGAATTGGAGCTATTTACCCCAGCCTCTCTTCCTGCTGACTGCATGCGCACAGGTCCAAATACTTGATACATGTACCTTGACATCGCCCCCAATAGGCATCCTCCTGGCGATTCATGCAAACGGCGACAAAAGGGCCTGCTACTGCAGCCAAGTAGGTAGTCCATATTGCCTTTGCCCCTAGGAGCAGCATTTCCCCACAAAGCCATGATACTCGTATGGAGAAGATGCTGTGAGGACAGCCCCGCATTCCCATCTCATCTCGCTCCAATTTGTGGTACAAGAATACTATCTGCATCGCATGGATATCTGAAGGACGCAATATGCAACGACGCACATATCATGTACAGTAGCATACGTAACGCACGCAACCTCCCCTGGTATCTGTTTCTTCATCAATCCATACCAACGGCCGGATCCGCCACCAAATGCTACGACGGCACGACCAACATCACAAGTCTCATAGCCCTGTCCCGACTTTTTGCTTGCTAAATGATAATGCACCAGCCTCTACACGCGCTCGACTCATGCACACACACTCCCTCTCTCACATGTTTACATCTTCTCCATATGACATCAAAACAGCCACTCACCTACTCACTCCAACTAAAATCACACGTCAAGAACCTGAACAAAGTCCATCTCCTCACTTTCTATTCTCCCCACTGAAACCTCTCGCACTAGACCGCTAATACTTGCCCGCCCATCCATCCCAGCCAACCACGGCGCCATCAGATCATCCAAAATCACATGGTTCTGCTGCGTGCAATGAAAATGCAACGCTACCACGTCCCATGGCGCGGGAGGGGGGAGGCATCCACTCACCAATGTCGACCACTAGGCTGCCTTCCATAATGCGGCAATGCCCACTTCATACAAAATAATACAGACCGTGTTAAACACAGGTTCATGTCCATATCTAATCTCAGCAGTAGTTATACCGCCAAAAGCTCAACCCTAAGCATCCACCACCAGAAACACAAAGGAAAAAAATAGACATCATGAAACAATCACGGGAGTCTCCGTCTAAAAAAACACGTGGACATAGCTGACCCCATACTGTTAGCAGATATCAAAGTCCAGCATCAACCCCAATCACAGCTCCCCCAATTTTCCAGACCCGCATCACCAGACCAGGGTGTGATTCTCTCAGATCATCCGATAGATGGCCACATCGCCTAACTCGTAGCACAACACGCCATTAATTCCCTAGTCCTTGTCCTTGTCCTGTTTTCAAGTAGCATTTTCTGCTCCTCGTCTTTTTTTCTTTTCACTGCCCCTGTATGCATGCATGTTCATGGGGACAATGGGTCGCCTCGGCGCGGGGACATTTTCGGTTCTTATGCCCGCGAGTCAGTTGCAGTTTTCTATGATTTACCTGCTTTCTTACTGCATTTGGCGCCTCATGACGACGAATGATGAACAAAAACAAAAAATGAATGGTTGGCAGGAACAAGTATCCCTTTTACTGTCATGTTGGCCTATCATCTCCCTCTGTGACATGTCTATCTGTAAGTCATACCGCTATTTGCCGTGCATCAGAGCATCACAAGCTATAAGCCATGAGGACTTTCAGATAATTGGAGTCTAAATTTGTAGATTCAGACAGGCGGTAAGGCTGCGGGCTGGGCATGCTTGGTCCATCTCACAAACTGGGCCCAACACTGGCTAAACCGCCGGACCTTCTAGCTTCATATGGAGCAAGTTCGTCACAGTCGTTCAAAGACAGTAAAAAGACCCATATCCCGACCTTACTCGCCAATCTCGTTGACCACGCCCAAATGGAGCTGCTCCATACTGTACTGTATATCGCCGAGGTGTATCATCCGACGCCATTTATAACTTTCGGCTCTAGATCTAGATAAGATACTGCCAGATTTGCCATCGCATCAGTTCAGTCCCTTTTTGGCTATTGCTCAGACAATATGGGCTTTGGCTCCAGTATCTCTTAATGCTATATGCAGAAGGGCTCGCCAATGTCTGTGGCAAATTATCAGTATCCAGCCGATAGCTGTAGAAATGTAGTGGAATCAACAACTTGGAGAAACCTTACTATTGGGCTGTCTACTACTTATATACTTTCTAGTATTTACTTTGATGTTCAGAGGTAGTAGTATCATGGCCAGGGAACGGTTGTAAACCCCGGCCTACTAGGTTGGTAGTAGTTAAAACCTAGATCTCGAAATTATATGCGGAGTAAGAGGAGAAGAATACTAGTTACCATCCGTCAAAAGAGAAAACGCAGCTAACTCAAAGGAAATCTCCGGCATTGGGTATCGTTCCGGAAAAGGAAGCTCTAGAGCTGATATTGAATCAATAAAATATATCGGATATTTTGCGGAATCGCTTACGACGAGTCGAATACTACCTGAAACAAATTCTTCGGGCATTGTTGCATCTATCTGGCAGCAGCCTTGTAGAATCCTGATATGTAAGTCTAGATCTCAATAATTGGATAGCCAGTAACAAACAACACAACGCAAACCGCCAACATCAAAAACATCGTCATTATTTCTCATAAAACATCCTCCCTCATTACTTCTTAAACGTCGACCCGCCAACCCTCTCAATCTCCTTCCCCTCAGTCGTATCCCTCCCCCCCGCCGCCTCCAACAACCTCTCATACGCCGCCGCATCCCTCAGCTTGACAGCCTCCTCCGCTGCCTTGACCCGCAGCCCGCACTTCTCATACATGGTGATCGTCTCGCCCGGCTCCAGACCCGTGCACTTGGGCACAAACACGGCCGCCAGGCGCGGATTACCCGCCTGTAGCGTGAGGTTGAAAAAAGGCTGTTCAAGGAAAGAAAATAAGAGTTAGCCAAGCTTCGGACTTTTGCTGTTTCATCTTAACGCCGTCTCAAAATCTCACTCCTTCCACGTGTTTTTAACTACCCCCGATCGATATGATGGAACCCAGAAATGACAAAACTCTAAATCAACTTACCGCCCATCCGATAGGACTCTTCTTCGCCTTTGCAATATCTTCAATCTCACCCCACTCTCGTTTTGCGACAAGTGCCCGAAGCCTAATTACACGGCAATGGCAAAAACGCCCGCCGCCAGTCAGCCCATCACATGCCCTATAATGATATGCGATACCTGAGAATCATGCAGATCGGGGCAACCATAACTTACCTGATCCACCACGCAACCTTCTCCGGCACCTTAAAATCGCTCTGGATCTTCTTTGCCTTCCCGTGGTACCCGAGCCGGATCAGCTTGAATATCGTCTCGTTGACGCTAAGTCCCGAGAAGGAGTCTGTCAAATCGCGGTCTAGCGCCTCCTGCGCCCGAAGGAGCTGCGTCGTCTCCTTGAGCACATACACCTCTGCCGCATTATCTTTCGATTCGGACAGAAGCTTGGCTGCCAGCGCCAGCTTATCGGATGCCGTGCGCGCATCCGGCTGTCGGAGTGATTCTCGGATGAAAACGTTGGCGCCATCGACCCGCCTGTCATCCTGGTAGTACATGTCTTTCAGAAGGGTATTGTCTCCTTCCAACTGGGCGGCAGATTCTACCAGTGCCGTTGCAGTGGGTCGAACGTTGATTACTCGGAAGAATGAGGCTAGTGGTAGCTTCTTCTTCAGCTTTGAGAGGACAAAAAGAATGAGGTCAGTATCACCGCTCTCAATGGCTTTGTCCAAGGCTAGGTCGTCCTCTTCCATATCTAGGAGAAGAGGAACTTGTCTCCCACCACGAGGTTCGTGGTTCAGCAGCTCAGTAGCTAGTCGGGTTCGGCCCTCGTGATGTGCGGCCCTTGCAATCTCTTCGAAAGAAATGCCCGGCTTCCCCGAAAGTCTCTCCACGACCAGTCGACAGATGGTATCGTCGTCTTGGGCGCCAAGCCGGACCTTTGTAGATGCCCAGCTAACGTAGATGCGGTCCGTCGGAAGCTTGAGATAGCCAGCAATCTTTAGCGCCAGCAAGTATTCGTGCCGCTGGATTAGCCGTTGGATGAGCCGCTCAGGCGTCAGCCTATGATATTGTTGAAAAGACAGGGGCATTCCAATTTCAAAACCGCGCACAGCGTTGAGAACCCGTAATGTCTCGCACATGTCGACAAACTCATCGCTGTTGTAGATATCTAGCACCGACTTGCCAAATGACGCAGCTTTGAGCAGTCTCTTCTGCCACTGCGGATCAAACTCGCGACCAGCGGCATTAACGCACGTGTCGACAGCTTCAGTTAGATTTGGCCGAATAAGCTGGATGTAGTCATCTGCTTTGGGAGATTGCAGCTCAAGCTGCTTGACAGCATCAAGCAAGATGGATGCAGGGGATGATTCTGAGGCGGCGCCAAATGCTTGAAGTGTATCATCAGGCACCCTTTCTAAGAACTCGCAAAAGTCATTTGTTATTAATCTAGCGCCATCGTGCTCTATTACTGGTCAGCATGAGACAGATATCACAGATTAACAAGACCAACCAGATACGACATGCACTCGAGTGCTGTCATAGATATAAGATGAAGACTCATCTCCCGGTCCAATCACATGAACCTCGTCTTCCCAAGCAATGATAGCATCGCTACCACACCACTCCACATACTTGGGCGGTGTGTTTGAATTGGAGTTGTGTTCGAATAGCCTCTCCTGGAAATCGCTCGAAATGACATGCGCCTTGCCGTTCTTCCCATAGAGATTGACAAAGCCACCGTTTGGCGAAACGCTAATGTGTGAAAAGGGTCCAACATCCAGGAATCTGTCCTCGCAGTCTGTGGCGTCGACAACGTAAACAGTCGATCCAATACTGAGCAGCACCTCCACGGAGCGAGACAGCGTGTGATTTGGCGCGATGATGCCCCATGAGTGAATCTCACCCGCCGGCGCCGGCGCAAGCAGCTTTGGCCGCGGCTCTGTATATGATGAGACTGTCACCAAAGTGTTGTTCCCCAGCAAAGCAACCAGGCCGTTGTCGTAAAACCTATTCATCACCACTTAGTTTTCCCATTCTCACACATCTTCCTCATCGATAACAGGATGTGAATAGCATTTACCGGCAAGACTCAACTCCGTAGTTATCCGCCCCGTTCCCCAGCGAAAAGTGGCTGAAATCCCCCTGCATATCATAACATCTCACATTGCCATCTGCCGCAACAACAAGCAGCGCCTCCTCCTCCGACCAGCCCAGCCCCTTGATGGCGCCGCTGTCCCAGGCAATGTTGCGCAGCTTCTTGCCCGCCAAGCTGTAGATCTCGATGGCCGGCTTCGTCGACTGGCCTGTCTTGTGAGCCTGCAGCTTGGTGTCGTCCCGCCACAGGGCCAGAGCGCCGGCATAGGGAGCGCCCGTGACGATGTAGCCATCGAGATCCAGGCCCTGGTCAAAGACGGCGGTATACTGCTCTGTCTTGCGGAACCACTTGTCCCCTACGCGCTCCCAGTCGGCTCTTGCGTGAAGGGTGTCCATGCCGTTATCTCGCTTTCATGACGGTAGATGAAGCTAAGTGAAAAAGAAAAGGAGAAAAAGAAGAAGAAAGATGTGATGTTTATTGGATGAGATGAGTGAAGCTCAAGATGGAGTTTGGAAGATGCGCAGCTAGCCACCATAGCTCCGTCCAATGAGAGGCGAGGCTATTCGTCGGCTAAACCGACAGCTTGCATCATCACCTCAAAGGCTGTCACTCATAGAGCGCAACCCCACTAAACTCACTGCATGTTGTACTTTTGGCCTCCATCTCTCATCAAGGTCATTTCTTACTCGCATCAGGAGGGGTTGAGTAAGCCTCTCACTACTACCGCTTACTATAGAAGCTTCTTCATATACGCGTTATTTTTCTACCTTTTCACATCTTCAGCCATGCCCAACTGGAGAGACGAGTACCTCTCTTCCCTCAGGGAATCAGAGCTCAACAATCCCGTCAACATGGAGCTCGTCCAGGCTTGTTTGTCTTCTCCATCCTATTCAATATATGTTTAAGACTCATACTATCTCCTCAGGTTCACAAATGGCAGACCGTATTTCATCCCTCGAAGCAGAAAAGCTGGCTCTAGAATCCCTCGCCGTCGGTCAAGGCAACAACAACAACAACCGGTCAAAGTCGCCATCCCTTCAGCCCGGCGAGGCAGCACCCAATGACCCCGGCGTCGCTCAACTGCGTCTTGAACTGGCCGAGGCATTACGCTCGCGAGGCGTGGCGGAGACGCGACTGCGAACTGCAGAAGAGGAGTTGGACAAGCTGCGTTCCAAGACGAAGCAGGATACTCGATCTCTCAAGGATCTCACTACAGAAAGGACGTCTCTTGCTACTAAAGTGAATGACCGGGAGTACGAGCTCAAGGAAAAGAGGAAGCTAGTTGAGGTATTATATCATTTAACTCGATCTTTGAAATGCTCTTTCCTACCACTAGAAGATTGAAAACTGACGTATATATACAGCAAGTCCAGGACGAGATGATTGCGCTTAATCTGCAGCTCTCCATGGCTGAGAAAGAGAGGGATCGGGTCAAGCAAGAGAACAAGGAGCTCATCGACAGATGGATGAAGAGAATGGCCCAAGAGGCAGATGCTATGAATCTCGCAAACGAACCAACACTGGGAAGGGGGCGGTAGTACCAAAAACAAAACAAAGAAAAGTGTTTCCATTTTCATCATAACAGCATATATCATGGCGGTAAGGATGCTTTGTTTCTTTCATACATATTTTATACAGTCAAGTTTGTTTCGTTGCTTCATCTACTAACGCGTTGATCTTTCGCTGTTGATGACCGCTCTTCTTTCAAACGTTCTTTCAAGCAAAACAAGAAAAAGAAATGATTATCCTCCAATGTCGTTAACCCAAATCCTCAGTTCCAAGAAAAAAAGAGGACAAAAATACCCATATTCCTGATTTATACTCGATTATTTATATTCTACAATACTCAACATAAACATCTTTATGCAGTGCTGATGAAGCTCTAATTAGTCTATTTCCGCGTGGAGATGTAATACTGCCCGCCGGCGTTTGTCCAGCTGACGAAGCCCTCGGGGTACGTGCACTCTTCGACCTCAAGGATGGTGCTGCCGACATCGTTGATATTGTGGCTGCTTTTGGAGTCGGCCACGAAGGATTTGAGAGAGATAATCTTGCAGCCCGGTTTCAGGTCCAAGAACATTCGGATCAAGTCGTCGTTAAGCTGTGAGGTGAATGCTTTGTTGTTGACGAGGATGACATCGGCCCGCTTCAGGGCATCGTGGATCAAGGCGTTCTTACGGAAATCACCACGTTCAATGTGTACCTCGCCTGGCTCTATGCCCCAAAGCAGGCATCGCGCATGAAACTCTTTCTCTTGAGCCTCTGCGAGGTTGCAGGCGTTCTCCATCATCTCGCAGCCCCAGCTTTCGCATCCGACTTCGAGTGCGGCCTGCAAAACGACATTGCCAACGCCCGAACCCAGATCGACAAATACTTGGTCGGACGTCATCTTGGCCTGCTCAACCAGAATTTTGGTGATGAAAGGATGCAGAAGCTCGCCATAGACAAAGTCTGTTCCGTTCTCGTACTTGGAAAGGAGTTCCACCTTTGGAGCCACTGTACGATCGTAGATCTGGTCGAGAATGAAATCGGTGAGTTCCGAGGGGAGCTCATGCAGGTTTTCGAGGTTATTCGAGACAACGCCGGCTTCCACCAGTTCAAGGAGTTTCTCGTTGTAATCACGCAGCGCAGCCTTGAAGCCAGCCAGATCCTGGATGTTCCTATTAGACGCTTTTTCCAGTCGTCGGATGATGCCGTTATCATGCTTTGTAAACGGCTCGGCTTCTGCGTCGGTGAGATAGGTTCCGGCGACGAGGCGCACTATGCGTATGCTCGCTTCCACGGTGTCGATCTTGTCCTTGCCCCAAACGAGCTGAAACCTAGATTCTTGTTAGAAGAGTCCTTGAACACCACTGTTGTTACACAAACGGCGGGGTGAGGGGCCCAGTTGGAATGCAGTTTTCATTAACTCGACTTACTTTTCTCGGCGCTGCAGAGTGGGATACTGGAGTTCGACGGCGACGTCTTCCTTGGAAGCCCCCATGATAGGAGCGCATTTGTGCTCCAGCGATGCAACGTCGACGGCGTGGATGAACTGCAGCCCCTCATCCTTCCGCTCGTACGCCCTCGCGCTCCTCAGCTTGCGATTTGAATCTTCGCTAGTTGCTTTCCTCTGACGCTTGTGCGAGTCCAAGTCCATCCAGTTGTCATCTTCGGCGTCGCTGTCCTTGTCGAACTCGATGCGGTCGCTGGCGGGTGAGCGGCGAGACGCGCTGGTCGGGGCCTTTCGCTTGCGCTGCGGCTCGAAGCGCCTCTCGTCGGTAGATGAGGGGTACGGCGAACTGCTCTTCGCACGAGACGAGGCTATGGAGGAAGAGGTGGCATTTGGCGAGAGCTTGCGGATCGGGGATGATCGCGCCGACGACGATAGCCCGGGTCGAGCTACAGACCTCGGCTTTGGTTTCGGGGCATTCTCGACGGCGACCTTTTCGATGCGGATCTTGGGAGGGGCGACCTTGAACTTGTGACTCTTTCCACTGAGAAGAGGCATGGCGGCGGCATCAATCTCGAGAGCGCCAAGATGCGAAACCAAAAAAAAAAAAAAAAAAAAAAAGAGAGAGAGGTGAGAGTTCGCTTTGGTGGAGAGATCGTGCGGCTCGGCTCAGGGGTGCGCTGTATCGACCGAGGGTTCTGCCTAGGCCTTTTGTCGTGCCTTGGATGCCTGCCTTGGGAAACCGGCCGACGGCGGGCACGCGACGATGTGCGAGCGAGTGGGAGCACGGGAGCTGGTGATGGGTGAAGCAGGCCTAAGCCAGGGTCGCGAACCGGGCGATGACGGCAGCGGGTGGCGGGGGAGGCGAAAAAGCCTGTCCGACTGAAAGGGAGTTGCAGCAAGGCGTTTTTTGGCAGCTCTTTGAACAAAGGAGTGGCGGTGCTCGAGCAGAGACTAAAGAGAAACGAGAGCGACTATGGCGTTTTGGAAGAATGAATAGCGGGATTACAAGAATGACGAGAAATGCACGGTAGATGGATGGTTCGATAGAGAAAAAGAAGGTAGAAATAAAATGAAATTAGCGAAAATAGTACAGTTCGTCCAAATTCTGCCGGTCTGTCAGTAAGTCAATCCATAAGAGAAAACAGCGACGAGAGCAAGAAGAGGAAGAAGAAGAAAGGAAGAAAAAGCCCGGCGCGTCTAGAACTTGGTCGTAAAAAGGCAGCAGCCGAGAAAAGGACCTTGGCAGGTTCGATTTGGATTGTGCCTGCCGCTACTAACAGAGGGGGAACTAATGAATGGAACTTGGCCCAAGATGGAAACACTGAAAGGGAAAGTCGCCTGCTTTGCTTATGTCACCAGCCTTTTTAGCTGCCAGAAACTGGGGTTTCCTGAAAAGAGACAAGAGAAGCCATGGCAAAGTTGGTTGGGATGGAGGGAACACAATGGCGGGATTTCAAGCAACGAATATCTCCACAAAAGGCGTCTGTCAACGGGCTCCCATTCGCGGATGGTGCACGTGCCACCGGTGGCGTTTCCAGGGTCCAGGCCATGCTTTTTGATGTCATACCTGCTGCAGTTTGACATTGGTTCGTGGATGAGATTGGTGCATGAAGGATTTCGTCATGGGGGATGGGGTGGAAGTTTGCTAAATATAGGTTGATTTTATGGTAGCTACGACTTGCAGTTCAATACAGTATGCACGAAGATGAAGAGCTGCATTATGTTGATGCACGCAGTGGTTGGATTTAGGGGCAAGTTATCCAGTACTTTAGCTACAGCGTGGGCTACCGATGCTACTGATGCTACTGATGCTACTGATGCTACTGATGCTACTGATGCTACTGATGCTACTGATGCTACTGATGCTACTGATGCTACTGATGCTACTGATGCTACTGATGCTACTGATGCTACTGCTACTGCTGCTACTGCCACTGCTGCTATTCATGCTACTGCTGCTACTGCGGCTACTTTTAAAAAGATTTGGCAGTTGTGTATCTGGACATAGACTGGCTGCATTGTTAACCTATTCCTGGTGTGTTTAGGTCATGAAATCAGGGTGTTGGACACGTGTAACTTTTCTCAAGATTTATAGTATATGTATAGATGCTGCCTCCATTTACAGACAATCCCTCGCTCATGCTGACCTAGCCCTAGCTTTCATCTTACTTTCTAGAAAAATTCGAAAATCGCTGTTTAAAGTGTCTCCATCTACCCAATCTGCCTTTCCCTTGTCGCAAGTTCATGCCATTCTCTTGGCTTACAGAGACTGTAGTATTCCGCATCGGACCATGGCTATCAAATGGCCCTTCTCCTGCCGTCTTTGAAGAATCTTTTGGAACATCCGAAATCGATGTGGCCAACGAGTCGTCGATGCTAGCCTCAGTCTGCGATTCGTGAAAACCCGGCTGCGAATTGCAGTGCTCGCTCGTAGCTGATTCAAGCATCGGTGTTAATTGCCCAGCTTCCAAACTTAAACTGCTCGCATTTCCTTCAACCAGTAATTGAATTCGACTGGGGCCGGCATCTTCATCCCCATTTGAAGCTTCCAGGGCCAGTAAAGAGCTAGATTTGGTAGATTTGGTAGGGTTGGTAGATTTCGTAGATTTCTCAACATCGTCTTGCTTAAAGGCCAGTTGGTAGTTGTGGCTAAATATGACGGCGCCTCGGAGACTCAGTGATGCGCTGCTGTAATTTTTGCTGCCACTGTTACCGTTGTTACCGCTGCTATCGTTTCCATCGTTGTTATCGTTGCTCTTAAATTTCTCATAATCTTTTGACTTGCGTAGCTGTTGTACCAAATAAGAGTGCTTCGACGAATTTGCACATCGACACCGCTCAAATGGCTTATCTGAGCTATGCCAACTAATATTATTAGTAAGCCTCAGCTGTTCTTCGTTCCCGTGCGATCGTATAATATTAGCAAGATCCGAGACGCAAGCCCCAAGAAAATACCCACCCATTGGCATTTGAGACCAGCGATCACAAAGCATCTCGGATGGCTGAATGATCTCGCCGAAATCCCTGCCAAGCAAAGTGACAGCGCCAATTTCCGTTATAAGATTCACCCATCCATAGCCCATTGCTTCTAGCGTTGCAACGCTGGGACGGCAATCTTGGTTCTCAATGACATCGTCAAACTCCCACCCATCAAGATGTTTGCGAACTCTGCATTTCAAGCTCACTCCGTCTCTATTCGTGACATGGTTTTGGTACTCAACCATTTTCTCGAGGACATTGTAGAGATCGTCGACCAAATCTTGAAAACGGTAGAAATTCTCCTTTTCCTCATAAACCACATTTTCTTTATCGGTTCCTTTCCAGAGCACTCTTTCGCTATGCTGACTCTTATCTCGGTATATCTTTAGCTTCATGTTGTGTTCATTTGTAAGTACTTGGACGGCAGAGTCTGCGGTAAACTTTTCAGTAGCTTCTTCGAGGGATCCGGACTTGAAAAGCAGTAGAGACTTGAACGGACTCTCTTGTTTACGCTTTAGAGCCGCGCGCGAAAGGTGTAGTAAAGCGGTTGTTCCATTTACCAGCCAGCCACGCTTGTATTTTTCGTCCCAAAGAACAACAAATTTCTTATGAATCCACTCAAGCTTTGGCATATAATTTCCTCTCGTTAGGTGAATAGGTTGGTCTTTAATACCCATGGCAAAGTTAACGCCTCCAGTTATATATTTTCCAGCGGATATAGAAATATTATGAAGCACACAGTCTGCAGTCGGTCTGGGCAGGCCTGACCTTTGCACGCTATACTTGGCTTCAGTGGCTCCTATACAAGCAGCAGCTATTAGTCGCTATGATATAACAGCATGATCAAAAGTCTTACCAGCGAAAAGGTCGGCTTGTGAACACCAGCCAACTATATTGCGAGATTGTTCGATATCAGAGGCGTTGACTGATATGTGAGGCACACAAGCATCAAAATAAGATATATGTCCTCCATCGGTTCTATATTGCCAGTGCCAGGTAATAACACCCTCACTATAGTCAGTAGGGATGAGCATAGTTGAAAACCCTTTGATGAATATCTTCCCGTTAAACTCGTCAATCCGTTGTGTGTAGGCAAGTGCTGAAATCATGTTTAAAGGCATTTCAAGGCCCGTATCGAGTTTGGGCCTGCGAAGTACTGGAAATCCCTTCACTAGAAGTGGATTTCTAAACATGCTGTGCCAACATTGCCCGTTATCTAACGAGCTCTCCTTGCTCTTTTCAATTGCGTATTTAAATTGATATTGAATATTAGGATTATGCATTCGCGGTCTTGCATCCTCAGGCTGCAGTCTTGTATCCTCAGGCTGCAATTTCGTATCCTCAGGCCGTAGGATATAAAGAGAGGGGGTGATGAAAGCCATTCCGTTGTAAGTAGAAGAGCGAAGGCTTGCACTTAGCCATGCAAGCTGCTCTCCGACCTCTGCAATGGAGGCTGCAGTACCAAATGCCTCTGCCATGAAACCTGTGTCGGTGGTCCACGCAGTAAGCTGTGTGCCTTCTGGTAAACGGCCTAATGCAATTAGAAGATTTCATGTTGCTGTATAAGAGAGAAAAGTTATCCAGCACCTCAGCTGTAGCTCAACTGCCAAATACATATAAGTAGCAGCAGTAGCAGCAGTAGAAGCAGTAACAGCAGTAGCAGCAATAGCAACAGTAGCAACAGTAGCAGCAATAGCAACAGTAGCAGCAGTAGCATACGCTATAGCGAGAGTGCTGGAAAACAGACTGAGGAGCTGGATAACTCTTCTCAGAAAAAGGCACAATTCTAAACACTCACCTGTATACTTTTCACCACGTGGTCCCCTTAGCACGTTCTTTACCAGTTGCAAAACGTACTCGCCAGTTGTTGGCCAAGTTTGGCGAAGATATTGCAAAGACGTTAGTGCCTGCGCATTCTTTACAGATCCGGTCAAGGTAATGACTTTGTCAATTACCTCTTCCAGAGTCTCTTGGTAACCTTGTTCTTTGAAGAATTTGATAGGATCCCATTTGACCGAGAAAGTAGTACGGAAAGCCTCTGAAGATCTTGACCTGCTTATGCTGTGGTCCAGTTTGAGAGAGCAAAGGATTGTTTGTTTGATGTCTTGCATAGAACTTGAGCAGCCTACTTCCATTAAAGACTCTCTTCTCAAAGCCATGAGAAGCCAGCGATATGCAGCGGATGCACTAATAAGATCGTGATGTGCACCGAGATCGAAAATATTTGCATCTCCATCTTCTTCATAATCTTCTGGATGATCCTCCTGAAGAGAATCTTCCTCCACATCTTGGTTATCTGGGACTCCATAGGGTTCGAATTCGCCCGCATCGTCGAGGTGATTAAGCCAGTCTCTGGTCATCTCCCGTGAGATTTCTGGAGACATCCTATCGCCATATTGATCACGGTCTAGATCTTCACTACTCAGCTGTGTTTCTAGTTGGCGAGCAATATGGCTTATGGATCTAGTCAGTTTTGGCTGGATATTGCGAATATAGGCTGTGACTCAGCCATGGTTCATAATGGAAGGCTTACCCGCTATATTTGTGTGTGTAATACATGATGTCTCTTTGTATTTGAGACTGGGCGTTGAAACCAATTTTAAGCGCAAAGCTTTTAAGAAGGCCTTGGAAAGTGCTGAAGACCGTTTTCATCGATTGTTCATCAAGCCCGTCCAAACACACTTCGCCAATCAATTGATCGGCTAATTGCGAAACTAGTCGCTCTATCCTGGAGTCGGCCAAGCTTGTCGCAGCTGAGTACTCTGTCCTGTCGTCTACATCATCTGTCCTGTTGTTTGCTTGATCAGTAGACGCAATTTCTTCTAGAACATTCTTATTAGACACTGATTCTACAATTCCGTGGTAAGACTCTTCCATTATTGTTTCCTCTTGCGAGAATTCGGATTTTGTAGTGAAACCATGTGGCATAGACGCATATCCGGAATCTGAGAATTGCTCTCTTGAGATTAAGTCTGTGGCCCATGTTTCTTCGTTTCGAAAATGGTTGGACTCTGTGACCATGTATTGTTGTTCAGAGTCATGTCCCATTTCGGACAAGCTTGGTATGGGATCCTCAGCTTCAACCTCGCCTTCAGCTGTTAATTCTGGATTGGGCTTCAGCATGTCTCCCACTACATCCACGATCGATGGTTCCCTCAATAGCCTCTCCTCGAGCAAATGTACAAAAATTGCCGCTGAAAGAAAGCTGCACCCGTCAATACCTGTATCAATCTGTATATCAGCTGGATCATACCTTTTGTCAACGTGTTCCAGGACCTTCGCCAAGATTATTTCCTTCTGCCGTTGATCCAGTTCGATAAAAGCCGGTAGTTGGTCCATGTATTTTTCCACGTATATTTCTATATCTTGGGCATTTGCTCGAATCTCCAATGATATGCTATTCGTTCTGAAATGGGTAATTATGTCTGAATCTAGCCTCGATGTTGCAAAACAGTTCACTCCAAACTGATTTTGGAGATTGGAGAGCTCTTTTAAAAAAAATTGTCGACAGCCAGAAGACGTTGGACATTGGTCAAGCGCATCAACAATTATGAAGACTCGTGAGTATTTGTCAATTATTGTGTGTAATGCTCCCAAAATCTCATCCAAAGACGGACGCGTTTGTGCGTATGTATGCTTTTCGAACATTTTCCTTACGCAATTTGGTAGAGAAAACATTTTTTGTGTCAGTTGTTTGAGTATGCTCATAATTAACTCGTCAACCTTCTGTGTCTCTTGGTGCCGGTGATCGCAGTATATATAAGCAATACCAGCCGTGGGATTATTTTGGAGCCTCGTTTTGACGTCGTTGATTACAGCCGACGTCAGGATGGTCTTTCCAGTTCCGATATCTCCGGGACAGAAGAGAGTCTGCTTCTTGGTGTTTAACCATGTTTTGTATTCTGCTGAGTCTAGGAGCCATAAACCCGTCTCCGGCTGCCAACTTCTCAGGAAGTCCCTATGTCGAGGACCGTAGTCAACTGGTGTCAGCCATTCCAGAATCCGAAGATCTTGTTCGTTGGATAAGATCGATCTTGTTAAGTCATCGGTTCTCTTTGTATTTACGACGGCGTGAACTGTTCTTGGTGTTAGGCATTCAATATCATGCAATGATAGTATTTGGAGTACTTACCCTCAGCGTTTGCGTTGAGAGAGAAGGGCATCCATGGGGGAAACTCTGGCGCATAATCTTGGGATGGTGGTGAATCCAAAGGAATCTGAGCACTAAGAGGTGGAGTAGGAGAAGGAACTCGCTGGCGCTGAGTCGAGGATAGGAGATGGTGTTCTCTTCTGAGGCCTGGGTGGGGAATAGGGGGCTTGTGTGTAGTAGCTGAGCCGCGTCTGGGAGGTGGAGGGGCCGGACGAGGATTTTGCCATTGATACTCGTCGGCTTTTGGCTGTGCGGCGGGAGCCACGGACTGCTGAGTAGGTGATGCCTGATGAACGATGGTTTGGCCAGTAACACCCTTCGCACTCGGCTCTCGATCAACATTCCAAGGGGGAACATACTGTAAGAGTTCTTTTGCATACGCGGCTGCCATGATGGCAGCGTGGTCCCGCCATTCCTTATCTTTATGGGAGTCTGCATAATCGCAAACTCCTCGAATGACAAGGCACGGGAAAACGCCCAGAAAGCGCCTCTTCATCTTTACTATTTCCATCTCAATACAGAGAACTTTCCCCCCAAATTCTCGATTGAGCCTATCTCTCAAGAGCGCGCTTTCAATCTCCTGGCTGACTGAAGCGATTGAACCGTAGTGGACACGCATTTCTCTCGGTTCTCTTTTCACAGTCATAGTCTTGTCGCAGAACCGACAGTTCCCTTCCTCATGATTGCTAAGAAAGCTATTGAAGCCCGCAAGTCTGCGCGCAAAATTCGACATAGCATGGCTATAACTTGCTTCGAATAACAAATCCTCGAGAGAATCAGATTTGAGATATCTCGACGCCAGTTCCGGTGAGTCTTGTTTCAGCCTCTCCAGATATTCCGGTATCCTGGATCCAGATATCTTATGCTCCGTCTTTATTTTTTCGAGAGTTGTGGTGAGCAACTGTGAAGAAGTAGCGGCCCATGTCTCAGCGCGTACAGATATCTCCGCTTCTGTGTTGCTTGAATTCAGCGTGACTTCTCGGGGATAGAGGCCTCCAAGTGTGCCGACGACCACGTCTCCGAGCCTAACATCGGGTGGAATGCCGCTGCCAACGCCAACCAGTAAGCTAAATCTGATTGCGTGAAATGCGTTCTTCATCGTAATGGTATCTATTGCAGGTGTTCCCATCGGCGGACATGCAATGACAACGTTGTGTTTGCCAATAGATCCAAAGGTGTATATATTTCGATCATATTCTGGTACTGGTAAAGACCCATGCAATTCGTCCAGCATGGCCATTGCCGCTCTTCTTTCGGTCGAGGAGCAGATCCATCCCACAGTATAGTCGCTGTGCTTTCGTGTCTTGGTAGCCATTTGCGATCGATAGATAGGCAGCTTTCCAGTTGAATCAATAGTTTAGAATCATGAGGTCGCTTGCGTAGCGGTGGGAGAGGATGAAGTTTGGCATCCCTAGGAAGAGGCATCCAACCCAGCCTCGTCACGGGCTGTCTTGGCCTGCAGATGCACAGCCGCCCAATCAGCGGTAAAGGAGGGGTAAATTGAACCCTTAATGGCTGTATAGATTACACTTCCGTGTTGTATTTTCTTACCTTTCCTATATCCATGTAGTACAAGCTGCTGCACCTAAGCTCGTCTTTTCAAATTATGGCTCATTAACTCGCTCATATACATATACCTATCAAGTATGGCCGCCAATGCTCCCTTTTCTCTGCCTCTTTCTTTTGTTGCAATTTACATGTACTCAGCTTACTCTAACAACACTCAACATTAGCAAGGATCTCGGGTTTCTGAAAGTACAATTCCCACACATGTGCCTATAATGTCCCGAGAAACAACATCTCCAGTGTTCCCCAAGTGGAGGCCAGGGACCCTCGACATCCACCACATCGACACCGGCTGCGGCAATTCCACACTAATTGTCGGACCAGATGGGACAACAATTATCATTGACTGTGGGACTTCCAAGGATATTCCCTCGGGACAGGACGGCTCGCGCCGACCCGGCGAGCTGGTAGCGCGCTATGCTCTGCGCAACAGCAACAGCACGATGCTCGACTATCTCATCGCCACCCACATCCACCCGGACCACGTCGGCGATGTCCATTCCGACACGTCAGCCATGGGCGACGGCTTCCAACTGACTGGGCTCAGCGACGTTGACCGCCTCATGCGGGCGAGCCTCGTCATCGACCGCGGCTATCCCAACTACGCCTTGCGGCCACCACTGCCACCGTCAGCACCTTTCGCCGACAATTATATAGAGTGGCTCCATACCAAGCGGCGGAAATGGCGTGCAGTCACCCGCATCGACGTCGGTTCGACGAGCCAGATCAGGCTGCGCCGCCCTCAGGACTACCCGACATTCTCCATCCGCACGCTTGCCGCCAACGGCTCCGTGTGGACCGGCACCGGGGAGGAGAGCCGGTCGCTTTTCCCGGACCTCAGCACCCTGCCCCCGGAGGCGCTGCCAGATGAGAACAAGTGCTCCATGGCATTTCTCGTGTCGTACGGCCTCTTCCGCTACTACACCGGCGGCGATCTGAACTGCGACACGCAAGACGGTCGCTATCCCTGGATGGACGTCGAAACGCCCGTGGCCAGGGTCGCAGGCAAAGTCGACGTCGCCGTTGCCAACCACCACGGCTATTTCGATGCCTGTGGACCGGGATTTGCTGCCCTGCTTGATGCCACGAACTACATCATTCCCGCCTGGCACGTCACGCATCCGGGAATGGCCCAGCTGCAGCGCATGCTTGGAGCGTGGCCGGGCGTGAGGAGGCACAATGTCTTTGCCACCAGAATGTTGCCCGAGAATTGTCTGATCAACAGTCGTTTCACTGCTGAGATGCGCAGTCGGCAGGGCCATGTGGTAGTTCGCGTAGAGCCGGGCGGGGGAAGCTATAGAATCTTGGTGCTTGACAGTAGCAACGAACAGGACTATGTGACTGCTGAATTTGGTCCTTATATGTGTAGCTGATATTGTAAGTTTACTTCAAGAGCCCTCGTTTATTCAATTTACAGCAAAGAATGATAAAGATGGGTTACAACGTAGTGTATGTCTTGACAGAACGCTCCAGCAATGCCTTGGCAACTATATCACGGTCTGGACCATACTTGAGCACCGTGTCCACGAAACCAACACCTGCAGGGAATATTACAGGTGCTTGCGTTTCCTTATCTCTTTCCAGCTATTAGTTGCACTATACCGCTACACTCAAATGAAACAGGCACCGTTTCAAGGACTCCAAGGAGATTGTGCCCGGTTTCCAGTCAGTAGCACACCGCCGTTCTTGGTGACCAAGATAGGATCCTCCAGTCTTACACCGAAGCCCGTTTTCTTTCCAAGCAGGGCCGCCTCTTCAGTAGTGACATAGATACCCTAAATCCCGTCATTAGTAGTTGTCAGCAGAGGAGAAGCGTAGATCATACCGGCTCATTTGTGGCCACCTCTCCCAATTTCAACTTCTGGTCATTGGCACCATTCAGATACGGCGGTTCGTGTCCTTCCAAGCCAAGTCCGTGTCCCAATCGGTGTGTATAGTACGGGCCATAGCCGGCATGCTGTATGATATCGCGAGAGGCCCCATCGACTGCCGAGCACGCCTCACCTACATTCATACGCGATAGACCAGCAGACTGCGCCTCTAGCACGGTTCGCCAAACGGCCATGAGGCCGTCACTAACAGTCGCTCCAGTCGGTAGGATCGTGCGCGTCACGTCACTGCAGTAACCGTGAAGTTCCGAGCCAATGTCAATCAGCACAAACTCGCCCTCTTGCAGCGTCCGTCCAGTTTCACCGCCATGTGGCAGCGCCGCCTGATCGCCAAACAGCGCCAACACCCAGAATCCATGACCGACCCCAGCACGACTGAATAACGCTTCGGAGGCGTCAATGACCTCTTCCTGGGCCATGCCAATCCGGATGCACTTCTGCAGCGACTGAACCAGCGCAAGTGTAAACGAGTTGATGCCTTTCAGCAGCGCGATTTCGTCCTCCGACTTGATGGATCGCAGAGACTGGACCGTCTCCGACATGGGCACCACCTCGATCCCCGCCTCCTGCAGCCCAGCCGCAATCATAAACCGCGCATGCTCATCAATCATGATTTTCTGATAGCCCGTGCCCCGAGCGAGCGCTTCATACGGCGACTCCTCCTCCACCCAAGCGATTGTCGTCTTGTTGTCAAACACCATGTCGAGCTTTGCAATACGGCCCTCTTCAAATTTGGGCACCAGCGTCGTAAACCGGCCTTTTCTGTCAATAATCACTAAAAAGGGCCGCTCCGAGAGGTGAAAGCTGGAAGAGATGTTTGCGTAATAAGTCGTGGAAGCAGATGGCTCGGCGATAAAGGCATCGACCCCAGCGGCGTCCAGTTCGCGTGCCAGAGCCTTTTGGCGCGCAAAAAACTCGGATCGCTGAATCGGCGCAACGGACAACAGAGGAAGATGCGGCTCGAGGTGGTTCCAGGCACAGGCTTCCAATGACGGCGTCGAGCTAGAATCGGATTCCCACGAGTAGTAAATCATCAGGGCTATCAGGCCCAGCAAGACGCAAGACCGTGCAATCCAGAAGATGCTGCTGCTGATTGATCGGGGGGCATGTACATGTGCCCTCCCATGAGCATCAGCCTCCTTCGAAGGGAGTAGACATTGTGTCTCTGAATCGCTTCCAACCGGCATCTTGGCGTCTCCTGTGGTCTAACGTTGGAGTGATGCGAAGTTGTAGGTTCCAGGTCAGAGGGCGTAAATTCCGGGCCAGTTGACGTTGACAGTGCAGGGATGTGCAACACACTGTGCAGACAAATGAGCTGAATGTCGCTCTTTAGACTCCAAGCCAGCAATTTACTCTCTAAACATTCAAATCCGTATAATAAATCGCCTGGCCGCTGTTCCAATAAAGGAATTATGCCAAAGGTTATCTACATTAGCAATAACAAGGTGTGTCTTTCATCTTTTACTGGCACTGTATCAAGTACCCACAGTGCTCGAGAGTAATTCCGACGGATTCAGGGTAGACATCAATACTTATGTATTCGACGAACCCAGCTAATTTAACTCGTAATAGGACAAAAATAAAGGATCCAATAGTTTGTTCATCATAGTTTATATAACTTAATTAATATTCCATATTATCGCTTACATATTTATTATATTGTAAGTGAGAAACTGTAAACTTACGTGGTTTAATGTGAACCTTCGAAATTATTTTCTCTCCACTCTAGACAGCAGCTTCAATCCTCAGTATCCAGAGTCTTTCAGTGATAACTGTAATTTATAAAAAGTCAAGTAAAAGAAGACAGAAACATAGACTAAATGATGAATCTAGTTGTGCCCTTGTCCAACGGCTCTAGTATCTGATTACTAGATCTTTGGTCTTTAAAAACAGCTTGGAGATCCTACCTGTATTATTTACAACTCGACATCTTCAACATGCCAAGTGCACTATAGATGATAGATAGACTGAAAATTGACTATAGTAGTATAAGTGCAAAAGTAAATATAAACCTCGATCGCTTTTTTAAAACACTGATTATGAATACCCAGCAATTAACAAAAACACCAAATCGCTGCAGATAACACCTCTTGACATGTAAACACAACAACATGCAGCAAGTCTTATGATCGACCAGCCACACCAAGCGGATCTCCATACGCATCATTCGGATCATCCCCCACACAATGATGGCACCAAAACCTATTCCCCGGATCATGCCTCTGCTTATTCCACAGCAACTCCTCATAGTTATCCTCGCCCCAGTACCTCTCCGTCCAGTTATGCATCACATACGAGCTCTCCGAGAAATAGCTATTCGGCCCAATCTTGTATAACGTGTCCTCCGACTGCTTCGTCGACAACGTCCTGGCATTCCACAACATAATGGCCGACCGGAAGCCCGGCGAGATGGACACGTCGTCTGGCTGCGTGCTCCCCTTGTTGCCCGTCACAGAAGTGTACAGGTAGTGGAAGCCACAGCGACTGCCTCCTGGACCGGGCGATGTCGGGTCCGGATTCTTCAAAGATTCCACGCAGATATCCAGCACGTCCATCATCGTGGACGCAAACCGGTTCTCCATGGCCTTTCGCGACACAAACACCGAGTTTTGGGAACCCGTAGCAGCGTCAGACGGCGGGTGCGGAGCAGGCAGCGGGTTGAAGACGTTGAGCAAGAACTTGTCGGGCGGCATGGAGAGAATGTACTCAAAGGCCGACTTGAAGTTGGTCTCCGTCACGGTCGGCCCCCCAAGCACCTCCTTGAGCTTGTCGCGGAACAGAATGTAATCCGGCTCGTTCTGTCCGCCCGCGTAGAAGTACTCAAAGTTGAACTGCCATGTGACTGCGCAGAGCCCGCCCGTCGCGTAATTAGTCGTGTTGATGAAGAAGCCCGGCTGCGTGCTGACCTTTTGGTTCAGCATCAGGTTCCAGGCAGCGAAGCCCTTCCACATGGTCCGCAGCCACTCGTAGCCAAACGGACTCGAACCGGGGCAAAAGGTGCCGCTTTGGGGCATGTAGACGCGGCTGAGGCCTCCGTCCGGCACGGCGTGAGCGCGGATGGTCATGGAGAGAATGACACCCCACACGCCGCCGCCGCCGCCGCGCATGGACCAGAAGAGGTCCGGGCTGTGCTGGCGGTTGACGACCCTTTTGTGGACGGCGCCGTCTTTGTCAATCTGCAAGATTTCAAACTCCAGCACGTTGTCGACGCCAAGGCCCATGGACGGCGCAAAGGGCCCGTGGCCGCCGCCGAGGTGGAAGCCCACCATGCCGACGGTGGAGCACCAGCCCGAGGCGATGACGCGGTTGTACTTTGCAGAGAAGGCGTGCATCTCGGCAAAGACGGCGCCGGCGCCAAACTTGAATGCGCCGTGGGGGGCAAGGGTCGGGTCTTGCTTGAAGCTGGGCAGGAAGGCCTTGTCCTTGAACAGGATGGTGCGGATGAGGATGCCGCCAGTCGGGCACGAGTTGCGGCTGTTGTACTCGTGGCCCGTGCCGGATGTGGCGATGCACAGCCGGTGGCGGGCGGCGAACTCCAAGGCGCTGGCGACATGGTGCTCGTTGAGGGGGAAGACGACAATGAAGGGGTTCCAGTCGCGGTACTCGTTCTGGTGGAGGGCCGCCTTGCACATGTCCGACGCGTGGTTCCATTCGGTGGCGTTGCCGGACGCCTTGAAGCACGGGCGCTGCATCTCATTCACATCCTCGTAGTAATACAAGGCCTTGAGTCCCGTGGGCGTGTCTCCGAGGCCGTAAAAGGACTGGTTGTTGATGGAGCCCGTCGGCACCGGGGCCGGCTGCGGCTGGGGGTAGCTGCTCCACTGGAGGCCGAGCCGTGGTGCTTTGGGATCCAGCTCTTGCTCCAGCTTCTGGATGGCGGCCTTGGTGGGCCAGCAGCTGGAATCCTTGGGCGTGCACCAGTTGTGGCTTGGCTTGGGCTCTGCTGCGCCGGCTAAATGTTTTTGTGCATCGCCAGGCAGTGTGTTGGCCGGCACCGAGTCCGTGCCGGCCGAGTCGCACGATCCGGCCCCGCAGTAGTCGTTCTCCGGGCCGCACGAGTATCGACAGCTGGAGCTGCACGGGTTGCATCGCCCCATGGCCCATTGCGTGTGCGGCGGCAGGAAGCTTCCCGCCAGATCGGGCGCCACCTGGTTCGGCGCACCGCAGTCAAGCACCGCGTAGGAATACACCGCATCGTACTGGAAGGTGAAGCGGCAGGTGGTGATGCTGCCACTGGCGCTGGCGAGGTATACCAGGTCGTGGTCGTCTTCGGAGTGGGTGACTGCGTAGCGCTCCTCGACGCGGCTGGGGTAGTTCATCCATTTCAGCGACGCCTGGCCGTCGGCAGTGAAATTCCATCGAGCCAGACCCTCTTGATAGTTCTCGGAAACCTGGAGCGAGCGCCATACGCCCAGAAGCGCCGGCGGTGCTCCGGCAATGCCCGGCTGATTGGGGCTCGGAGTGGGCTTATCCTTGGACGCTTCATGTTTGCTGGCCGCTGGCAGTGCGGCGGCAGGGCTGATGTCGGGCAAAAAGGAACAGCCCTCCGAGGACGACTTGCAGCGGAACATGAGAAAGTTTCCACAGCCGGGAGTGTCCATTGCAACGTCGAAGCTGGCCGGAGCCGGGGTCCCGGTGTAGTTACACGCCAAAAAGGCCACCTCGAGGCCACCAATGTCCGGCAGCCGCCGCACCAGGCAGTCTTCCAAGTGATCCTTCTTCTTACCGCATTTTCGCAGCACAATTTCTCCGGGGGATCGAATCTCGTACGCGCACGTGTTGGGGTACGGGCTGTCGGTGGTGACGGTCAGAGTGTTCTCGGTGAAGGTCTGGGCGAACTCAAACTTGCCCGACCCGAGCTGCTCGGCGCCAAACGAGCGCCATGTGCCTATCCACGGGGAGACGGTATCAATATTTTGTGACAGGACTGGCAACCCAAAGTCCACCAGAGGCATACTAGCATTGGTTCCACTGCTCTGGGGTGCGTTGCTGGGGTCAAACACGACGGTGCTGTCCAGCTTGGCCGGAGGGCAGGTGTCCCAGTCGTCGCCGCATGCAAAGCACTGATCGATACAGTCGCTCGACATCCGCGGGACGCTGTCCACCGTGTTGTCCATCCAGCCAACTGTGGCGAGATACGCGCATTGCACGCAGCTGGTGCTAACGAGCGGCTCCAGCTCCTGCAGCTGTTTCTGCAGCACCGGGTTGGCGTTGTACTCGTTGGCCAGCACGAAAGCGGTGCGGTAATACGCCTCCTGCGGCAGCCGGAACGCAGTCCCATCGGCTCCGGGGATGACGGCGCAGGTGCCGTGCTTCATCCACTCGGACAGGATGAAGCAGCTCATGGTGTTGTTGTACTGGGCGTCGGTCGGCCAGTAGTAGTTCAGCAGTGTTTTAAAGGTAGTCAGGTACGATTCGTCGAATTCTTCGCCGTTCTGGCAGCCCATGGGCTGGTTCTTCGCGCCGCGGCCATTGACCGAGCCGGGCCACAGGCCGTGCAGCGTGACGCTGGGCGAGCCCGGGGCAAAGTTGTTCTTCTGCAGCGCCAGCGTATAAGCGTCGGTGGCCAGCAGCCCGGACGGTCGGTGCTTGGAGTTGCACAGCGAGAACGGCGGCGGCTTCTGCTGCAGCCCGCCGTGCTTGTCCAGGATGGTGCATCCATGCGTCCATTTGAAGTCGCACGTCTTGACGTGGAAGTTGAGGGGGTTGAAGCGTCGAAGGGGACTCGGGTTGGAGGGACAGTCGTCCGACAGGCCGGTGCACGAGGCGTCGACCTGGACCAGATACGGCAGTGCCGCCAACACCAGGGCACGCCAATTCATGTTTGCTGTTTTTGCTCAACAGGCGATATAATATAGATGCCTGCTCAACTGTCTACAGAACGTATAACCATGGACGGACGTATAAGCCTATATATACCTTAATGGTTCATACACTTCATACAACTATATACAGCCATTGGCAGTGTTTTCTGCCCTCGTCCAATCGCAGCCTCTCAACTTACACAGCCGCAGTGATTTGTTCAAAACCAGCCATCTCCTCCTCCTCGAGCTGCAACAACAGAGCTGATGGATCAATAGTGGCTGCTCAGCTGCGGCCGGAGCGGCTGCAACCGCAAACTATCGGAGCTGAGACCGGGGTCAGCCCGGCATTGATTGGAGGGCCGCTCCGCCAAGTGGGTTCCAGGGCCTATTGGCGCTTCGGCTCGCATGCGGGAGGAGATCTAGAAGTGCTTCGACCCAGTAGTAGCAGCGGCAGCCAATATTGGGGCTTTGCACACTATTCCTTTCAGCCCTACTGCCAACCCCAAAACGGCCGCCCTGTCAGACGGGGTTCCCTCACTCTGCAATTCGTCTTTGCGATTGGACTGCTTGATGCATTGCCGAGCCTTTAGGATTTGCTCAGCCCTCAACTTTCCCGGTAGATGCTCGTTGGTATTGTCGATCATGGCCGTGTTCCAAAGCTTTGCAGTTGGCAGGAATGTCGGGCATGCCGGCCGAGATTTCGACCAATACGGATTCGAAGCTCCAAAGTTGAGTGTGAGGTGCGTCCAAAAGCACTACTGATACGGAGCCTTGGCACCTTGTTATAGATGGAGTTTTACACAAGTGCTTTCATTCGTTTACCATTTCCCACTACATCTGTATCACTCTTAAATGTGTCGGATATTTCCCAGGTTAACGCATTCACGCAGGTCTTCTCAAGTAGTACATGTATAGAATACGGTATTTGTCACAATGCTTTCAGATACACTCGGCTGGGGTTCGAGCAATTGCATGTAACAAAGTCTGTATTGCAGGAAAAGAAATCCCGACATATACTAGATATTAGGATGTCTCGAATACGCCACATTACAATGAGTACAAAATACAATGAAACAGCAGCACCAGCCATCTCTCTTTCTCTCTCTCTCTTCTTCTTCTTCTTCTTCTTTCTTCTCTTTTTTTGTGGCTATAGCACTACGTGTCCAATTTGGTCTCTTATAACGAATTGATCCCATATTAGCATCTGGTTGTCTTCCAATGTCTGCTACATACAATTGGCCTAATAACTTGGCCTGTCCGGCTCTCCGTGCCTGGCCAAATAAATACTGCTACGTAAGATGAACTTACTTGACCACCCTTTGATCTATTCATCTACGTAAAGTCCGAGATTTTCCTCATCGGAAGTGTTCCGCCCTGATAACAATAGGATACGTACCTATAAATATACTACAGACCAATGAACCAATGGGAAGAAAATTATAAGCCAAGCAATGAACCATTTTTAATAAATCATTCGTACTATAGGACTATGGAGATCATCAGCCACTCGGAGCGACTTACCACATGAGACCTATTATTACAGTCTTCAATCCTGCTTAGGTATCTGGATAGTCGTCAACCAGACGTCATGTTGACTGGATCAGGAACTATGCATCATGCGACGTAACACTACAGCAATCTCGTGGTTACACGTAGACCCTCGGTGAGACTCATCTCGAGCTTCATTTGAAACAGTCTTACTCATACAGATCAGGGCTAGCTGCTCGATACAAGAATTGCTGTAACACGTTGGCTATAAGATAGATTACGTGCATCTGTTCTCGTAAACTCCAAAACAGCTGATGCTTCTGAACAATGTATCAAAGATAGTTAGTCCTTAAAAATATCCTCATAAAGGAAAACACACTCATGTATCTCCATCATAACACCGCCGAGAAGGCACGGATGGATGCCTTTTATCCATAACTATATGTAGTTGAGCTATGACTACCGGTAGACTTCATCATCTTAGTCAATGTTATCTCGGCGGTTCATTTGTCTTACACATGTCCGCTGATGATTTGCAGCAAGATATAGTAATACCTGCAAGGGAAATCAGAGCGTCATCTGATATTACTACAGGTATACATATATGTGAATGCGCTGCATGATCTTTATTACAGTATTAGCACCATAATCCTCACTATTTAAAGGCACTTCCCCCCCTCTTGCAGTTGTAGCTGCCCTTGCCTCCCTCGCCGCCGCGTCACACTGTACGCGCACTATCAACTACTGCGGGCATGATCTTCTGAATCTGGGTAAGTTTGTGTGGAAACGCTGAAAACCTTTCAAGCATGCAACTAAAAAACGGAAAAATCACCATATTCCGACTATGAACGTCAGATTCCATTGCGCTCAGAGCCGCCGGCGAGCCTGTGAACGGCCTGTGGCCTGTACACCAGAAACTCTCTGTTCTATTGCGAAGCCAGAGGAACCATCAGCTTCCTTGCGTATTGCGAATTCGAGTATGTATATGGCGGCGAGGATGAAAGCGACTATTGCTATTACGGATCATTTGACGAAGAAGACAAAACTTCGCCTGCGCCCTCTGGATAGATTACCTTTTGCGGCTTCGGTGAAGCCTTGATGCCAGTAGTCATGTAACTTCAACCATTTGATGGACTTTAATGGCTAGGAGGATGCACAACTGCCCCTGCCGCGAAAGCTTGAAACGGAGGCTACAAATGTATGAAGCAGAGGAAATTTTCGGTCGTTGTATGTAGTTGTCCAGATATTCATTTAGATGGAAAAGTCCAAGTCTATGCGCCCAGTAATCAAAGCTGCTACTGGTTTTATTATTCTGTAGACTATAAATTACTTTTACCTATCTAGCGCTAGGCTCTGGCTTTGACTGGTAACTTTTGAGCGCTCTTGCCGACGAAGCAACTCTGATACCAATAACGTACGGTTTCAATTCTGGCACATATTTTGTCAGGGAAAAGACTCATCAAGCCTTTTCTTCTCTCTATGATCAAGATAAAGACGCAGCAACATTAGCTATCCTCTTGTAGCATCAAGACCCGGCGCATGATATAGATGCTGGCTAAGCTGCCGAGAGGTCCACAAACAAAACGAGGCTCAGCATACAACTCTACGCACACTTATTACAGAGCTAATATCTACAGTAATAGTGCTGCTATTATGCCTGGTTATAAGTGTATATATTCGTCTTGCGGCCTCTATTTGCTTTGCAGACCCCCTGGTTACGATACACGCTTAATAAGCCGTCTCCGATTGCATAGATTTAGTGCCAAGCTAGTCCCAAGCTACACTAGATCCAAGCAAAATAACTGGGTATCAAAAAATCTTTGCCGTTCCTGAAAATAGTCGAATGTCTATATTCCTCCTAATTGCACGTCCATCTTCTTGTCAACTCGATTTTAGCAAACCCCTTGACCGCGAGGTTGCCCTCTTGATATATAAAATATAGATAAATGCCCTCCTTCAGAAATAGACATGTCCCCACCGATGAAAGAATAGGCAAGATCCAACTCCCCAAAAGGGCCAAGTGGATCGATCGACTCATTTTCAACGTTTCGTTGAGCGGAACTTTGTCTTCTTCTCCTATTGCAGAGTCACCAAAACAGCAGGTCTAGAACTAAGATCCCTGAGGAACATTAGTCATTTGCCGCCTTGATTGGCCGGATTCATTGTTCCCAGGCCACTTTAAAGATGAATTACTAATACGGCCAGTGTCGGTGCAATACAAGTCATGTCTGCGATCGTCCTGGTGGATGAATTCGCACCGGCGAAACCCCACTAACAACGATACTAATTTTTCGGTTCAACCGTCCGCCTCGGCAAATGGGTCCTCGCGATTGACGCCATTGTTGATTTTTCTGTTTATATATAAACGTGTGCGTCTGCGTTTCTTGGTTACATAGCAGTAATTGTTTATTGAGAACTTGTAAGGATTGTTTCGTGATATATAAAGAAAAAGTGGCAGGTCTCCTTAAGAGTGATACCACCCAGCCTCAACCTCACGACTTGCAACCGCATTGAAAAGGCCCCCCATACCTAAGAGGCACTACTCCTATATTGTCAGGGGAAAACAGACAGTATAGCAAACATGGCCAGCAACTCCTTCACCCTCGACATCTTCCGAGGCACCCCCGAAGGCGCCCTCGCCCTCGAAACCTCAACCCACACCCTCGGCTACGGCGAAATCTACATCGAAACAACCCACTCCGGCCTCTGCGGCACCGACCTGCACTACCTCGCCCGCGGCGGCATCATCGGCCATGAAGGCGTCGGCGTCGTAAGACAGCTCGGCCCGGGCGTCACAGACGTCAAGGTGGGAGACCGCGTCGGATTCGGATACACTCACAAGGTCTGCGGTACTTGTGACTGCTGCTTAAGCGGTAAGTTATCTATCAGATATTCTCTACCTGACTAGAAAGAACTAACAATTGTTCAAAGGACGTGATCAGTACTGCCCCAACAGAGTAGACTTCAACCGCAACCACGACAAAATGGGCACAATCTCCTCCGGCGTCATCTGGTCCGCCAACATGGTCTTCCCCATCCCCGACGGCTACGACTCCGCCGACGCCGCGCCCCTCCTCTGCGCCGGCTCCACCGTCTTCACCGTCCTCACCGGGCCCGAGGTCAAGTCCACAGACCGCATCGGCATCATGGGTATCGGCGGCCTGGGCCACCTGGCCATCAAGCTCGCCGCCGCCATGGGCCACGAGGTCGTCGTCCTGTCCACCTCTGAGTCTAAACGCCAAGAGGCACTCGACTACGGCGCGACAGAGTTTCACGTCTATGACTCTGAGAAGCCTGCTCCCGAGGGTTTCAAGCCGTTGAACCATTTGCTGCTTTGCGGAAATACTGGAAGCAAAAACTTTAACAAGTAACAACCTCCATCATTATACAGATATCAAGTCTCCTTTGCTAACAAAGAATCGCAGCCTGGTCCAACTCCTCGCCATCAACGGCACAGTATACCCCCTAACCGTCTCCAAGGAGCACGCCCCCGTTGATCTCGTCGGATTGATTGGCCTCGGAGCTTCCATCAAGGGATCCCTCACAGCGTCGCGCCGCACAATCGTTGACCTGCTTCGGTTCGCGTCTCGACATAACATCAAGCCCACAATCGTAAAGTTCCCCATGACACAGGACGGAGTTCAAGATGCTATTGATACTTTGAAAGAAGGGAAAATGAGATACCGCGGAGTGTTGGTTCGCGAGTAAAGTTAAAAAAAAATAAAAAAAATAGAGCGCATCATAACACAAGCCCCCTAAAAGAGTTGATGACGATTTCATTTTTAAGACGACAAGTAACACGATTGAGCGGCGAGATCTAGTCCATTTCATAAGTTCCATACGCTTTTGGTGAATTAGCTATCACCTTCTGTATTTAATATTCACCACCCACAAAAGTAGGTTAGCTGCCTGTATCAAGACTCATATAGACTATGTAAATATACATAAAAACTGAGCATAGGAAACATTATCAAGTTGCACTCGTTTAAATGTTTACTCTCTCACAGCTGTTACGCTTCACAATGCCAATTTTTTCTCATTCATGACAGCAGTGTCATAGAAAACAGAAATTCGTCTGCTCAAAACTAACAATGCTAATTCATCAGCGACCTAATGGCTGGTACCCTGATATCCAACTCCAATCCATATTCCAGTGTCCCAATATTGTACAAACCCCAATGCAACGCTAACAGCAATAACTAAACAGGCAGATCAAATCATCGTCTCATCTGTGTCGCTAGTCTTGCGGCCATAGCGCGGCACATGGAAATGAATATCACTTCCAAAATAATGAGTCCGCTGCTCTGGCTTGTTTGCGTCCTCGTCGTTCGCCCAGCTTCTTGTATAGTTCCCGCAGATATTGCAAGGCCCGTCTGGTGCAACGATGAAGCTTTCTTGAAGCACAGATACTTCGATTTTGCGTTCAATCCACGAGTTTCGGCGTCCCTCTGGCGTAACCTCCTGAACCGATACCTCTACATCCTTCTTGCACATGTCTTCCTCGCTGGGATCGACGACAATGGTGACTTCTGATTCAGCAAGACTGTGCTGCCTCGCTGAGAATCGAGACGAATAAATAAAATCATTGAAGCGGGCATCTTCGATATCCTTTGGGTCTGAAGGATAAGATGGCTCCTGTGGATGGTAAAAGAACTCTGCCAAGCCAACAATAGAGATGAGGACAAAAATTTGCCAAATAGCCAAAAGCTCTGCTGTTCGCTCTACGCCTTGGTTACGATTCTGCAGTCCTAATTAGTTGAAGGCTCTTATAGCGTAAAAAAGTAGAGATGAGACATACCAATACCAGAACAATTGCTCGTGTGAGTGCAACTGCTGTGATAATGAGCCCACACACGAGTATCGTGATCCACTGCAATGTTTCCCACATAGGCTTGCCTCGCCTCAGGGTGATAGGCATAGCCGCCATTGCCAAGTATAGAGTCGTCATCGTATCAAAGCTAAAGTAGGCCATTACCAGCACCGGTGAAGTGGCAGGCTGGCAGTTACGGCTTGTATCCGCATACATTTGCCACATGTTGGACAGCGGGCGGCAGCTTTGTGAGAAGGCTAGCGTCGTTGCCACCCATGTTACAAACAAAAAGCCGAAGCCAAATGACTTGTGAGTCTGTCGTCGGCCAGATTCAGCAGTTTGGCGGATGACGTATGCCAGAAAAGCCGCTTTCAATGTCCACAGGGCTGTAGAGTAAGAGAACCAGTTGTACAAGTAGAGTTTCGATCCGAGTTCCCTGCATCTAGTTAGCATCGCAAATGGCTAATAAAGCAGAAAATGATTAATTACATCAAATGGTATTCATTGCTGTTCGGCTGCGTCCCGATGAAATCGCTTTCCAAGGAAGTCTGGTTGCTCATCCAGTGTGTCGTGGTATTCATCAGGTACGCCAAAACAACGTTGGGAACAAAGAAAATCTTGAGCCTCAGTCAGTATGCTAATGAGCAATACAAAGGAGAAAACGGCGGACGTACTACTCCTGCAACAGCAAGGACATCCTCGAGGCCAAGGTTCTTCCAACCATACTGCCGAAATCGCTTAAAGGATCGCGCAGCTATGCAAATGAAGGCGCTCCCAAATAGAAGGAATATTTGAATTGTCAACGCTTGCGACTTGTCCATCTCGTTTCGATTCATTGTTGTTGCCTCAAAGTCCATGGCAAATGTTTCGTCTTGGGGAGGTATTATCATCATCACCGTGAGCTGTTGTTTGTTACACAAGGCGAGGTCAGAGGTTGGGTAAGAGAAGGAAGAAGCAATTTGCCACCCAGGTGAATCGGGGAAACCTCAGCTTTAATGAAGCTCGGGATCAAGCCATCCAAAAACACAAAAGACAGCCCACCTGCCGCTCCCCCAGCTTTGTCCAGCCTAACTTGACCCACACACAAGGAGGGATCAGCAGCGGCTCTTTGACCCCAGTTCTTGATGTCTCTCATGTGCATCTCGGCCATGCAGCGCCATTGGCAGAGCGGCAGAGCTGCGGTAGCCCAAAGCAACAGGCCCGGTATCCAATCGCCCCGCGTTCAACGGACCGAAAACTCCATGACCAGCAAATGGCATGACTCGCTGGTTTCTGCGCTCCTCTTTGTCGCCGCCATCCTCCGATTCCCTTTGTCCAGCTCCCAGATATGAGTCTCCCACGGCCTTGGCCTGCGCACAGAGCTGAAGTGGCGCGCGAGAGGGGCAGCGCAGGGAGCTGTCAGTGCACAACAGCTAGTAGTTTGTCTCACGCCACCAAGGCCGCCAAAGCGATGGGGTTGGTCTCGTCCAAGGCTGAAGAGTGGATAGCCTTTGCAGTAGCGCTCCGTTTTCCGAGCGCCAGTCGGAAGGCTTGCTGAGGCCCTGCCTCGACCCAGCCCGCTCACCATGCTGCACTAAACATCCCATCAGACTCACTGCTTCGTCGAGATATGCGGGGGAAACCCACTGCTGCTGCTGCTCAGATGAATAGTGCGCCGTCTAGCGCCGAGTCTCGAGCCTTGGATACGACCGATCTCGCTGCAGTTATTGATAGTCGTGATGTTAGCATGGGGAGCTGTGCCCGCAAGATCCCAGAGCAGACGATTACTCAAAGACGCGTCTTGTCATGCTCGCTCTCGGGCGATACTGCACCATGTGCGACCAGGCCACAGGTCAAGGAGAGCTGAACAAAAGAAAGGAAAAGGTAAAACAAAACGAAATTACATGGTTCGATAAGATGGCCGTGGCTGGGCTAGGACCGCGGGCCGTTCTTGCCGCATGCTGTTGGGTCGCAGTGCTTGCCTTGTCTCACTTGCACATGCTTATGCTCATGATAGGCACAGGCAAGAGCGGCAGAGCAGCAAGAGCAAGAGCAAGAGCAGGGGCCGCGAGAAACAAGCAGGAGCGCCTGGTCCAGCAAGGCCTTTCCTCGCCTCCGAATCTTGGCGCTTTTAGGGCGCTGCCGGAATTAGCGCAGAGGCCCCGCCGGCCAGCCTCTACCGCCTGTCTGGGACACACATGAAATTGGCATCCTAATCAAGCCCCCGATGCAAGGCTCAAAGCAAAAATCAGGCGCTTGGACAACAGGCGATGCGCGTCGGCGAATAACGATCGCAGCCCAGCCCCAGAGCAGGTGCACCAAGCAGGATTGGGATTGAATCACATCAAAGAGTTCGAGTTCAAGGTGCATAATGCATAAGCGTGCGTTGGCCACCGCTCTGGCGCAGAATTCGCAGCCCGCTCTGCTCTCGCATGTACGGATCAGCTTCAATCCAGTCAGGGATCCCCCGGCCTTGAGGCAGGAAAAGAGGCAGCCTCGACGCAGTCATCCGCTCACCGAGCCACGGCGTCGTCTGGATCAACCAAAAAAACACTCGTGATCAGACCTAGGCGTGGCAAACTATTTACACAATTTGGGACTGCTCTAGACTCTCCATCGGAGCATAAAGATGGCCTGGAGCTTGGAGATCGCCGCGGCTGGGCTTACATCTAAGCCTTTGCGAGATCCGCCAAGTGCGCTATAGAGGCTAGATGCTAGATCGCTGTCCAATGGCTTTCGCTCGCCGTGGCTGTCGGCACTCGTTAGTGGAGAAGGGCCTTGCAGAGTCAGTTCTTGAGCTAAAGCCTCAGCCCAGAGGGCTGGATCTCCCCAAAATCAAGGCAAGGCAGTGTGGCAGAGAAAGCCAGAGTCAGGTCATGTTTGTTTTTACGCTTGTCTCTTGGCTTCATCTATCGGTCTATACAGCGCTAAAGATAAGTAAACACCTAACTGTCAGTGCTGTGGCCTCTACCTCTTGAGCGTCTTCTGCTTCTCCGCATCTCTGGCCACGGTCCTACCCTCCACCAGCAGGCCCTTCTTCTTCCGCACGCCATCCATGTACCGCTTCGCTACATTTTCCTTATCCGCCAATTCTCCGAGGTCCTCCAGGTCGTCCTCGGTAAACGGCACCCAGAACGGATCTTCGTCCAGGATCTCAAATCCCGCGAAAATCAGCTGCGGCTGGGCCGCTCCGCTAGTCCGCTTGCGCATCTCGTCTGCAAAGCCAAAGCTCTCAGCTACCGGCAGCATGGCTTGGATGGTGAAGAACGGTGTTCCCTCTTTCATTGCCTCTGATACCACGCGACCTCTGCGGCGGGTAAGCACGTCGTAGACGCGTCCCAATACCTCTGTAGAAGTCTGAATTTCAACCGTGTACATTGCGAGCATGAGTCGCGGAGACCAGTCCAGGAAGGCTGCTCGTAGTGACGATTGGAACGCCTTGATGACCTCTCCCGTAAGCCTGTTCAATTTATCACGAGCAGATGTATCGTCTTCTGAAAGGTTCAAAGAAACGTCCTCAATGAAGACGGCAACGCCCTGCATGGGCTCATTGCACAATGGTCCCTGTGCCGTTCCTAGCTGGAAAGCATATGTGATTTTATCGGAGAGATGGCTGGGATTGAGCTTGTCGTCAGACCCAGGTATCGCATCAGGCGCCTTGGCTGCAGCAAAGATTTTCGGAAGAATGCCATCTTTGGTAGCATCTATGAGAAGATTGGGGCCTGTCCGCCTCGGTCCAAAGCCAGCAATTCGATCTACCAGGCCTTTCCATCCTTCGCGGCCCTTTCCAGTCTCCAGCTCTTTCTGTAGCTGCGTCTTTAGCTCTTCCACTGATAGGGCTGCGCCAGCAGTAAGCTCGGTGTCTGCCTCGATGGCTTCCTCGTTGCTCTCTTCCCCTTCCTCCTCTACCAACTTTCGTACATTGTACAGGCGTTTGATTGCATCGCCATTCTTGAGCAAGAATTCTGTGACATTCGTAGGTAGTGGCTGGACACGTAGAGTCAAGTTTACTTGCTTGGAGCTCGTAGAAGACACAATGGTTCCACGGCCAAGCTCCTTGTTAGCAGGAGGACGCATCTCCTCTGCCTTGACAATCGTCTCTCTGTACGGAACAATGGGTGCACCAGCCTGGATATCGCATCGCGCAAACCTTTCCTTCAGATCCAAGAGACATCTCTCGAGGTGAAGTTCGCCAGCAGTCAGTAAAACGTGCTCTCCGCTAGCAAACTGCTCGTACTCTGCACAGGGGTCGCTCTGCACAAGCAGATGCAGGCCCTGGATCATTTTGTCGAGATCAGCTGGGTTGACGGGCTCGAGTGCAACACGCACGATTGGCTTTCCGGCCAGGCTGATGCCCGCCAAATTGACAGCTCCTTCGAGTGTGCTGCAGAGAGTTCCTGATTTGAGAATCTTGCCTTCCAGGCCTCCGATGCCAAAAACAACGCCGGCGGGTACGCTGTTTAGCGCTTCCAGACTTCTTCCCATGAACATGTACAGAGATTTTACAGTAATTTGCTGAGGCTCAGGATCTGCGTGAGGGTTGGCTGGTGACCACTTGGGTGGGATGACATATAATGTGTCTCCCACGGAGAGAGTTCCCGAAAAGATTCTGGCAAAGCCAATCAAGTGCTCCGGGTCAATCTTTTCTTCCTCAGCAGCTGGTGTGATATCGTCGATGTTGACAGTCTCCAGCGCCTGGGTCATCATATCCTCCTCACTCGGGTTGTTAGCAGCCGCCAAAGCAGCAGCCGCTGCACGCTTCTGCCGAGCCAATTCCCTCGCCTCCTCTCCAGTCATTTGGCCGGTGCGCCTCTTATTTTCAGGCAGTTCGCTTTCGGGAATAGAAACCATCTTGCTGACGTATGCGACGACGGGGTCTGACTTGTCGGTTCTGAAAGAGACCATGGCGTCTCGGACAGACTTGTTAATGAACTGGGCATCTGGAGATTCGTCGATGACATCAGGCAGTCTCTCGGCCTGTGCTGTAGGGGGTGATGGGAGCGATTCAATCACGGAGACCAATAAGGCGGTTGAAAGCGGGAGCCAGGAAGCGAATACTGTGGTCAGTAAAAGTCGGGGGTCTCGGGCTCGAAGGATGTGAGGTGCAATTGTGATGTTGAGTGACTTTGTGACTTTTTCGAGGAGCGCCGGGTCTCCTCTGCCTCCATCGGCGCCAATAGTAGCTTGGTACACGGTCCAGACAGGTTCAAGAACCAACTGGACGAACATGGGCTTAAGGTTACGGCCCTTAAGATGTTTCTGCCCCAGCACCTTCTTCGTCTTGGGATCCAGGTAAAAGTTGCCCCATAGACATCTTTCCATGATGCCTCGCTTAATTCCCAGCTTTTTTTCGTACAGGCTTGCAAATTGCCTGCAGGTAAACGCCCAGCCATCAATAGCGCTGCTGAAAATGACATTGTTCTTCTCTGGAGCGAAATATAAATCTTCATCATCGAGTTCTTCAAACTGAAGGTCTCCTGAAATTTCGCTGGCCGTATCGCTGGCCGTCGAAGCCTTGGTTGCGGCTGTGGCATTTACACGCTCCTCCATCCTCTCTCTCCAGTTGAGATCTTCTTCCATACGTTCGCCCTGGAAGAAGCTGCCCAGGACTGCATTGACCTGCTCTAAAAGTTTGCTTAAGTGGACATATGCCTCTTGAGGTGTCATTTTGAGCTCTGTAACAAGTCTGTCGATCTTGTTAATGACCAGGAGTGGCTTGAGCTTTTCGATCCAGCTCTGTCTAAGAACGGTCACGGTCTGACTGCAAACTCCTTCGACGGCATCCACCAGCACGACGGCGCCGTCACATAATCTTGAGGCGGTGGACACCTCGCTGCTAAAGTCAATGTGGCCCGGTGAATCGATGAGATTAATCAAGTACTCCTTCGCCTCAGGGGTAGCGTCGGGAGCAGATCGTCTTAGCATGGAGAAGTAGAGTGAGATGGCGGACGACTCCATGGTGATACCTCGAGTCTGCTCATCGGGTCTCGAGTCCAGGTAGCGGATCTTGCCGGCCAACTTGGGAGATATGATGCCGTTGGTGGCCAGTAGAGCATCTGTTAATGAAGTTTTGCCATGATCCACGTGAGCCAGAATGCAAATCTGGGTTGATATTAAATGCACGACCTCTGTCAGAGAAGGGAGGAGTCGCTTACATTTCGGACATCTTGCGACTGCTTCTGCAAGCTGGCCAGCTTTTCTGGAGTCACAACCGGCATGATGGGTAGATGAACTTGTGAGATGGATAAAAAGTAACCAGTAAAAGTACAGATGAGAAAACAAGTGCTGAAGTGAATGAAAGAGGCGGGATGTTTGGTGATGCTCGCTGCTCTTTGGCTTGTCTGAGAAAAAGCAGATCGATTAGATCGTGTCCGCAACCCCAGCTTTCTATACGACGCCGCGTCGATTCGCTTGTATCCTAGAAGTGGCTCAAAATGTTTAAGAGGCAGTGACACTTAGCAGTCCTTGCTCATTGTCTATGACTCTTTGTAAGAGTCACAGTATTAGGAAGCGGCAGGGATTGCTTGGGCTCGCAAGTTTTGCAACGTGCTTATTAATGATTCGGAAGGCCACCAGCGTAGCTCTTGGTTCCAAGTTAGCCTCAAGTGGGTTGCAAATTATTGAATGCAGCAGTAAAAGCTTGCCACTGTGTTTCGATTTAACAAAACTTTGCCATATGGAGCTACAGGAAAAAAAAACAATGCTGCCCCTCAGCCAAGTCTTTTTGACCCCTCTGTATCATCATCGTCCATTTTGCCTTTTGCCAGGTACCTCGATCTCGGTACCTGTAGCTGCCCCGCCTCAAATCTTTTAGATGGCTATCGGCCACCTAGCCCCCATATATGCATATTACATTCAGCAAAGCGGCAATTTACCCATCGCTTAAATCTCACATGCGCTTAGCGATGCACCAAGCCCTAACCAGTCACGAAGGCAAAATTCGTGAGAGCGTCAAGCCCCTCCCGCGCAAGGCGTAGAAAAAATTGCTGCCCCTCTCACCCCCAGCCTCGACAAGATCTCACGACGGGCCACACAATATGGCGACGTACCAGAACGGAGGGGCCCCGGCCCGCGCGATTGCTGACGACAGCGACGTCGAGGAGGAAGCCTTGGTGGCCGAATACAAGGAGCACGTCCAGTACGAAGACGGCGACGAGCTCAGCCAGACGACGTCGCTCAACCTGGCCCAGCAGACCGACGATATCCAGTCCCGCCTCCTGCAGGCCGCCCAGCCCCTGGACTTCTCAGCACCCTTGGAGGTCAAGTTCCAGAGCTACGACGCCTACTGCAGCTTGTTCCACTACATTTTGAACTCGGATGGCCCTGTTGATCTCGAGCCCCCTTCGGTGCGTGTGACTTGATGCGGACTTGCTCTCTCGATTGTAAAAAGTTTCCACGGCTAACGCTCGATATGATGAAATTATAGTACTACTGGGCCTGGGATGTCATTGATGAGTTCATCTACCAATTCAACTCTTTCAGCTCTTACCGAAGCCGAATCGCGAGACAGGCCAACAATGAGGAGGAGATTGGGATCCTGCGCGAGAACCCCAACACCTGGGGCTGCTACAGCGTCCTCAACGTCCTCTACTCGCTGATCCAGCGATCTCAGATCACTGAGCAGCTCGGAGCCATGAAGCGTAACGAGGATCCCATGGCCGTTGCCGGCGAGTACGGCTCTAAGAACCTGTATCGCATGCTGGGATACTTCTCCATCATCGGTCTTCTGCGCGTTCACTGCTTGCTGGGAGATTTTGCCCTGGCTCTCAAGACGCTCGATGACATTGAGCTCAACAAGAAGGCCATGTTCGCCCGTGTCATGGCGGCTCACTTCACGACCTACTACTATGTCGGTTTCTCCTACATGATGATGCACCGATACGCCGATGCCATCCGCATGTTCTCCCACATCTTGATCTACGTCTCAAGGACCAAGAACTTCCAGAAGAACGCCCAGTTCGACTCCATCACCAAGAAGAACGAGCAGATGTATGCTCTGATTGCCATCTGCGTGGCTTTCCACCCCACCAGACTGGATGACACCATCCACAGCGCCCTGCGCGAGAAGTACGGCGACCAGCTGCTTAAGATGCAGCGTGGCGGCCCCGAGTCGCTGCCCATCTTTGAGGAGTTGTTCCGCACCGCCTGCCCCAAGTTCATCTCCCCCGTCCCTCCGGACTTTGATAACCCCGAGTCCAACATCGACCCCGTGGAGCACCACCTGGCCATCTTCATGGACGAGGTCAAGACCAACATGTACAGCCCCACCATCAAGTCTTACCTCCGACTCTACACCACCATGGACCTCACCAAGCTCGCTGGCTTCCTCGAGGTGAAGCCCGATGAGCTACGATCCTGGCTCCTGGTCACCAAGCAGCGCACCAAGCAGCTGCGATGGCAGGACCAGGGTCTCCTGGACGGTGAGCTAGTCAACGTCAGCGACCTTGACTACGCTCTCCAGGGAGTACGTTTCCCTCTCCTATTGTTTCATTGACGAACTATTCTCTTGCGTCATAGATTTTTACTAACATTTTTTTTACAGGACCTCATTCACATCTCAGAGGCCAAGGTTGGCCGAAAGTTGGTTGACTGGTATCTCCGCAACCTGGCTCGCACCTACAACTAAAGCGAGCAGACGGATAAGTCGAGCTACCCTTCACGCGGTAGGAAGAAAATGCCGCCGGCCTAGCACTAAAAGTAATGTGCGATGTCCGGTTGTGTGTAAATTCCCTCTTTGCCAAAATGTACGCTGGTATGACTAGAAAATGATGCCACGCGTGGCAAAAACTACGGAAATTGTTGAAGGGAAGATGGGGCGGGTATACTGGATCAACAACTGGCCGGTTGCATGGCTATGGCGTCACGGAGTTGGTTGGAACTCGTATGAGGGCACGAGATTTGCTCGGAAGTGGCCCTGGGGAGGTGGAATACAAATCTTGAGGCAGAAATATCTTTGTAGAGTGTTTATAATGTTGATGTGGAATTACGGCTGAGAATAAAAGAAAGGCATGATTCAAATTCATGATTTACAGGCTGATCTTTGAAGCTGCGAGTGATGCAATAAGCTGGCATGCCGTCTCAGCATCCCAAGGTCCATAACCACAATGCAGGGAGAATTCATGCCCAAGGCTATGAGTCAAAGCCACTGACAATGGCATCTGCGAAACAGCGCTAGCGTACACAGCCTGGATGGAAGAAGCACGTTGGATTTGACTTTACTAAGAAGCTGAGCTGGTTGGCTTTCTTTGTTAGTGGCTTTGAACACGTCCTAGTGAGACAAACAAGAAAGCGTGGCACCATGACCTAAGCTTCTCCCGGTAACTGCGAACCATCAGCTTGGAGCTAGAGAATTAAGTTGAAGGAATACTACGGAATACTACGGTGCTATGTGCTACAGGCTTTAAGGTTTTGGGGCTAGCTAGGGCTGAAAAGGGGTGGTGATGGGGTTTGGATGTTGGATTCTGTGAAGGCGGCGGGCAAAAAAGGGAGAGAGTCAGGTGAGCAGTGGCACGGGGCTAGGAATGGCCCCCTTGCTGGGCGGGAGATGACACGAGCGAGCGAGCTTTGATATGGCTTGCCTTGCATATAGAATACGTAAACTAATGCTGTTGCTATTGTGTTTTACACCTTGCTTGTGGTAGCGCTAGGTGGCTGTGATGGTTGAAGTGAGAGGAGATGTGCCTCGATACTACTCTGTATAGACGCCAAGCCAACCGTGGTAAGTGCTCGGACGGCAGCAGGTGATTTATAAACCTATATCTCGGGAAGTTTCCGTCATCAAGCTGAGATATACTGTGAAAGAAAAGAGCAACTAAAAGGCCCCCAAATAGATCAGCTCGGAAAACATCCTACACGCATCATCAAACGTGTCAATGCTAAAAAAGCTGCGGCCTTGGCATCCCCAGCCTAGACCAACAGAAGGTTGGTGTATGTGACTGCAGGCTGTAGCTGCATCAAGAACGAGGGTTACACCGGAGCTTGAAATGGTGGTGGCGTTGTTAGAGAAAAAGAATGAGGTTCTCCGTATGTCCTTATTGGTTTACCTCTTTCTTCAGCAGGGTAATGGCATAATGAATCCTTGTTGTTGGGGAGAATGAGGGGGACGAAAGCCAAGCTTCTTGGCGCTCAAGCTATGATTTGTACGGAACGGCATTTCCCATTGACAAGTGTTGATTTTGATTCGGAGACTTGTGCGCGCGGTATTGGTGTCATTGGCTGAATGTGCCAAGCTCTATCCCCATGTGGACATGTTACCATTACTCGATGTGGTGATGCCCCCGTATCTAAGCTCTGCCGACCGATGGAGCGGCACGGGAGGCCTGGATATTGCTTCTTACTGAGTTGGGCGATTCTTGGGGAATCTATTTCGGTGGCGGTAGCAGTCATATAATCTTGCCAATATCAACACTATTTATTTCTCCGGTGGCCTTGAATGCTACGGTGCTATCGACGGACTCCGCATTTAAGCCGCTTTTCACCTTGTTTTTCAATTTAACAAAATATTTCGCCATTTTCTTATCTTGTTCATCCTATTTCTCGTCTCTGGATTATAATTCGTGCTGTTGTTAGCTTGGCTTCACTGCAGCCATCTTGCGCAGTGGCTACAAAATACAGTTGGGACGCTGCCCAACCAACCATATATTCTGTCTCAGAGACAGTCCACTTGCTGCACGATACCAGTCGCACTCACAATACGGCAGCATATTGGGCATTTGATCACATTAAAAACACCGTGGCGTCTTGTCCTCTATCTGACGCTCCTACTCACCGCCATTGCATCGCCACGATTCACACCGGTTTCTTCGGAGAGCCGTTCCGGGTATTAGTGTTCGCCTTTCCGCCCGATTTTGGAGGCCTCGACCTGCGTTATCATCGTTCCGGCATAAAGGTGCTAAACACCAAATACCATCCGCCTGTTCCGATTTATCACCGCCAACGAAGCACAGAAAACAATTGAATAGCCAATTGAGAAGAAAAAGATATACCGGTGAAGAGCAGCAAGTCAGATCTACTATCGACAAGCTCCCAGACACGAGTGGAGCAAAAGCTGCCATAAAGCGGAGGCAAAGAGGAGTCTTTTCTGCCTCGAGCTCTTGACTTGATCAGTGCGCGGCACCCAGACCAGACCCTCGGTCCTGCGCCCGCCAACTCAATATTCCGGCGGCACCATCACATGGCAGCTTCTTGATACCTCCTTTTCTTGCACCGCCAGAAAGTCGCTGTTACTATATTTTAGCGATCAATCAGCTGAAGAGGCTGCTGCTGATTCCCTCCCTCCCGCACTGTCGCCATCGCTAGAACCACGCCGTCCCGAGCAGTGCCGCCGGCGAATCGACTCGACTCAAGACCCCTCGTGGCTTCATCGTCGCTGCTGCTACAAGCTACAAGCTACAAGCTACAACAGCTACCTTTTCCCCTCCAATTCCAGGCACCGTTTGCGGGGTGGTTCATCTAAGTCGGAAGCGGAAGAGACGTACCGCTATCATCGACTTTTTTTTTTTTTTTTGGGAAAAAGGAAGAAGCAAGGTACAAAGACAGAAGAGGCACACCACCCTAGCCCTAAATAGGGACAGAACTGAGATATTCGACGGCGCAACAAAAAAAAATTAGAGGCGCTGCTTGTTTTTATGCTTGTCTTGCCCTGTTGCAACATCGACGATCCGTGCCTTTTTGGCTACTACTTTTCTTTTCCCCTGTGCAGAGAGAAAGTTGAAGTGAACGAGGCAACATCTGCTGCGGGTTTCAACAGTTGCTGACAGGGCGATAAGACACTCTGGCCAGACTGACTTTGCGTGCTGCTGCCTATTACTTGCCTTTTGCCTCTATCCTCCCATCTTCATCTACTGGTTTATATGAGATATCTGAGAAGGATAAGCTTGGAGCCAGATATCTAGCGAGTGCACCCGTCCATACTTTCAAACTGCTCACATTATTTTACTGTTCATTTTCTTTCTTCTTTCCGGCACGTTTCACGCCGACCAACAACGCCAGGCAAGGGCTTGTCTCGCAACCGCAGCTTCCCTTGTTCTCATTCCAACTCCCTTCTCCTGCCGCACTTCCGTCCTTCACATTTTCTCTCTCCCTTTTCACTCGTTTGAAGTGGGAAAGTCTCATCCAGGGTCTCATCCACCTGCCTCGCTTCCCACTCTGACGCTCATCGTGTCCCAATCTCGGAGTCCACCCTGCACCTTCCCGCAAATCCCGTCTGCCGTGCTGCGCCAGCTCGGCATCTCAGTGCCGGGCCGTCGAGATTGTGTCTCGCCTGGATAGCGGTCCTCTTTTATTATTCTATCCAGATCTCAACCGGAACGGCCAAACCAGGATATTCATAAAGGCTCAGCATCTTTCCTCTCCGGATTTCATTTTTGACTCTCTCTCCTCTTCTTCCTTTTCATTCTTTACGAATAAACCCTTTACGTGCTTTGCGTTTTTTTGTTCTTCAAATCAACCACCTGGGACGAAGGGTCTTGTTTTAACCAAGCCAAGCGCATATACACGCACCTTGATTGCTTTTGCATTGTATTTGTTTTTTTACGACTTCGTTTTTCAGCTACCGGAATCTTTCGCTTGGTTATCGATTTAGTCCTTATTATATCCATTCTTCAGTTGCCGTGAACAGCGAGTGAGCCACCGAGCCGAGCCAGCTTATACAAATCACAAATACTAACATTGGGCATTGCCACAGGGAAAACAAGTAAACCTTTTCCATCATGCAGTCTCCAAGGTCTCCTCTTCCAGCTTCCGACTCGGACGTCTCCCCAGCGTCGATGGTGCCGTCGAAGCAGTCTCAAGAGGAGTATTTCCCCCCGTCAGACGCCAGCGGCAGCCAGAATTCGGTGCCTCTCACTTTCAGTGTTAGCGACGCTTCTTCGCGACGACAATCGAAACTCAGCTTCGCCACTGCGCTACCAAAACCAGACGGAGCCCCGTTGAATAAGACCTCATCAGGGTCGTCAGTCACCAAGCGGCGTCCCCTAGGCGTGCAGAAACGGTCTTCTGACGGTCCCAAAGCGCGTCCTCCGTCTCCTCCACCACACACCAGGTAAGCCATACGGCATTTTTATATTCTCTTCTCTTTCTCTTTGTCCTCCTTTACACACATCTATCCTCGTTTATGTGCTTCTCTACCTCCCAATTCGGATCTTGTCTTCCCTAGAACGGCAATACGGCAAATGTCGAGTGGTGTCATGGTGATTCAAGGGCGCGGCTCTCAGACATTGTGCTCAGTGAGATGGACTGTCTCCAGCTTCAGAGACACACTTGTGCTTCTCCGGGCCTTCTTGGCTCCTGCTCTCGGCACCAAATTGCCGGCCAAGGGTTGACAATGCAATTCTCTCAACATCATCTTCCAAAGCAGCCGTTGGTGTGCAGTGTTGCCGGTAAAACTCTCTTCTGGGACCATTTGCCGTTCATTTTAGAGCCAGACACTATCGATGTGGGCCGAAAAGGCTTCGATCTTTACGCTAGCGGCACTCTCAGGTACCATCATGGGGACTTCAAAGCTACTCTTTCTTGCCGCGGGGCTTGGCAGAGAACAGCAAGTACGGTGTCTCGAGAGAGCAGCATCGATTTGCTTGATGTGGCCAAGTTGAGAGCTTTAGTGTCACCAATCCCGTTCACGTGTTCCTGTGTTATACCATGGCCCCGTCAGCTATGGTTGGATACCGTCACCAGTTCTTCCACCATGCTCATTTCAAGTGCGAACAAGCCTTCTGCAATGCACAAGTGATCCTTAGCACCAAGGATAAAGGCAACAATTGTCCGCCCCACTAGATTCTCTTCATGGCTATTTCCTCTTTCCTCGCTAGGAGGCACCCTAAATTTGTGTCATGCAATCATCCGAGCCATCTCAGCTCAAGCCTCTCGCATGCCTCGTGCCTGGCACATACATGTTTCTCTTACTGGCTGCTCTTAAGACTGCGCGTTATGCCTCATAACATCTTATCTGCCAGTCTCTTGTATCTTTTCTCCCTTTCCCCTTGATTTCTTCTTTCTCGGGTTATATGGTCCATGTGCTTTGTTGATATCAACTTGTTTTCCCCTCAAAGCCTTGATTATGCAATGGTAATGACAATGCTAACCTCGCAACCACGCCACAGATTTGAGCGCCACGTTGGCTTCGACAATGTGCCCATCGGTGAATCATCCAAAAAAGTTCCCTCGTCAGTTGTGCTCACTGTGAAGCACAATGGATACCAGCCGCGTCGAAGATCACGAACATTCATGGTTGGCATCGACGAGAATCCATACTCGGAGTATGCTGTCCAATGGTTGTTGGATGAGCTTGTCGATGACGGCGACGAGATCATTTGCGTACGCGTGATCGAAAAAGACATGAGACTCACCGAGAAATCATATTACACCGATGCACAGCAAGTCATGGATAGCATCATGGCAAAGAACGGTAGTAACCGAGCCGTTGCTTTCATTCTGGAGTACGCCGTGGGCAAACTACATTCTACCTTTCAGTCGTTAGTAAGTAACTATGATTATCTTTTTTCCCCCATTTTTTGATACCCATATATCCTAACCATCTACAAAAATCCAGATCCAGCTCTATCAACCAGCCATGCTCATTGTAGGCACCCGAGGGCGATCTCTTGGTGGCCTCCAAGGACTCGTCAATAATCGCAACTCATTTTCCAAGTACTGTCTGCAGTACTCTCCCGTACCTGTCGTCGTCGTAAGGCCCAGCGAGAAACGAAACAAGAAAAAGGCAAAACGTACGAACGATAACTCGCGACAGACATATGTCAGCATGCTAGCCGCCACTCACGGTAAACATGAAGCCGATAGTGAGAGTAGTAGTACCTACGAACTGGAGGTCCAAATATCACCCGACGAGGAGGCGCACCAGGTAGCACAGGTTTTGGGACTGCCTGCTAAATTCGACCCAACCATTAAGCCTCACCACGAGCCTGTGCCGTTGAGGTCAAAATCCCCCGACGCTGCGCCCGGTCCCCGAACTAGTATTGCGCGTCGCGTCGTCTCTGATCCGATGCCTTCTAGTGCTCCTCCCAGCGCTCCCAATAGTGAGGACGAAGAGGATGACGAAGAAGACGAGTTCGAGGTCATGACGGGAGCCGAGGCACTGGATCAACAGCAGAAGCTAGACCAGCTTCACAAAATGGAGGCTAGTGAGGCAGCTGCCCTAAGGCATGGTATAAAGGCGGAGGAGGACGACGAAGAGGATGAGGCCCAGGGGCGAAATTCTGAGAGTACATCGTAGAAGATGCTCACCGTTCCAGGCAGTGCCTCCGGGCCCCAAGGCATGAAGAGCACGGAAAGGGGCGCTGACACAGCGGCTACAGAATTGAGAGGTGGCGACGCAGAAGATGTGGAAACCAGTGGCACGATTGTTACGATGAGAGGAGGCGGCGACTCTAGGCCACGCAATCATCGCCGACACATGGTTAACTGGCAGCAACCGCCGCCCAACACATCTTCTATGAGGCCTGATCAGAGAGGAAGAAGCGATCAGAGGGGAAGCAGCTTAGAAGCGGCAGGGAGAGTGACTCCGTCACAGAGACAATCAGCTTCGGCACAACAAACTCCGAACGCGCGTGGTTAGAGAGCGTCAGTTCTGGAGGCTAGGCCACCTATGGGCAGACCATCAAGACCCGAACCATCGAGACCCGAGCCATCGAGACCCGAGCCATCGAGAGCAGCAGCCGCAAGAGTAGAGACTTCACGGGTGGCCTCTTCTTCATCACGTTCAAGAGCGCCATCTTTTGGAGCAGAGCCTTCAAATACAAGACCTTTGGGACCAAGACCATTAGCACACACGCCCCCAAAGCCGTTGCCACACTCTGCTAGCCCCTCTCCGGCGGTGACCAGAGCCAATTCCGGTTCAGGTTCCTCTAGATATAAGTTTCGGGACTCTGCGAAACATGATGCGTCAGGCTCTTCAAGATATAGGCTCTCGGAGCCTCCTATAACGGCACCACCAAGGGCTGCACTTGCCGATACCAGAGCTTTATCCAGGACAAGCGATCCCGGGCCTTCAAATGCTGTGCCTTTGGTAGCGTCTTCATCTACACCATGGCAACCTCCGGCTAAATCACGTTTACCTAGGCACACAGAAGCCAGATCCAAATGGCCTTCTTCGCAGTCGGAGCAAACTCTGCGGCCTGTGTCTATATCACCCAATGTCCCAACTCACCCGACGCTGATGGAGTCCTACATAGACAACAGAGATGGCTTGAAGAATGCCGTGCAAATGCTAAACGAGATGGCGGCGGAAGCCTCCAGAGCGTCGTATATTGCGACAAAGTACAACGACAACAATGTCGCTGGTTTAGAAAGAAATATAGTGTCCGAACGTTCGCCACGCTCACCTGAAGTGGACCAAATTTCGCTAGTTAAACAGATTGATAAACTGAAAAGGGAATATGGAGTAAAACCAGCTGGAGAGCCGGAGGATTCTTGGGAGACATGGATGCAAAGTGAAGTTGAAGCCCCTGAACTTGACTTTTTCTCTCCCTTTTCCAAGCAGGAACCAAAAGGCCCTGCTCGAGGGCAATCGCAGACTTGGCAAAAAGAGCACCTACGGTCATCAGATCCACTACAGCGAGAAATAGAAGACCTCTTTGAGGAGCCATCAAGCGCACCCTCCCGGCGATCGAATAGGCCACAAGAGTATCCATCTCGACCAGCGTCATTCAAGTCAGTTTTTGAGCAAAGAATTTTGCAGAAGCCTCAGCCAACTCAGCCTCGATCTAGAGCAGCGTTATCTAGATCAATAACATCTGGGCCACAGGAACCTGAAACACCGTCATTTCAGTCACAGGTGCAGCAGTGGCAGCAGTCTCGGTCACGCCACTCTCAATCTGGGTCGCAGCCATCTGGATCGCAGCCATCGGGATTGCAACCAGCTCAGTCACCCCCACCTGGATCACAGCGATCTCTGTCCCAGCAATCTCAGTCTCAGCGGTCTCAATCTCAGAAATCTCAGTCACAGCGATCTCAGCCACAGCAGTCTCAATTACAGCCGCAATGGATTCAACAGGAGCCGATGCAGTACACACCTGTGTCCCAACTACGACATCGACAGCAGCAACGGACCAACTCATGGCCACGTAATCAGGAGCTGCAGGGCTTTGCTGCCCATAGCTTATCATACGTGGCAGAGGCTCCTCGAGAGGAGTCTGCACCTTCCGTCCACCGTCCAGTGGTGACAGCGACGTATGAATTAGACGAGCTTCCTGAGAGATCTAACCAGGGCAAGGGCAAGGGCAAGGATATGCTTAGCCAAGCCGAAGAAGGTCGAGCAGGAGCCGGCCAAGATGCAGCCGAGGATGCTGAAGAGGACAAAGGGCCAAAGCCCTTTTGCTCGATACGCGGCCGTTTCGTTATAGCCCCCTTTCCGGGCTGGAAAAACTGGTTCAGCAGGAGAGGCGATGACGCTTGAGATGAATATGAAGACGAAAGCAAGTTGGAGTGGCACTGGAAATGGAACATTGGGAGTGAAGCATTGTGAAACTACCAAGGTAGTGTAGCGATTGATACAAGACTATATGGTACTTGCAATAGAGCGATGGAATTAGATGATCACAAGCCCACTAATAACGCATGTTGGACAATTGAGCGTGTGAATACGATAGACGGTAAGAAGACTGGTGGAACGTGACTTGTAAATTCTGGAGTCGTCGTAAGATGGAATTCACTTTTTGCGCCGAAGAGCCCAAAGAAGAAAGCGATTAAGCAGTCAACTCTTGGGACTGTGCCGTCTTCCGTGGACAGGGAAGCTCTGGGCCAATTAAATGGCGATGAATAATCAGTCTATCGATGATTAAATAACTACTAGTACATAGGTACTATTGACATGTTACTCACTTGCATCTGCTATGTATAGTTTGAACACCCATGTTGCTTTCCATCTGCATCTGATACGCATCTCGTATAACCACATGCAAGCAAGGGTCCAGTCTCTTTTTATTTTCTGGGGGAGGTATACGCGGCTTCTGGAGGCGGGGTTGAGGCTCTGGCTCTTGGCTGTGCCCAGTGAAACGGGGCGACTTGATGCGAAACAGTGAGCGGGGGGGTTGTATCGGATAACTCTATGGATGGATGAGTGTATATGAGCTTGAGAGGATTATTGTAATTGAGGCATGAGACATTATACGTTAATCTGTTGTTACTAGACCCAGGTGCTTAGTGCTGTAGGCTTCGTATTAGCTTTGGCGTTGAATTAGAGGCTGCTAAACGGCAGAGTGCTGAAAATAGAAGCGCACCTTGACTGGCCCGGAGCTTGGTGGGCTATAATAGCGGGGGAGAGATGAAATCCGACTGCGAGCGTGTGGCAAGTAGATTGACCTGCCATTGGCTGCAGCGGGGCGTCTTTTTTAGCCCGCAGCCATTGATGACGACGTCAGAGTCTATTGTGCTGTGGTCTGGTCGCTTTTCTGCTAGCACAGGCACAAGGCACGGCGCAGTACCGGTACATGTACATGAGGATCGTCGTCATTTCCGGCGACGGTTACTAGTATTTCTTTTTATTTTCTCACACTCACTTTTCTTTCCTTTCTTTCCAAGGTTACATTTAACGGAGTACAGAAGTAATAGTGGCAGCATATTTGTACAACCACCGACTGCTGCAAAAGAGTACAGATTGTCGCTTGTGCCTGAATCGCATTCGCTTTCGGCTGTTTTCTCGCTGGTTCGTGTGTGAGAGAGCGACAAGAGACAAGAGACAAGAGACAAGAGACAAGAGACAAGAGGCCAGATTCATTGAAGCTGGGACTTCTTGTGAACGGCTGGCTGTTGAGTGGTGGGATGGTTGCGTCCCTGCGATAAAAAGAACGAATTCAATACACTCTTTTTTTTGTTTTACTTTTCTTCATTTCATCAACGCAGAAAGCTAAGACTCCGATTGATACGTTTCTATTCGACGCCAAAGGCAGTGGCTTGAGCTTTCTGGAGCTTGTTGCGCTGTGGTGCCCTGTGGCTGCCTGCGCTGCTGTCGTGCTTCACTTTATCCGGCTTGGCGGGGGAGAAGGCTTTGGGAAACGATTAAGGCTGCGGCTTGCGATTGGCGATTGCGACGGCGGAGGATTGGATTGGATTGGACTGGATTCATATACGGACGATACGAGCGAGAGAGAGCGAGAGGGGACGATTTGAGCGGAAGAAAGGCCGCGATTGAGCACTTTGATACAGGCAGAAACAAGGACGGGGGAATAAAACACCAAACCGAAGCAATAGAGAATCGATACCAGCACAGCCAGCACAGATGTGGCCTTTCTCGCTCCTCTCCTCCTGCGACCGACAAGATGCCTGCGCTCCTCCCAGCAACGCCGTCTCGACCGCCGCGCTGCTCTCGGCCCTGCCCTTTGCCGCAGTTTTCCTCGCCGCAAACACCGTCGCCGTGCGCCTCGTCTTCCCGAAGCTGAGCGCCGCGGCGCAAGACGACATTCGCGACGGCGAGGGCCACGTCCTGCCGGCCCATGCGCCCGCAGCGCTGCGACAGGTCCACGCCGAGCACGGCAGCAAGAGCTGGAGACGGCGCGGCGCGGCCTGGGCCTTTGGCACGACGGTTGGGCTGGCGGCGACGCTGGGCGCGCTCATCATGGCCGAGATACTCGAGGCGGTCGATCCGGCGGCGCGCAACCTGGCGCTGCGTGTGACGGTGCCGGCGCTGCTGTTTATGCTGGTGGTGCTGATTCCGTGGCTGGAGTGCCGGTCGCTGGTGTCGAGCGCGGGCTGGAGCTTCCAGAGGACGGCCAAGGGGACGATGCCGCGCATGGCGCTGGGGCTTCAGGCGGTGCTGTTTGGCGGCTGGTTGTTTGTCTTTTGGTCAATGGGCAGCGTGGTGCCGAGGGCAGAGATTATGCTGCGGTCGCCGCCGCCTCCGACGACGAGCGATGGCAGGGTCAAGGGCACGATGGGCGAGGATCTGACGAGGGCGTGTCTGGAGAGGATTGGCGTGGTGGGCATCTCGCTCATGGCGCTGCTGTCGGGCTTTGCGTCGGTGTCGTCGCCGTGGCATACGTTTAGCACTGCCGAGCTGAGGAAGCGGAAGCCCCTGACGGAGGCGGACTTGAATCGCAAACAGACGGGGCTGGATGCGACGAATGAGATGCTCGTCACGAAGAAGCATAGACTGCACTATCTGGAGAGGAAGATTGCCGAGGATGCTGCTGCCAAGGAGGGCAAATCGGGAGGGCTTGTTGGGCTCGTCATGGGGTCGATCCGCGGACAGTCCAGCGAGCAGCTCGAGGTGCAGACGCTGCGGATGGAGATTGCCGGGCTGGAAGCCATGGAGGCGAATCTCTCGTCCAACCTGCTGCTGATGAAGAGCCAGCGCGCAGCCTCGGCCCGGGCATCCACCACGCTGGGCCGCCTCCTGCTCGTGCCGTCGTACATCTTCAGCGCCTACTGCGTGTACCGCATCCTCGCGACCTCTCTGACGACTCTCCGCAGAGCATCTTCTCCATCGGCCAGCTTCGCCAGCAGCGACCCCATCAACCGCTTCCTGGGCCTGCTGGCGCGCCACTGGGACCCGAAGCTCGACCAGATGGCCTGGGCGCGCCTCATCAGCTTCGCCCTCAGCGGCGTCATCCTCGTCGCCAGCGCAAACAGCGCAATCCAGACGTTTCACCTGTTTGCCAAGTGGACGCCGGGGCTGCTGCGTCACGCGCAGGCCAATCTCGCGCTGGCGGTGGGCCAGGTCATTGCGACGTATGTCATCTCTGCGAGTTTGCTGTTACGGAGCCAGTTGCCCAGCGAGGCGAGGAGTGCTGTAGGGGGTGTACTGAGGGGAGCGCTGACGCCGGCGTTTGTGGATGGCTGGTTTGAAGGGTGGTTTTTGCTGGGCAGTGTGGTGACGGCCATGGGGATTTGGGTTGGGAGGAAGATTGGCGCGGCAGGGGGGGAGGAGGGGTGGGATGATTATGGGATGGAGGAGATGGGAGCGAAGAGGTCTTGAGTCTTTTTGTTTGATGATTAAATGCGTATGTTGGCCTGGCGTTTTTACTTTTATGTTTGGGAGATATCTTTGAGATTCGCGTCCTTGAGGGGACTTTTATATGACTTCAATGCTGCGCATGTATGTTGAAGCAAGGCATGCTTTGAGCTTTTCATCTATCCATCTATCCATCTAGGTAGTCGTCTTTAACAATGTAAAGGAAGAGAAAAAAAATCAAGACGTTTGACAGTCCTCCACTTACACAATAATCCCCATCTCCCTCCCGACTCTAAACGCCTCTAGCAAACTCCCCCAAACAGCCTGGCTCGTAAACTCCATAACCCTCTTATCCCCATCCAAAAGCATTGCATCATCAGAAAAACTCGCCTCCGTAAATATATTGCCTCTCGCAGCCCTTCCCGTCCGGACTTGCTCCTCCGTGAACCATCCCCATTCAACATGCTCTTCAGCATCAACCTTCACTATCGGATCCTCTCCCTTTGCAGTAGCCAGAAAATTCACTTTTCCCCATATCCCATCCGGTTCATGAAACGTCGTAAAAATAATCTTCATGTCATCAGACACTTGCACTTCTATATCCTGTGCTTGTTCGTCATTTGGGTCAATGCCCCAATTCTGCGGCCTCTTCTCCTTCTCCTCTCCAGACGTGAATAGATCCTCGGCTTTCTGCTTCGTCATTCCCAGCACAGCGTGGAAATGACTCTCTTTGAGGGACGTTTCCTCGAATAATTCGCGCGCCGCAGCGGATAAAATTGATGTGTCGGTGGGATCGGCCGAGCCGCCGGGGGCTTCCCATTTGAGAGGGTAGGAATCTTGCGGGTGGCGGCGGAGGAGGAGGATCTGAGGAGGAGATGGAGATTGTTGGCGGAGGATGAAGACGCTGGTCATGAGGTGGGCGATGGAGGGGGTTGATTTGGAGGAGAGCGTGAGGGGGGCGAGGGGGGCGAGGGGGGAGAGGGAGGGAGAGAAGGTGAAGTTGTAGAGGGGCATGGTGATGATGTTGTTGGCGTTGTTGTTGATGTTGATGTTGTCTGTATTCTATGGTGAGTGAGTGACTTCTGAGAGAGAGACGATCAAGAGGCAAGTTGGTCAATGATATGCGCGCAATATATTATATCCGATCATCTCCTGCAGCACATAACAAGGCAGCAACCACCGATCAATTCAGCCCATCATTCATCTCGCTGCCTAGATACTAGTATTTCGTAGATAGTCTTGCAAACAATGAATCATACTAAACAGGCAAACACATTTCACACAAACACCGTCATTTTATGTAATTTTATTCATTTTTTCTCAATTTCGCCTCGCACCTCTATCAGAAAAAGACTCGCTGCAAAGCGAACTACAACTTGGCTGCCTGATCTTTTGTTTGCCAGCCCCCCCAGGCTCCCCTTTTTGTTCTTTTTCCATGCCCGCCATTTCTGTCTACCCGCATGAGCCTGTCCAAATCCCAAGCTTTTGTTTTTTTGTCCCGTCTCTCGTCGCAGCCCCCCCTAATCAGTAAAAAATAACGTAAAAAATCAAACGAAGAAACGAAAGGAGTCGAAAAATGACGAAGAAATAGACACTTGTGCAGATTGTTCCCCTTTTATGCTCCCTCCCAAATGTCTGTCCGTAGATGAACTCATTAGTCCCCATCCACACATTGCGTAAAGCGTGAGCCCGTCATCGTCATCAATCGAAAGCAGATCGCAGAAAATCACCTCTCCCTCTTTTTCAATCTAGTCTGCCCCGCATAACTTGAATGTCGTGAAAATTGTATCGTATTTCAACCGTCCCCTATCCCTTTCTCCTCCAAACTGTAGTAAAAAAAAAAGTCATTACGGCCGATATATACCGGGCAGCTGCAATGTTTCATGAAACTCGCTCGCCAAGTAGCAAATAAGCCTCTATCAAGCTCATTCAGCAACCATTGGCAAGGAGAGTGACGCAATAATGGGCTCCACCAATTGATACCTGAGAAGCCATCTTTAGTCGAGGCGACATCATCTGGCTTTGCCGGAAAATCATGAGCCATATCCAAGCAGTTTTCAGCCTGGAGATAGCCGAGAGTGAAGGCTACATAAGCCTTCTCCGCAAAACAGTCAAGCGTGAGGGGAAAAACAAGCCGAGACAAGTGCACAGGATGTCAGGACTGGATCTGCTGGCGTAAACCTTGCGACGGCATCTCTAGTCATGGAAACTGAAAGGAAATGGGGATCAACTTTTACAATCGCTTTTGTTTTTTTACACTCGACCGGTGCGTCCCTTTTTGCCGACCGCAACGGTGGTCCAGCCGTCCTCATCAGCAGTAGGGGCAGGGGCAGGGGCATCGCCCTCTGCTACAGGTGCAGCAGCCTGCTGGCCGTTGGATCGAGGTGCGCGGTTCTCGTTGCGAGGTCCTCGGGCCGGGCCTCCGCGGCCGCCACGGTCAGCTCGATCACCACGATCGCCACGGTCGCCACGGTTGGGAGGTCCACGGGGTGTTCGTGGCTCAGATCTCCAGTTGCCAGATTCAGTAGCTCTTGACTTCGGCGCCTCCTTGGGCTGCTCTCGGGTTCGGATGGGAATCTTCTCTCCTGCCGCACCGTTTTCCGCTTCTCCCTCAACCTTTGCCTCTTCCTCTGGCTTGGTCTCTGTCTCGGCTTCAGCCTTTGCTTCTGGCTTGGCCTCAGCGGCCTCAGCGACCTCAGCGGCCTCTTTGGCTTCTGCTTCAGCTTCAGCCTCAGCCTCAGCCTTGGCAGCGGCGGCTTCCTTGGCCAGACGCTTATCTTCCTTGGCCTTCTCGTCCGCCTCTCGCTTCTCCTGGATAGTCTGCAGTCTCTTCTCCTCAATCTCCTTTTCCCTCGCCGCGGTGTCGATGGGGCGAGCAGCACCAAAGGGGCTGGCCTTGGAGTCCGAGGCCGCAGAGGCAGAGCTGTCAGCAGCCTCTGAAACGGTTCGCTTCTGAAGGTTCAGGCGAGGGCGGCCGGCAGGCTGAGCTGGGGCGGCGGCTCCAGGGGAGGCCGGAGTTTCAGCCGCGGGTGCGTTGGCAGCATCTGGACGCATGTTGCTGCGCCACTGGAAGTCCTTTTCAGCGGCAGTAGCGGTGCGCTCGGCGCGCTCAGGACGCTCAGGGCGCTCGTTGTACTGGCGAGGAGGACGGCCATTGCCCTCTCCCCAGGTTGCAGGGTCGCGGCGGTTTCCACGGAATGATTCGCTGCGCTCGCCCAGACCCTCCTGGGGTCCACGCGCACGGCTGCTCTCACGGGATCCAGACTCCTGGGGAGCAGTGGGAGACAGAGGTCCTCGTCGCTCCCAGTTCATCTCACGGGGTGCGCGTCCTTCGGAGACGGGATCACGAGGGCGTCGTTCGCCAAAGTCGGATCGGGGGCCCCTTGATGGGCCAAGATCGGGCAGAGGGCCTCGGCGAGTCCAGTCGCTCAGGTCGCGGGTGGATTCACCTCGGCCATCTCGGCCATCGCCACCGCGAGCTACATGATTAGGTTAGCAGAGAGGATTGAAAGATTAAGACGGTAGACACATACGAGGATCAGCAACCTTGATTTTGATCATACGGCCCTCAAAGGACTCTCCGTCAAGGTTCAAGGCCTTCTTGAGGCCCTCGACATTGCCAAACTCAACATATCCAAAGCCCTTGGGCCGCTGTAGCTCTCGGTCTTCGATGATACGAACGCTGACAACGTCACAGCCCTCGAAAAACTCAGTCACGGACTCGCTGGTTGCGTCATACGACAGGTTACCCAAGTGAGCGGTAAAGGGGGGCCTATCGGGAATCTTGGTGGGAACGGATTCGCGGACAGAGTAGCCTATAGTCGTTAATTACGCAAAGCAACAAAAAAAGTGAAGATGGGATTCGGACATACCACGATCTTGCCACGAAGACATGCCACCGCCAGAGCGAGCGCTATCTCGAGCCGGGGGAAGCTGTTGAGTACCTGCAACATGGGTCAGTATCTTCTGTTTCATATACCACCACAGCCCGGGCAATGCCTAGGTCTTTTTCTTGTTTCCGAAGTTTATCTTTCCATCCGGGCTACTTACCAGGGACTATGAGTAGGTTAGCAATTGTCCAACTAGCCACAGGTGAGCCGCAGAAAAACGTACCATAGGATTCCTCGACCTCATCAGCCCAAGAGCCTCCACCAAAACCTAAGCCACAAGTCAACACACATATTCGAAGAGTACCCTTGTAGCGCCGGCGCGGGGTGTCGATGCGACCCGCATGCGAAGGCGGTCGGCGAGGGTCAAGGGAGGGGTGATGATGGACGGCGACACCCACCTGAATCATTCAGAAAGTCCCCAAGGGACATTTTCTGCTGTTCCTTCTTCTTGGGAGCTACAGATCGGCGTCAGCAGTGGACTCTCAAGTGCCAGACTCAGTGACATACGCATGATTGCGGTTCAAGGGCGAGCTGCGCAACGATATCAAGGACCGATGCGCAAATCGAGCAGCGTCAATGGACAGGCGGTGGCCGGGAGTCGTCTTTGAGAGCAGCCAATGGCGGACCCAGGCTGGCTACAGAGACGAAGAGCGAGTGCGAGAAGAGCGGTTGCGAGGCCCAGACAAGTGGTGCCGGGTCTGGGGTTGGCGAGGTGAAATTTGCTCGTCGTGGAAAAAAAACGATGCGGCGTCGTGAGAAGGGCTGGTTTGCCTTTTCCATTTCCAATTTTCGCCCGCCGAAGAGTGGGAGGCGCCAGGCCGCTTCAGGGCTAGCGCGCGCGATAATACCGGTACGTGGGCTGAAGTACAGAACCTGGTGTGTACTCGCGGGTGCTTGTAATACTGCTCGTGATGCGCAGTACCTAGCAAGTCTCTGCCAGCCGCCGACTCGTTTTGTGCATATCTGCAGAGCCCCACCAATGCCAGGCGAGGAATTTGAATTGGTTTTAGGACAAGGTACAAGCGCGAGGTACTCATTCCGAGATGGACATCCATCAACGCCGTCATTGTCTTTTTATACTATTAATAGCCTTAATATTCACTCTATGCCGCAATAATATCAGGTCACACACATGTTGGCTTACTAGCATTGGCCTTTACTTTCATATTCTTTCATCGTATTCTCTTATTCCAAATCTCTGCGTTATCGTTAGCCTCAGCCAGCAGGAAAATTCCATCATGAGTAACAAGCCAGAGCCCTCGTCCGGGGCCATTCAGCAACAGCAGCGCAAGAATCGAGGCTTAATACCGCCAGAGCTTGTAGATCTTCTGGTGACTCCCGTCCAAGTGGGCGCATGGTCCGGTGCGTTGTCCGTTTCACGACGCAAGTTTGACACTGAGCTCTAACATATACAAGGCGCTGTGGGAGTAATGGCCGGTGTTGCCGGTGCCATTGCGCGAGACACCAGTCCTGTTGCCAGTGGTGCCGTAACTGGATTCCAATGGTTTGCTCTGGGTGGAAGCTTCTGGTGTAGGTGAATTCCATCCCAGGTAAAGTCTTCACTCAAGATTCATCGCTAATTCCATCAAAGTCACTAGATCCGTGACCGTCAGGGCAATGGGAGGTGACCAGCAGCTAAGGCCAGTCGACAAAACTATCGCAAGCACAGTAGGAGGATCAGCAGCCGGTGCAGTGGCCGGGTTGATACGTGAGTATCCGTCACCGGCTTTGCTTTTGCATCAGCACTTGCTAACTAACTTTGATAGGGGGGCCGGGGAAGATTCTACCCGCCATGGTCATGTGGGGAGTGCTAGGGGCAGGAGGACAGATGGTTGCCAACGGCTTGAGCAACAGGAAACCTAAAGTGAAGGATGAAAATGACAGCTGGTTCAGGTCAAAATGGAGTCCATTGAAGAAGCTCACAGACCAGGAGTACATTGACATGATGGAGGAGAAGATTCTGAGAGTAGAGGCGGATATTGCTCTCATCGATGACCGGATTACAGAGCTCAAGTCAATTGATCAGAAAACCAAGGATGAGAATAGAACATGATAATATCATATCTTGTAAGACAAAATTAAGGTTTATTTGATTGTGATATCCGGTAGGGCGGCATCTGAAGTTGCACTGAGGACAATCTAGCTTCAGCGGTTAGTCAGCGGCCTCCAATGCCAAATCAACATCATACGATTGATTTAGGCGAAAATTTAAATTTCCCCTTGCATTTATTGCGCCAGAGTAGGGAAAATCTTGAAACTCGTATTACAAATTTGCTTTCTCGGGATAATATTATCTTATCTTCAACAATGAATAGGGTTAGCGGTGGTAAACGATGCAGCGGTTATTGAGGCTTATATCAGAATCTAATTTAAGCAACCAGTGACCGCAATTGAGGTTGAAGCGTTTTCTCTGGCAGCAATCTGGAAAAATTGCTAGCTACTGTAGCAAGTACTATTATATCAGCACTCTACTTTACAAAAACGCTTGGCGCCAAGTGACCAAGCATTTTGCTACCCGTATTGTGTGGTAGATACGTGAAGATACGTGTATTTTCAACGCATTTAGGGTAAGCCTAAAGCCTCAATGACGGGACTAAAGCTCCCAAGGGGCTCCTTGCAGATCGGATGGTCCGTGAGGCATTTTAGCACCCGCCGCAATCTCGAGATTGATGCAACGCTAAATCTTGGGTGACGCGCAGCCGCTGGAATGTCCCAGCAGAGATTTGACAGGTCGAGCCGAGAATATATGATCCTAGCAAGGCGTGGACGATGGCGTGCCGTGTTTATTTAGCTTGGACAGTTGGACAGACCACTAAGTAGTATCTCGCAGCTTTACTCCTCTGACTTCTACACATCCATCCTTGGTAAAGCATCGCATCTATTTTGAGCAGCATTAGTCAGGGCTTCTCCAAAGAACAAGAACAAGCCCGCACGAGGCCTCCTATTGCGCTCCATCCGCAAATCTCCCGCTGGTAGATCTCACTACTCACTCACTCCCTATTTTGGTAGCAGCACAGCTTGTTAGTGCTCCTCCAAGCACTAACAAGCTAGCACACAAGGCCCGTACCCCATCCCGGCATAGCTCTCCGCACGTTTGACTTTTGATGTTCGGCGCAACGCTGCTTGCGAAGCTCGGATTATGCTCTGTGCCTGCATATGCGTGGCTATAGCTCCGGCTGCAGCTTCGCCTCGTACTCGGGAATGCTGCTCGCACAGCTCCTGCGTAGACCATTCACAGAGCTTCATCGTATCAAAGCTGCGCATGTTTAGATTTCTTAGCGGCTCTGGCACAGCTAGCTGTGTCGATTTGATGCCACTACTACGGCACTGCCGGACGGTCCAGCTAGGGGCGAAATTGAAAGTACAGGGCACAAGCTCCCTTGTACCCCCGCCAGACGCCACCTAATCCCAGCTAAAAGCCACATGCTTGATAACACTTGATAACAGCTTGGGGCCTGCATACTAGTAGAATAAGTTGGCACACGATGTATCGAGCAAAACGGCGGATGATGGTGTCGAATATGGGGTGTCTGAGTGCATATGCATATGCGCAGTCCTTTTATGGAACACCGTGGCATTTCATCGACTACAATGGATTAAAGAGGGTAGAAGCAAAGAAGAGCTCACATTCTTTGTAATTACAGGCCATCCCTATCTGCATCCCTATTTCCTGTGCCTCCCCCTTTTCCGCTGCTCTCGCGGGTTTTGCTCCAGGTAGCAGCAGTACTTGGCTCTCGGGGACATGCAAGTACCCGGTACCTCAGCCCGCCGCCCATCTGCCGCAGCTGCTCCGCCGGCCTCTCGCTGAACTCGCACCTCACCAGCGATTCGATTCGCAACTCTCGTCGTCAAAGGCTCGTGCAGCTCGCCGCTTACTCGTCGCCAGAACCCCCGTTTTTTCTCGTGTGACGCGGGTCGCAAACTCGGTCGCAACCTCGATCCGCAGCCCTCCCGGACGTCCTGCGGCACAGCTTGCCCCGATCGTCATCCCGGCGCCGGCACGCCTTGGCCCTCCTCGATTCAGGGAGCTTTCCGGCGTCCCGACTGTCCAGGATCATCGTCCCTGGCCCGGTGGTTCGGCACCCCTCCCCTCGTCCAGGCTCGAGTGCTGACTTGCGCGTCTTCTAGACGTCTTCTTCTTTTTCTTTCCTTCTCCATCTGCCATGTCGCGACTCTCGTGTGCTTGTTCCCGCTGAAGTGTTTGTTTGTGCGCGAGAGAATGGTCGGCCTGCTACCGGCATCATGTAAGTTCTTGTCCAATTCCCTCCAAGCTTGCGGACTTGTGCGGATTCTCCTGACGCTCTGCTTTGCTCCTTATCAGCCAGGTAGTAATTGCGGCCCTCCCCCTTGCGCGCTGCAGCAGCAACCATGGCGCTTCTGAGTCCGACCTTTGCTCTCGGTGTCTTTGTCCTACTCTACCTCTCGTCCTTTGTCCTCTTCGCCGTTCTTCGAATCGTCACCGGCGTATCGATCCAGCGGATAGGCTATTTTTCCCTCCGCCGACTTGCGTACACCCCGAGAGATGGAATTCGCATCGAGATCCGCGGGCTGGGGCTCAACATCCACCGCCCAACGTTCGCACAACCCACGTGGCTCAGCATCGTCCTCAGCGATTTGACAGTTACCGCCGATGTCAAGAAACTCGAAGAGCAGAAATCTGCCCGAAACGAAACACCCGAAAATGTAGATACCGCGAAGGAGGATGTGGTGGAAGCAGAGGAGGAGATCGACCCGCTCCTGGAGAAGCCAGAGAAACCCCCCTCTCCTCGACGTCAAAATTCTGAGCCTCGGGCTGAGACTGAGACGTGGTCGCGGCTCCAGAAGCTCAAGGAGAAGGTGAAGAAGCTACACAGCAAGGTGAAATGGCTGCGCATGGTCGACGTGGTTGTGACCAACTCCGTCATCAACGTGGTCGATGTGGGCAGCCTCCAGGTTGGGAGCTTGACGCTTGCAGTGGATACGAGACACAAAATGGCCGATCGAGCTCGATTCTTCTTCCACCGTTCCGAATCTTCAAAGGAGAATGCCGAGGCCGAATGGATTTTGACGGTGCGGAGCGTCTTTTTTGCGGCCGACGGCTGCGAGTCCCTCCAAATTCTCGACCATGCCTTGCTCAACGTCCACGGCTACTTATACCAGTCGCAGGAGGGTCTCCGAGATGCTACTGTTGCTTTGAAGCTTGGCCGAGTCCAAATTCCCTACGACGAGCTGCAGCTCTCTGCAGCCAAGTTTAAACGGTCTCGAAAGCAGCCCAAAGTTGCCGATTTGGAAGACCCGGTGGACATATTCGTTAGCAAGGTGCAAAACGGGACTGCGCAGAATACAGATCACTTGATGAAGAGCGTTTCAGACTCCAAGGAATTCTTCAGCTCCATTTTACGAGGTATCAAAGAAGTCCAGTTTGCTGTTAGTTTTGTTGGCCTCGTCAAAAAGGTCGACTCTGTCCAACCTGCGGCAAAACCAGTGCACCTCACTGCTTCCATGAAAGAAGTCGGTGTCGACTTGCATCGCCTTGACCCAAAGTCGCCTGCACATCGCATGTATTTTCCATCCAAAGATATTGCCCACGAAGCACTTGTGGCGGCGCTCTCAATATCCGTTGGATTGGACGATGGCTGCGACAAGCCGCAGCGCATTGTTTATATCCCCATGGCCACTACCACCGTCAGAACCACTTTGCCCTCCAAGACCATTCAGCTTTCTTCAGTAGACAGCTTCGAAGAGAAGAATGCCAATATCCTATTCGCCAACTCTGTTGTCACCTCGCCGTCCATCGATCTCGACCCGCGACATCTTCCTCTGCTGATAGCAATGATGCGATCCAAGCCCAAGCCAACAAAGACCGAGCAAAGGCAGCAGCAGAAAGACTTGTTTTCTCGATTGCTTCCAAAAGCAAGCATCAAATTTACCATGCATGAGCCTGTACTTCGAATCAAGCTCAAGCCGCTTGAGAAAACCGAGGATCCAGACGATTATGGCCTCATTATATCATCCATCTCATCCGTTGCCCTCGATGCCGAATCATCCCACTCACCTCTTGAGGATCTACATTATTCTCTGGATGGAGCAATGCGACTGCAATCCCATCACTTATACTACCAGGCCGTTTCTGGCGAAAGATTCGACCTGATAACAACCGAGTCTTTTGACCTCAAAGTTCACTTGGCTGCTAATCCCGAGGTTTCTGTCGATGCTACCAGCAATATCCAGTCGTTTGCCGTTAGTATGGTACGGCCGGAAATTACAGATGGCGTCCGCCAGATTGTGCGACAGCTACGCACCGACGTTGAACCTACCAAACGAGCTGCTCCCAAGGCTAGACGACATCAGAACTTCCTGAGATCTCTCCCCGAATGGCTTTTCCGTTACCAAATCACAGCAGAGGATGTCAACATTGAGATTGCCGGCATAGATGAAGAGATCTCGGATGACAGCAAAGGCATTTCGCTGCATCTCGATGGCATGTCCGCCGAATATCGTGCTCAGAGATTGGATGGTTTGCAAAAACGAATGCTGAGACGGCGGACCCACAGTCGATCTCTTACTCAGTCAGACTCAGATCTCGCGTCTTCGAGTCCTACTAGGGCTAGGAAGAAGACTCAAAATGTTGGTGATGGCCGTCGACTAGTATTCAATGCCAGAGGCATAGAAGCTCAAATTCTTGAAACTGCTGAGCAGCTCGAGGTGGAGCCCTTCATTAATGTGCCTCGCCTTGAATTTTCCCTCGCCGCATCAAGCGACAACCATGGTTCACTGTTTCACGTTCAGTCAGCCGTCCGCTCAATCATGATTCAATACTCTCTCTATCGCCATTACTGCGTGGGCGTTGCCATGAAGACGGTCAGAAAAGCCTTTATGAGAACCAGTAGTGATGCTCCAAGACCATCGCAGCATGACTTAGCAACGCCACAGCATGATCCGGCCAAGGCAGATTTCCTCGCTCCTCCTGGTGGCGCATCAGGCTTCTCTGCCGATCCAGCGTCTACCATGACGGAGGCTGTAGTCGTTGACATCAAAGTTGCGCTATTTCAAGTAAAGGCGGAGATGCCGCATGATCCTATGCTGATGCTGCAAATCTATGGTCTGGATGTCGGGCGTCAGAGGTGGTCAACGCCGTATCTAATGTCTAAATTGATCCGGCTGTACGTTGCAACTCCGCGCATGCGCCATGTATGGTCGCGAGCAGTGAGCATTAAAAATGGACGGCTTGATCTCCGAGAATCCAAGCACAAATCGAACCAGGGGGCTTACACAGAAGAAAAGCTGTTCGATATTTCGACAGAGGCGATTCGGATTGGCGTCCCGCACGAAGTCATTGTTCACCGAATTACCGATAACATCATCAACATGATTAAAGCAGTGAAGCAGCTACATCACCGCTTCAAGACAGGTACGAATGAGTACATCTTGGAAAAGAGGCCCGAAGAGCCCAAACATGTCCCAAAAGTATCCATCCGGTCGCGGAATCTCCTTTTTGAAATAGAGGACGGAGCATTTGAGTGGAAATTGGGCATGATCTATCGCGCTGGGCGTATGGAGCAGGTACAGAGATTAACTAGAGAAGAGGCATTCCGCGTCAAGCTGAATCGCGTGCAAGAAGAGGAATCAAGGAGAGGGCATAATGGCAAGCATCGTTCTCGATCTGCCCACCCAAGAGGAAGATCGGATACGTCCTCGCACTCATGGTTCCGAAGTCGAAGCTCAGACGCGACGAAGCAAGACGAACGGACTCGTGCGTCTCGGTATGGCGCGTTGCCGAGATATGACCCGGAAAATGAAACTATGGGCATTAACGGAAATTCAAAAGTTTCGACTGAAGAGGCGCGCCTTCACCTGGACATGTTCAATGCTCAGTCGTGGAAGAAGCGCATCGATCGAGCATATGAAATGTCTCGACAGGGTGTCAAGGAGCTCCGTGGTCTCTTCTGGGGCCAGAACGAGATGCCAAGTGAGATTGAGGAGACAGAGAACATTTTGGAAGTACCTCCAAGACCGGCGTTGATGGCCACTTATGTGTCTAACCTCCACATTATCGTTGACAAGCCGACCTTTCCTCTCAAAGATGTCCCTGATTTCATTCACAATGTTGGCAAAGGCGTGCCCAAAGATATGCTGTACAGCCTCCTGGTTCCCATGCACATTGCCATCGAGATGGGCGAAGCTCGGTGCTCACTACGCGACTACCCTCTCCCGCTGTTACACATTCCTGGACTAAAAACTGGACAGTCATCCAGGCTGCAAGCAGTCTCTTTGAAAACAAACTTTGTCTTGGCCGAGGAGTTTAGAGGACACGAGTCGTCACGACAAGTTCCGGTGTACATTATACCTCCAAAGAACCCTTCTGTATCGAAGGAGGGAAGCTTCGCAATCGAAGTCAGGCGAACCATTGGTCCCGTTAAATCGTACTCGGATGTTTTTATGGATATCAACACTGCTCTCCCAACAAGGATCACTTGGGGGCCATGCTACCAGCCCGCAATTCAAGATATGATGATGGCCATAGAATCTTTCACTAAGCCACAAATCGATACCTCCGAGCGGGTTGGATTCTGGGATAAACTCCGACTCAACTTCCACTCGCGCATTCATGTTGCTTGGAAAGAAGACGGCGAGATGCATTTCGCAATGAAGGGCACTCGCGATCCCTACCAGGTTACTGGGCATGGTGCGGGCTTCATCATGTGCTGGCGCAACGATATCAAATGGCATATAAACGCAGAGGACAATCCGAAGAGGTTCATGACAGTGGACAGCGGCGAATATATTCTTGCTATTCCAGACTACAGCATGCAGGTGCGAGAAGCTGCGCGGCTCCGAGCTGATGATGATAGCCGTCTTGCGGACGATCATTTGCGATGCGGCCCGGCTCAGTTCAAGAAAGTTGTCATGAAGCTGTCTGGCAAAGTTCAATGGCTAGCCGGCCTCATATTTGAACGGGCCATTGAAGATGGCAGACGGAGCTTTGACTTCAAGCCCCATTACGAAGTTGTTCTCAAAAACCCCATCTATGCAAAGCCTGAGAACGGACTCCCGTATGATGCCATGCGTGGGTTCAGGAGTCGTCATATCCACCTCTCGATCGCAGTTCGCGCGCCAGCCGACCGCGAATGGA